ACCCAATGACGCAAGCAGAGGTGACAATATAACGCCACTTACCCAAAATGTGTGTCGGAATATTTGCCAGAGCATCGACACCAATACCCGCCGAATTTTCCCATTGCGTAGGTTGCTAGATTATTATTTCATCCAATAATATGCGGGTGTTATAGTTGGGATCTACAGATAAAGATACCCGCACCACGGTTGAAAAGGCTCAGCAAATCTCCCCGGGACACTGAAAACGACTTGCGACACTAAAAACAACCTGCGACACCGACCAATTCCTGCGACACTGAATGCTGTTCATAAAGTAAATATTATTTTCTTGCAGCTCGTGTTTAGCTCTCTACCGCACCTCCTATAGTGGTTAATAACTAATAAAGGAAATGAGCCTTCTGGTCTTTATTGAATGATAAAGGCTAACCAAATCCTTCAAGCTATGTCTTCCGAAGCCCAATATCAAAATTCAGAGGTAGCGCCGCCATCTGCAGCAACCATTCTTCGAGTAAAGCCTAACTTGATTCGCAGTACATAAGACATACGCTAATTCTGCTTCAAATGTAGGATCACGCGAACTCTGCAAAATATGACGATGACATCTTTCTCTTGGTAGAGAAGTTGTTGCACCAAGAGCAGCAGTCAAAGCATTACCAAGGACAATTAGAGTTTAGAATCAACAGCGATTCCGTGGCATATCAGAAATTACATGTCTATTGCGAAAGGTCGCTTTCTGGGATGCAGTATCAAAAATCGCAGCTTGAGCTGTCATTACGCCATGCCACAGAAACCTGCCAAGCATTGTCCCAAAGTCTTTAGTTGGAAAGGGAGAAAGTGCGGGGGCTTGAGTCTCGTCTTAATGACTTGTACCCAGCTATTGATTCATGGCTATAGCGATGGAATCAAGACAAGCAGGGGTCTGGATGTGTCGATGATAAGGGGATAATGGAGCATTTTTTGCTAGAGAACCGACGTCAGCGAGAGCTGATCAATTGTCTTCAGTCTCTCCTCCATGCGCGTGAACAGACCGTGTATGACCTTTAGGATACTTTAGACCAGTTGTCTCAACGACTCCCTATAGGAAACGCAGGCTAAGGTGGGCTATTCAGGTCCTCTGTTTGTTCGTCGGAAGAATCGAATATCGAGATCATCACGGACACACCTTCCACTAGGAGCTAAGGTATCAAAAAATGGATTCTGCGCTCTCCGTGAGGTTCCCAATTTAATTTCTTCCGAGTTTACGTAAGAGTATTCTTTCCCGTTTAATGGTAGCCTAAAAGTCTCAATCCACTTCCGATGCGAAGGTACCGCATATTGAGCTAATTCATGTAGTCCGCCTTGGCCGGCACGGGAACTAAGGCAACGAGGTTGTAGATGGACGAAACTGCTGACTACCTATCACGCGCTACGTCTATAGCATCTGTCCTTGTCTAGGTCCAATGCATAGTCATAACAACCGACGGGACGTACGCCCTTCAGATCCTTTTACTTGGCATTTGCCATGAGTTCTCCTACTCCGCGTTTTGGGACGAAAAAAACGGAATCGGATGTAACCTAAATTGTAACATCCAATGTAAGCGGGGTTTTACGCGCCGTTGGTAACTGAGACCTTTAGCGCAACAGGGTTCCATGGAAGTAGGCCGAGATTCCCCCTTTAGGGTCGCCAGGGTGTAAAACTTTAACGAAGCTCGATTAAAGCGGTTCGATCCGTGCTAATGTTATGCATACGGCGAATGTTACAATTATTGAGCCTCGTTGGGGGATAAGGAAAGATAAGGAAGAAAAGTTAAAAAATTAATATTTTGTACCTTCCAACGCAACGGGGAGGTATTGGGGGCAGAACGTCACTGTAATGGAAGATTCGGAATGGGCGGGCAGCTCCTACGCCTTCATTTAGGTAGTGATCTCCATAACTATGGTTGGATTTTAATTTCGGGGAATAGACGGAACGTGGAACGTAGCTTTTTTGTCTCCGTACTTTCTGTCCTCATTAGCCAATCGGCTCGAATGTAGGCCCGAACCGAGCCAGGAAAAACTTAGGGATTCTGTCGCGAGTTTGAGACAGTGTCGCGGTTGGGGTAGGATCGCAAGAACAAGGATCAGCGGTCAATGAACGCCGAAGAGCAGGTAATATTGTAGCAGCACTATTTCGGGGTGTCCTTGAGCTGAGATCACATTGGAGGCCCTTGATGGAGTTACCGGACTGTCTATACGGCCGAATCTGCGGGCGGATCTTCTGCATATATCCTTATAGGCGTTATATTCCAGCAGAAACTTCGCTCTCAGGTGACATACAGAGCCCTAAGAGGTGTCCGTCCTACATGTTTTAGCAGGTCTGAAAAGTGACTTTGTAGCAGCAACTTAGTAGGTTACTTACAGGAAATTGGTTGCATAATACCAAGCCGAAAATAGCACGGGAGTTGGTAGATCTCTAGCAGGCGGACTGGGGTATCGGGAATAGTGTCGCAGCATTTTCCGTGATCAGGATAGTAGCTGCAATGTATTACCACACAGAAGCTTGATGGTCGCATAAAATACTTATTTCACCCAGAGGTAGGTAGAACATTTCTTTGCACTCTACTCTAATCAGTTCTATCAAGGCTCTACTGTCTTCGAGGCCAAATGGGGATTTTCGCAGATCTACCATTCGAGTTATTGAGATTGATTGTCGTCAACCTCGATTACTACTCCTTGAAATCGTTATCTCTCGTGAATAAAACTTGCAGATCAATCAGCACCCTAGATATCTTCCATACGCTCAAAGTCGAGTTCTCGGAACAAGGGATGAAGAGGCTAAAGGGGCTAGCAATTTCCACTTTAGCATAATGCGTGAAAATACTTCATTACGATGCATCAGAGTTGATCGATCCATGTATGTGACTTTGAAGCTTTTTAGCTAGCTCCTTACTGATCTTTCTAGTGATCTAGCATAGGGACTATTTTTCTGCCTGCATTTATATACCACAGGAGTATGCCAGAGATCAGGAGGATTTTCAATGGGAGCTCAGAGGAAAGCAATTTTCCTATAAGGCAATCTTTCACTATTTCAGGGGACTTGCAAGAGCTTAGAGTTTACTTCTGGAAGAGCGGACGGATATCCAAATATTTGTAGAATCACTTCGACATCTCTCCAACCTGAATACTGTCAGGCTCTCCTTTCACGGAGCGAAGGAAGATCAACTTATTTGGTTCTCTAATTGCGTATTTCTTGGGAACTCACTTCTCACTCACCTTGAGACGGTACTTAAGGGTATCACGGCAGCTCAGGCTACAGGATTAAGCTTGAAATGTTTTGAGATTGATGGAATACATTCCAAGCTGACCTCTAAAGACGACGATATCCTCGAAATTGCAACGGCTGCTTTAGGGAAAGTCGAGAGCTTGACGCTGATAGATAGCCCGGGGTTTCTGGGGTTCGTGTCCTATGCCCCTTTGCCTTCCTTGCGACGGCTGGAACTAGCAAAGTGTTGGCTTGTGGGCCTGGATTTGGAAAAGTTCCTGAAAGCCCAAGATGGGAGAGTACTGCAAGTATATTTTAAAGACAGGAATCAACTGTACCATGAAACATGGAACACGGATGGCGACTCAGAACTGCAAATTCGGACAGAATCCTTTCTCTACTCTAGGAATATTGGCCTACAGAAATGTCTTTTACTTACAGGAGATTGTATAGAATCATTGAATTAAACGAGGATTTTACGGTAAACCTTACTTTGAAAGTCTTAAGATAAAATATAATACCGCGACACTTAAAACCGGTCGCATAGAAAGTAGCAATACATAAAGCAGCTAGGAGGTTTATCATTGATGTCTGATTTTTTGGCTGAGATGGATAAGCAAACTCAGCTTTTAGGTAACGAGAAGCGAGCTTCTTGGAGATCAATCTGCCGAAAGCGACTCGCTCAGCATATATGTAAGCTCTAGAGCCTTCGGAGCCACACCTACTAACATCTCTAATCAGTTGAGAGGCTTTAAATCAAAGTGGACCCTACCGAGGTGCGATTGAAGATAGATACCGAATGTCTCTATGTATGGTAGATAGAAGATCTATCTATCGAGCATCTTTTTCAGAAGTATATGAGTAAACACTCGGTAGGGGCATATATGCTACTTCACCGCGAAGTGGGCTAGAAATTTTATGCAATCCCTGCAAAAGTAACTAGAGTGGCCCCTCGTGGATAAATCATTAAGCTCACGGGAGTTTATAGTGCAAAGAAAACCAAACGGAGCTTGATATTGTTGCCTATGTGCAAGCTGAGAATCTTAGTCTCGCAGAGAGACTAAGGGCGTCCGAAGATAAAGCATCTCGTTACGAGGAGGCTGCAACATAAGCGGAAGCCGAGATCAAAGACCAGAATTCAATAATTCAGGAAGCGCAAACTACCATACATCTTTACCAACAGGACATTTTGAACTGGATGGCCGTTGCCGAGTGGTATCAGACCAAATGTTTCCAGTGCTCAAATATGTTAGGACAAATGATGGCATTCTTACAGGACACTACATCTGATACTAAGTGAACACTAGCTTCTTCTTAAGGTTTCTAGTTATATATTACAGTTTTGCCGCATGTAAACGTCGAGATGTAGAGTCCTCTAAATCAACGCCCTCTGTAGCGATCAGTAGCTCTAGTAGCAACCGACCGAGCTCTCTTTTCTGGCGCAGTCTTACACAGACATGAATTCTGAGACAAGCTATACTTTGTCCTTCTCAAATGAGGACTAGTCAGGTGATAAACCAATAGGGATTTGGGGATAAAATCATCCAAAAGAACAGGATCGTTTCTGGCCTGCAGCATCATTTCTGGCCTGCAGCATCATTTCTGGCCTGCAGCATTGTTTCTGGTCTGCAGTATTGTTTCTGGTCTGCAGTATTGTTTCTGGTCTGCAGTATTGTTCTTCTAGTCATGTGCACGGGTTCGTATATTTCACAACTGCCGCATCAACATTTGTATAAATCTATTCTGCTTTCTCCAACTTTAACGGTAGAACCGCCATTCAAAAAGTAAATTATTGAGTATGTCTAAACGTCAGAAAGCGAAAAAGAAGGCACTGAAGGCCAAGGATGCCCAGAGAAATGCCCGTGATATCCAAACACCCGCATCTGGCTCCGAATCCGAATCACAACAAACTGGATCCTCGAGAGCACAAGAGTTGAGAAAGGCTAGTCGAGATAAAAAAGGCAAAGCCCCTGAACGGACAAGCTCTGAATCTCCACAAGCCGAATCCTCGAGAACACAAGAATCGAGAAAGGCTGGTCGAGATACAAAAGACAAAACTCCCGAACCAAGGAACCGATATGCTAGAAGTCCAACCCGTGCAGGTGACTTTGCCCCAAATGCGAGTGATTACAAGTCAGATGGCGAATCGGATCTCGACAGCGATTCTTCTGATCAAGATGGTCCCATTGAAGACAAGCTACAGCCACTAAGTCGCTGGGTCAAGGATGTCATTCGAGGCGAGACATCGAAAGAGTCAGAAAGAATGGTTGAGGGGTTTTTTACGTCTGAAAACCCATCGTACGACGAATGTTTGGCATTCTTTCGCAGACTAAACCAACACGTTCGAGGGGCCAACCAACGGCATAATGTCATGGACCTTGATACTGGTACTATCCCCGAGACTGGCTACAATGCCCTATGCCGGGCTTTCCAGCAAGCAGCAAAGAGAGCAATCGACAATCGCTCCCCAGAGGAGTTCTGGGAGGCTTACAATAAGACCTGTGATCTTTTAACAAGGTTCAACAAACGATATTGTCTCCCTAGGCCCTGGAATATTAGTGAAGCGTGGGCCGAGAATTTAATTGGGTCGTCGAATCCTAGGATTAGGATTGAGGAAGATATTAGCTCCACTTCTGATAGCGGCATTCAGGCTGGCGACATCCAGGCTGGCGACAGCCAGACTGACGAGACCAGTGAAGAATCTAGTGCCGAATCAGACGTTGATATTGACAGTGATCATCAACCCACAGGACTTGATGCTTTAGAAGTGAGAACCAATAAACAGCAACGCCAATTGAACTCAGCCAAAGTATTGTATTGGTGGCCCAAAGGCACTGGCTCTCAGATATTCGTGCGCTACGGAAGTAGGTCTACGCCGATCTATCGCATTCGTGCTGGGTCACATGAGAGCTACAACCCAAGTCAGGTAGAACGGGTTTTGACCATGATGACTCGCGGTACCGCTAAGGTAACCGGGATTAAGAACGGGCTTCCAGAAGAGTTTTGGAAATATCAACGAAAAGACGTGGAAGACTTCGTTGGCATCGGTTGGAAGGTCGAAGAAGACGATGAGCAAGGGGTAAATCCTCTCAACTTGCTCCTGCCCGCTAAAGATATAGTCTATCCACAAACTCGGATTCTTGTCAAATGGAAAGACGGTCGTTTTACTCTAGAAGGGCGATCCTTCATCCGCCGTATCACAACGGGCTCGGCTTTGGACGGTGATAGGGTGATATATCAAAAGGCTGAAGAGCTCGAGGATTCTTACCGCAAAAAGCATGGGTTGTATGATATAGAAGATGATGATATCGAAGATGATGATATCGATACCGAAAGCGACATCTCAACTCAGTCAAATCAGACTCGCAACAGAAGACACCGTAGCGAACCTGCTCGCTATTCGAACACACGCAGCCAAAGCTCCAGGCACCGTAGCGAACCAGCTCACTATTCGAACCCACGCAGCCAAAGCTCCAGGCACCGTAGCGAACCAGCTCACTATTCGAACCCACGCAGCCAAAGCTCCAGGCACCGTAGCGAACCAGCTCACTATTCGAACCCACGCAGCCAAAGCTCCAGGCACCGTAGCGAACCTGCTCGTTCCTCCAATTCACACAGCCACAGCTCCAGGCACCATAGCGAACCTGTTCGCTCCTCTCATTCACGCCGCAAACAGACTCCAACCCAAGTTGAAGAAAGTACCGATGAAGATAGCGACGTCGTCCGCAATGCACCCGCCAGTGAAAGGCCACGTAAAGTGCGATGGATACGTCGATAGCGAACCAACCGCTGGAGGCTGGAGGAGCATAGTATGATGAGCACCTATTTTGTGGTCCTCCTATGAGCCGGTCTTACAAAGCCCGGAAATTGTCTTCCTGTGATTCTGCCTTTGTTTCGTCCCCGGCGTCTCTGAAATTCATTGTCTTTCTAATGATCTCGCTTTACACGTTGCTTTTGGTTTTATTTATTGTTTAGCTTACAGATTGCCAGATTCAAGCTAGTTCCTCAATACATCACCATCTCACGAGCTCCTCTCCTCGTAAAAAGTCCGCGATACTACAACGGGACTCCACTAGCAGATATAAATCATTGGTTATGGGCCGGCCCACTTCATTTGTATCTTTTAATTATCGAAGATTGCTGCTAGTCTCAGCCTTGCATGCTGGCCTTCAAAAAGCAATCTTAGATATCTTAAGAATAGTATTTTAATGGGATTGATATGAGAAAGCACCGCAATCCGATATAGTACAGTGTGTGTGTGTGTGTGTGTGTGTTTTTCATCTACCCTGACCCCTCGCAAATTGAAAGCGATATGTAGGATACAACAACTATATATATCCGAGTATGTACATGTAGAGTGATCCACTTCCTGAAAACGAACTTAGAGCCTTGTCAGGGCCTCTCGTGGCCTAATTGCCGCTCCCATTGTTAGGCTGCCCTTGTGGCGCGTGACTGCAAAACCGCTGTGACGCCTTAGCGAAGTCCAGCACGGCATTGACCGTTTTGGCTCGCGAGACGGTGTCTGGTTTACCTTTCTCACCTTTAGTTGAGCCTCCCAGCAGACTCGACGCACTATTGAACGCGTCCCCGACTTCTCTTCTGAGCTTCCTCTGCAATTCCCTTAGTCTTAGGCAGTCCACTTCGTATTTCATAATAGTAAAGAAAAGCGAAACGAAAAAGGGTCCAAGTACTAGACTACGGCAGGGATCACGGTTGTATAGAAATCGGCCATAACGGCCAAAACAATCATTGCGGGTTTCATTTTACAGCCATATAGATAGATCAATCGATCACCACTATTGAGTGTTGCCCTTGAAACGAAGAAACGGTTCTATCGATATGCCCCCCCCAGCCTAGATCTTTCTATACAACCATTTTCGACACATTCTGTCAACCCTTCTACTACTTGGAGTAGCATCTGTTCAGGACTCAAGATTGTATCCCACGACCCCACTATCAGCTCATTTGATAAGCGGCGGAAGTTCCAGATCACCCGAATACCACAGCTCCACCCATCGTCTTGTTGGGGGGTCGGCTGAGTTTGTATAACAGGTTAGTTATCGTAGAAACCCCAGTAGGTTAATATGCCTTACAGTTTCTTGATATGGAAATCCGAGGTGCCCAAATGCTTTCTGGGCTAGCTTTGATATCCAAGTTCTTTTTGTGCCTTTGATGATGTCTGCAGTCGCATTTGAATCATAGTGGCGGATTATCTTCTTCCGTTCGTTGACTTCAAGAAGAGAAAAGTGATTCCCATGGTTGATAGGACGGTAATAAACCAAAGGCCCTGAGAAATTTGGAGCATTTCCATTTTTTGCCGATCTTCTTCGATATCCTTGACCCAGCCCGCTAGTGGATCCTTCACTCTTTTCTTCTTTTCGGGTCCATCCTTATATAATGGGACACTTAAACCATATCTAACATAGCATGGTCGGTCCGATATTAGCATCGCGGCATATATAGTCCAAGAGTTTAGCCATGTATTAGGACGAAGTAGCTGGAAAATGTCACAGGATATTTTAGAACCTCCACAAATAGCAAGAGTATCGTACTCATCTAACTTCTGATGATCTAACACATTCTCTTCAATCATTTTGATTAATATGTTGATAGCTGTATCAAGTTTTCCAGATGGTAATTTGTCCTAAGGATGCGAATTAGTAGTGTTGAGGAGGATTATTAGGTTGGTACTTGCTTGTTTTAAGATATATTCATTTTGTAGCTCCTGTATCTCGGTCTCCGATAACAGCTTTTTACTGTTGAGATCCGCATAGAATGAGTGAAGATCGGGGAGACTATAATCAACTAGTCGTTGGAGCTGCGGGCTTAGGATGGCAAGGAGTTCTATATGTTCGCGATCATCCTTGATATTTTGTATCGTAAGATCAAGATCCTCGGGGCTCATTTTCGTATATTTCCTTAAAACTATTAGCGATTGAACGGTATCCTATGATTAGATTTCCCTTACTAGATAGACGGGCTAAATAGTATACCTAGTCCTAACTCCTTGACGATTTTCGTGCTTAGTTTGTGACCTCTCGAGAGCCGATTGCGAAGAGCTTTTCTTCTGGCTTCTTTCTCCCTCTCTGGGATACTAAAACCGGGGTTGGGAGACTGGTCGCGAGATTCGTCTTGCATTTTAAGTGGTCCAACTCCACACATACTCCGACTTCTTCCCTGTGTTTGTTGGACTTGAATGCTATCAAGCACCCCTATAGTTGCTTGCCGACGGGTTACTGTTCTCATAGCAAGTTGGATCTGGCTCTCGTACCACCTCGATGCGCCCATATACTCAAGCATATTGAAGATAGTAAGTTGTACCCTTGTAGATGCTCCTCTCTCGAGAATCTCTACCCAGGTAGAGCCGTCCGACCATTCGATATTCGCAACTGTATTGCAGCTTTGGCTGTTCAACGTCTGCAGTATCATTTTATGAACATCCCTCGGAACACCATCATTTTGTGTACTGAGCTGGTGCAGAGTTCTGGTTGCCTCAATTATCAACTTCAGAATAGGCCTAAGCCTAGGATATTCCTCGATGGCCGGTCTAGGCGATTCCGGCAGTTTGCCAGTGGGCATATCGTTCTGGGCGGGTCTAGAGTGGTGGCAATTGTTAAGTGGAGTAGTCGGCAAATCCATCTTCTTTTTGGTGCCATCGACGCTTTTTTTATCTAGTTTACTAGATTTTGGTGGACGATAAGAGGGGTCTTGGGTAAGTCTTCGTTTCCGCGGCGTCATGCATTCCTCGGAGATTTCTCGAATTGAGGCATCTTTCTTCTCTTGAACAACTTCGGCAATAGCATTCGCAATATTCGGTGCTTTCTCACATAATGCATGAATTGAGGTTCGAAACTAATTCAGTCAGTAGAAAGTTACCTCCTAAATGTTTATTTTCGTACCTTCAAGTTGTCCCGAATTTCGAAGCTTGTGCAAGAAGCAAAGTGACCAGCTAGTAATATCAGCTCAGTCTGCAACACGTTCGATAGATCTGCATCCATTGCAGTCTGGGAATACATATATGATAAGAAAAGGAGTAAGAATGGAGGCGGTGAGTGGGTAACAGGAAAGGGGTACGTTTATATATTTCAGTATCCTGGGATATTGAAATGAGATCACATGCCCTGGGCCGCAGGCCAGTCTTGGCAAAACACACCCGGGGAATTAATTTTAGTACGACTAAAGCGGTTCTTATTTTGACAAGGGTGGTCATGACGTTTTTTTTTCTGTAAAATCACATTTCATTTTTTTCAACTGGTCAGGTCTACTTCCTTCCTATTCTAGGAAAGAGTACTTCGATCTCAACTACGGGGAAGTAAAAGGTAAAGAAAAATCTCGATCACTTTGAGATTTATAGATCTAATTGAGGGCACTCGATCTCCTTTCGATAATGGTTTAGGAGCATTTCAAGGCGATTTATTTTGCCCTCGAACCAGTTGATCACCGTGGATCATTTGACATGTAGATTTAATTCGCTGCTTTATAGTATTCGTTTACCATCCGTGTCAAAGCATCAAACGCAGTCTTAGGATGGGAACGACCGTATTCTGCGGCGAACAATGGATCGGAGCTCAACACACTAGAAGTCTTTGCCTTTTCTGTGCAAAGCCTTTGTCTCCTAATCGAAATGTCACATAATCCCAAAATGGCGTATACCCTACCCAGTGTCCAGGTGGGCCTAAACAAGAGGGGATCCGGTAATTCTTTCACCCAACTACGTTCTCGTCTGCTAATTAACTTGGCGTGAAATGTCTTGTCTTGTTGTATGTCAACCAGCCGGTGCGCTGTATGAGATAGATAGTCAGTTTGAAATGTGCTATTTGGCAGAAGAGAGAAAGGAAGACTAACAGTTGCAATCCGCACTCCAAGCCAAAGACATCGATGTGCTCTAGTAGTCGAATGTTCTTCTATATACAGTCTGTTGTCTTCTCCAGAGGCCCCTTCGAAGAATCTCTCTGGATAGTAAAGCCGGGTCCATGTTTGTCCTCTGATCAAGAAGTCTTCTGGTAGCTGTTGTATAGATGACTCATGAAGTGGGAATGCCTCGTCCTCGACCTTCGAAATGATCGTGTCGGGTTGGAACAAGGAATTCAGATACGTTGCCAGTCGTGGCCACGGGACTAGCGGTCCCAGTTGTTGTATGGCCGCTGGGTTGTGCGTGAGACACCACACAAATGCCATTGAGATGTGCACACTTGGACACATATTTGGGTCCCCGATCTCACCGAGCATAACAATTAATGTGTGAAACGCGAGAGAGCTTGCCTGGAGTGCAAGCTGCGACGAGAGATCTATCACTCCATATTTACTCCCATATTGGAATATCGCAGAGATATTGCAAGACATGAGTTGCACACCTTGTCTGCCTACCTTGCTAATCTCGTTACTTAGAGTAGCAAGGAACACATTCGCCCGATAAACAAATTCCTCAACCGGAGCTTGCATGAAAAGTGTGCCGTGTGTAGTCACAAACGAGGTGATCAAGCTTTCATCGGGCGGCACACTCATAAGAGGACTGACTAGCTTGGTCATGCCGTCAAGAGCATCAGAGAATGCGTGCACACTCGTCAATGCTTTCGTGTAATGAAAGAACTGCCGAAGAACGTCCGGGCGAGCTAAAACAGCGAGATGGTGTTGGATGCGGCCATCTTCTGGACGTCGGTCTGCGGCCTGATTGTACCAATATCTTGATATCTCTGCCCAGCGCTTGTGGTCCTTCTTGTCGGATTTTATAACCATTCGAAACCGTGCTAAGTCACCTAAGAACTCCATCCAAGTCTCATTGAAATCCGAGACGCGTTCTAACAGAACTGTTATCATCGAGTACGAGAAGTAGATAAAGTTGAGCATGTACTCCATTGAGCCGGGAAGTTTCTGAAGCAAGAGCGACAAGAATGAAAGCATTCCATAGCGCCACATGCGTGCCGGCACCGCATGCTTATCAGGTAAGGCTTTAAGAATAGGACTAGCTGACGGGTGTTGGGAGGCGAGTAAAAAGTCATGATACTCGTAGAGTAGTGTTCGGTGTAGTGAGACGAGTGACTGCCACTGAGCCTGTGATAGTTCGGTTTTTGAGTGCCATTGTTGTCCGCCGATTTCGATGCATTTCTTTTCTAGCATGACAAGTCTGGCATATATTCCTCTCACTTCATTGACCAGTTGCCCCTCGGTAATCACCGGTTGCTTGGTCGTTTCTCGAGGGCCTTCCTGAGCACCTGAGCCTGCGTGGCATTGGTCTGCTGGTCTGCTGTTTTCGAGAAACGACGCATTACCTGAGACACCGTCGATATCATGCATTTCAATGGCCACTGCTCTGAGGGAAAGAAAGGGTCAGTAAAGAGAATTTTGTAAGTGCAATATAACTGACGATCGTAGTTCAAATTCTGAAGGGGTGCAATAAGGGGGTAGAGTGTTAAGAATATGATACAGGTTCACTGTTGTGGGCCAAAAAAAACTCCCAGGGCATACGAGATACCCTGGCATTAGACTAGGACCTTACGGCGATTACTGCTGGCCTATAATTTCCGGTTTGTTGGCTTTTTCGTATTTATTGGCTAATATGAAAGCCAAGCGACAGTAAAGCAGCCAATAAGACTCGTCCAGCCCATTCCGAGATTTTAACAGAATATAGTATATAGAAACAATTCTCGTAATATAAAGCAAATATGTGCGAAGTCCATGTCCCACAACGGTATAGCTCAGAATGCATACCCTACATAGACATTATTATTTGATGTCTGATAAACCAGGGAACGAATGTGTGTGCACCAGGGACCAATGACTGTCCTACAGCAGATCATCTGCTTGCAGAAAGTCACCATGAGCGCCCGTAGGCTGGACCCCAGAGTGTGCATGCTCTGGAAGATTCGGTCCTGTGAGCGAGTACATGATAGCCTCGGATTGGGCCTTGAAGTGGGAAGATATGATGGACAAGTGAAGTGTCTTGTAACCAAGATATTCACATATATCTGCCAGCCTATGTTGAAATGTCAATTGTGCCTTATCATGGTGTCGCGGAGTGCTTACTGGATCGTACCACTTGTGAGATAATGGACGATAGAAGGAATGCAGTATGGTATCCAGACCTCTTCGCAATGTGGGGTGTCTGTCTTTCCTAGATGTCTCACTACTTCTTGATAGCTCGTTGCGTTATTGGCGGCGAAACGAGCGAATTGAGCCGGTGTCCGGTTCTCTGCATTCAAGGTCGGCAGTGTTTGCCAGGGCAGGGAAACAAAGAACGTACCTAGGAGAAAGATTTCCTAGCTCTTGTACCCCCAACTATTGTCTAGAAGCGCTGCCGCGCATCGATTAACCCACAAGGCGCTATGGCGATACTTCTCTAGTGTCTGATCACCTTGATCCTGACCGGTATATCGCTTCATCATGTTATTTGTCATCGCCTTCGGAACTCTAGCTCGCATTATAACCACATAGTAGCTGCAAAAAATTAGATTCTGATATGCAACCACACGCACCGCGAAGTTTCGATCGTCCGCGCAGCGAGCAATGAAGCTACCATATTCAGAACCCCGCGTGATAAGATGCCCATATTTTGTTGGTAGCGAGGAAGGTATGACAATATCGTCCTGGTACTCATGAAAGAAAATAGGTCCAGAATAGCCCAGAATCATTTTCAGAGCCTCTTGGTTCCGGAAAACAGTATCGATGCCTGCTTTCTTTCTGGCTTCGTTCCATTGGGCTTCCGAAATGGGAATGGCGTGAACAAACTTGTCAAGTTGTTTCTTCCATTTAATACTTCCTCTGTCTGGCTCTAGACGTCGTGCGGGGCCAGCAAGCTGAGGCATGCATTCGACAAAACGAAAACTATTCGTAGAGGCCCCTGCATTCTGGGGGAGCTCAAATGCCAGAGCACTAATTGGGCCTGGAACGCCGAACAATGGCTGTACAATGGGCTGCACATTGATCAGCTGAGACTCGAGAAATCTGATATACTCATCGTCATTTCCTGGGAAGTTAAACAATCGCTGAGACATTGTGGTGTAAAAGACCGATGTATTTTCTTCGTGGCCGGGATCATCTTCCTTAAGAACGTACCCGGGTACTTACTTGATTTGGAAGCACAAACAACCATGCGTCGCGCTCAATCAGACTTATAGTGAGTGCTAGGGAGCCAGCCCAGTACACATCATCACGGAGACCATTACGTGCCTAAGACAATCGAAATATGGGGATTGGTCGCAAATCTTTTACCGTCCCGTCTCTAGAGGCTCACCTTCATTGGCCACGACCATGCTCACATTGCTTCCTCCATAGGGCTTGTGGTCAGCAGTCATTCTCGTTTGGTCTATAACCCTGCAGACTATTCATGTCAAATACGAGCTGACCGACAATACCGGGCGGCGATTTTGCTATTTTTCTGGGCCGAGTCAGCCTGGTCGTCAAGCCGCATGTCAATCAACACTTTGTCATTCTCAACTGCTATCGAATCTCAAGTCTCCACTCATTATTCGCGCCCGAAGTCCTCTCACCATCAAGCAGACATGAAAATTTAGAAAATTTTTAGAATTGGCCCCGTGCGTTATAAAGGAAACCCCGTTTTACCAACGTCTATCCGAAGAAGGCTGGACCATTTTCTCTAGTCTCCTCTTAACAAGCTTCCGATTCAAACGACATGTGCAAGGCTCGGAAAGGTAACATTTCACCATAAACCATATGTCATATCAAGTGAATTCTTCAACTGTTTGAATGCATCCACAATTATCTCCTTCTTACTCTCGAGCATAACAAGCCCTCTTTGGCGGCGCTGAGGGTTCTTTTCGTCGTATGGAGGCGAATCGCAAATTTGCGCTTCCGTGGCCCAACAGTAATCAAGATGTTCGCCTTCCCTTAACTGTATAGGTCCTTCATCTATACCGACTGGCTCCTGCTGTTTGTCGCACCATATTCGTTGGGGCTGGATTGGCTCACAGACATCCATGGGTACTGTGTATCTGGCCATCGGAATTCCCTTATGTGTCTAGCTATCCCTATAGACCTTGCGAGAAACGCACCGGCCACGTAGGTTGACTTCTTCTTTCGTTTCTCGTTTCGCAGTGGTCAAAATAGTTTGATCGGTTTTCTCACAAGCTCCCCTAGGCGGCTCCCAGGTGAAGGCCCATGAGTTCCGTTTGTCTTTGCCGTTCTCGTCTTTGCCTACTGGAGCCCGTAGACAGAGAAGAAGGCAAAGGGTACGCATTTGCGGGCAATAGCAGAAAATAAGAGCACTGGCGGAAAATCTGGCGATGTCGGGTTGTTTTTCTTGAAAATCGACCAAGGGGATATCGATCTCTTCCACTGGAACACTAGAAAAGCCCATGGCGTGGAGATAGTGAGTAAACTTAGGAAGGAGGTATGCTGCTGTGCTCGCTGCACATTTCGGCGGCGGATACTGGATATTTAAGCTGCTCTGTGTTACGGATATGCCAGTCACCAATCAGTGTGGGGACCCGCAACTACCAGATGGGCTACCAAGAGCCAAATAAACGTATCTGTCAGCAGGTTAGATCTACTCGGCGGTCTATCTGGCACCGTTCCTCGATACCTCAGAAGGACAACAGTACGGCCGAGAGAACAGATCGTTGACGTTGGATACTGAGTACTAAGGCAAGTATAACTGGATCCTGTCTGATATAACTGTGACTAGTTTGTAGTCTGTAACACTCGGTCCCACCAACTATCACACTTCTTGTGTATAGTAGTTGGCATTCTCATGCTGATTGGACTTCATTTGTAGAGGAGACCACTTCATGTACGTTCAGAATCCATTGGCAATTGAATCGACCCTGTAAATATCAGACTACCTGCTAGACATTGTTTTCTATTTGGTCATCCTTGCGCCTTTTGCCAAAAGTCTTCATCAAACTTTCTATATCCAAATCGCCATTGTACACGGCGCTGTTATTCTTCACTGACCCACCACTGATCATATGGCTCGTGGTTCTATCGGGATGCTTGCCTCTGACGTCGCCGTTGATCACAAGTGAACCTTCATCTATTTCTATCCCAAATAAGCCATGTGTGGACCGTCTGGAAGAAGTACCTATAGGGCAGGAGATATTAGATTTTTCTTAAGTGAGGGCAGCAAGGAGTGAGACAATATCGCAATACCTGGTCGACTTCTTTTATCCTCGCCTAGAGGAACGAAATCAGAGGAATGGCTCTATAACCAAAGTCAAATGATTAGCTAGAAGCCGGTAGTTTCTTGATCACAACTCACCTTTTCTTGCAAAGATAGGGCCACATCTATATGGTGCTGAGAAGTGACAGGAGGACCACCACTAGGATGTTCTTCGTTCTTGTTTTGATCCATATCAAGCAATCAGAATCAAACGGCCGAAGAAAATGAAAAATGATTATCGAGTGAATGCATTGCAGAGAGTGGATGATGTCGTATTTATATCCTAGGGTCCTCGCTATAAGATCAATCAAGCCAGTCTCAAGATGAATGAGACTGAAAGAGTAGCCTAACAAGTAGATTGGTCACACCGTGTTTTCGCATCCGCTGCCAGTAGCCACGCGTGCCTTGATCCCTCGGGATTTGACCTCTTCGAATACTTCCAAATTAACTTTGCACATCCCCAGTGTTGATCTGTCTGCTAACTTTGCTTCTTTCCGTGCGAGATATATCTCTCACTATCGAAAGGCCACTCAATCCCGAAACGGCATAGCTCCGAATGCATACACACCCTACATACATATTATGCCGTGTGCAGAGCCCGAATCAGCGCTGTTATTTGTTTAGTCTGCTAAGGCCAGCCGGCATATCGGTTGACTTGGCCAGTGACCTGCTACCATGCTCTCGCCTCCCTAATCCCGATCCTTCTTACGCCCCCGGACCATAATGATCGGCATGTTCTTGCCTTTACATGGATGGCGAAGTGACAGACTTCCCGCGAAATTCCGCAAGGGCCTTTCTTGCTCCACTGATCCTTTCGAAATCCTTGTAGTCCAGCCAGCAAATTTCCAATTTCCCTTTGACGTCCAGCTCAACGTGTAATTTTGTTATATCGAATAGGCCATTCGCGTATTCAACACTGCGCACTTTGATCACATTCGTTCTGTTGGAGAACGAAGGGTTAAAAGTTTTCAGAACGTCGTCTGCTTTTCTGAGCGTGTTGAAATCTCCAAATTCCAACCAGCACAATGTTCTGCACCCATCGCTCTCTAGCTCGACATACAATATTGCGCTGTCCAAACAGGGCTCCTCAAAATGGATTTCCTTTATTCCGATCACTTCCGTGCTCTGTGTTTGGACAAGGCCTAATATATCGAATTTGACAGCATAAGAAGCGATGCTCTCCGCGTCTCTGACATTGACATCGCGGTTCCCCATCCCCGCTTTCTGCATTCGACGTAGTATTGGGTCTTCCATCCAATAGAGAGGCCTTGCTTTCGGTAGGTCTTCATTGTTTGGTTTACGGGGGATATGCAGCCCTTTGTTTGGTCCACTCTATGTCTTGATTAGCTTTGAATGTGCAAGGAGTAAAAGTCCGTACATTCGAGCGTCCTAGGCAGGCATAGAATAGATGTAAGAGATAATTGTTCATGTTGGGTTGAGCAGATATGTGTTTGGATACACTAAAAGTACACTGGACTTAGAGACTTATATATCACAATACCGCACTAACTGAGGCCAAAACTCAGGGGCATGTTCTACAAAGACCATGATTCTGGACTTCAGGGTCTGAGCGGGCCTGGATTCTGAGAAATCAAGTCTGCGGGCTCTCCTATACCCGTTCCGTCACCTTCGGGGTTTATGAGTCAGCGTTACAGTAGGGCTCTGACCGAAATCCGATCTCCCTTGTTCACATGTCGATAATGCCAGCTCGCCGTAATCCACCAGTCACTGCGGAAGGTCTGCTTCACGATCTATCCACTCAGATGGAACATTTTCTAAGGTTTCTGGAAGCCGATGTCTCTCCAGCCTTTGCAGAAACTAGCACAACCAGTTCAGTGGATTTTATTTTACGTGGTGTGAGTTCACGCTTATGGATCCGACGCCTACAAACCATCTTTGAATGGTCTTCTCTGGCCTTGAGAGAGGAAGAATGGCTACGAATGCAAGGATTAGACCGTGCACATCCTGGGAGCTAGGTCCGCGGTGTATGGTCCATGCCGTCTTTCCTTCGTCACCTAGGGCAGTCAAATGATCACAATGCTTGTAGTGCCCTTCAACAGGGGCGAAAGATTAGGAGGTTTGAGATTGAGTTTGGTGAAGGAATTGCAATTTTGTTAGCTCCGGTCTTGCCTACTTTCCGCCGATTATCCCTTGTCGAAGAAGCCAACGCCAAGCAGCTTCTGAGAGCTAGCTATATCAACATTCTTAATAACGCACAACAACTTCTGCATTTCAAGTCCAAGTATCAAACATTGGTAATAGCTCATATCCTTTCCTTTCCTTTCCTTTCCTATTTCTCACGACTAATACAATTCTGCGTCTAGGCAACACGTAAAAAGTGAAGGCCAATGATCCTTCCTAAACTGCGTTTTCCCACCTGGCTGCTTCTTCTGCCCACTTGGATGCTTCTTCGGAATCATTGACCTGGTGTGTTTTCTTGTAACGAAGTGTCAATAAGTGTTCGAGTTGGCGAAAAACCTCGATGCGTGCGTAAATAGCACCCACCGCCTTGCGAGACCATACAATGGCCTCATCGAGGTGATCTATCGTGTTTGTTGCTTCGTATAGAAGTCCGAGCTTAGTCCCGAGCTCATAGAAACAATCTCTAAGCAAATAATACTGAGGGCTGATGACCGTCATTTTGTTGATCGCAATGTGAGCTTCGTTGATCGCATCCCGAAGGTCAGAGAGCCCTCCGATATGTCTGTATCGGGCTTCTAAGTTGTTTCCGAGATCGCGGATGCAACCTAACCACAATTCATTTTGATCATGGGTACAACCTAACCACAATTCATTTTGGTCATGGGTAGTCTGAAGAGCACGTTGACGTAGTGAGATCGCGTGATGAAGATCTTCTATATTTTCCAATGTGTCATATCGGATTTCCAAATTGAAAGCGAGCTCAACCAAGATATGGAAGAGGGAAGGGGAATCTCTAGTGGCCGTGGCCTCTTCAACTGCTAGGGAAAGGCAACAAATAGCATTGTTGAGATCGGCGGTACTTCCTGTAGAACCAAACCGTCTTCCGAGCCTTTCCCCGAGTTCGAACCAGTACAGTACAAAAGCATTACCATTTGTAATGCCAATTTGTGCAGTACGAGTAAGTTGAATCGCTCGATCAAGGTCAGGTAAAAATCCCGTGGATTTGAATCGAGCTTCGAGTAGTCCCGCCAGAAGATCTAGGCGCATTCTGTACTCAGGGTGGTTGGAAGTAGTCATCTTAGCCGTAAGCCAAAAATAGTCGATCGTTAAGTTGAGATCAACGATATCCTCTGTCAGTTCATATCGTAGATACAGTGACATCCCAAAGTCCTCGAGGAGCTCGGGATTAACAGCGGCCCGAAGTGCTAGAAAGCCAAGCTGAAATGCTTCATCAACATCACCTGTCGGGTTTGTAGGCTCAACTGGAGCGTGGAAACTGCTTTCTAGGGCGTATAAGCGTGGGAAAAGCTGATCACCGCTCGTTTCGCGATGTTGGCTTTGGTCTAGGTGTTGGAATCGAGATTCGAATAACCCCACTAGACGATGTAGGTGCGCTGCATAGTCGGCATAGGAAGTCGTTTTAGTCGCCAGCTGACAGCACTGTACTGCTGTGTTGAGTTCAAGCTCATTGGGACTTTGTGTTTGCTGGTATCGAGCATCCAGCTGCATCCCAAGGTTTTGTAAGAGTGCAGGATTAACAGCGGCCTGAAGCGCTAGAAAGCTAAGCCGAGCTTCTTCATCGATATCACCCGTCGGGTTTATAAACTGATGTTGAGCGTGGGAACTGCTCTCGAGGGCGTCTAACTGTAGGAAAAGCTGATCATCGCTCGTTTTGCGACATAGGATTTGGGCCGGGCAGTGGGACCGGGAATTGAGCAATTTCACTAGACGATGTAGGCGTACTTCATAGTCGAAATGAGTAGGCGTTGTAGTCGCAAGGCGGTAACACTCCATCGCTGCCTCGAGATCATTCGAACTTTGTGTTTGCTGATATCGAGCATCCAGCTGCATTCCAAGGCTCTCTAAGTGGGCGGAATCAATAGCGGTCTGAAGCGCTAGGATACTACGCCAAATTGCTTCATCGATATCACACTCTGCTGAGCTTCTAGATTGATCTTGCGTGCGTCCAAGGGCATCCGAGGGTGCGGGAATCCGGTCATTGCTCATTTTGAGAGATTGGTTTTTGGCTGGGTATTATATGAGACAAGCTTATAGACGGGAATGATCAAAGAAGGTACTTACAATAACAAGTCTTCGCAGCAAGTGATTTTCGAGAAAACAGATTGAACAAAGTTGAGGCCGGAGTCACGGAGTTTGTGGGCAACGATACGGAAGGATTCTCGGGTATGTTGAGAAAAGGGTATGGTGAGCTACCTCAACGTGTGAGATTCGACACATTTATAGTCCACCCTTATTTCGAAAAAGGTGCAAGGTGCAAGGCAAAGGATACGAAGTAGGTATCAGGTCGAAAAAGGTGCAAGGTGCAAGGTGCAAGGTGCAAGGTATCAGGGAACTTACGCCTATTACGCAGCCCTTTAGATCATTGGCTTAATCAACTGATATGACGGGTGGTCTCGACAGGCCGATTCGGGCTCCATAAACAATATAATTTCTATGTAGGGTAAGCATTCCGAGCTATACCGTTGTGGGATTATATGGACCTTCAATAATTGTAAGCATGACTATGTGTTATCCCAAAATTGCTGCTGAGCTTTGCTTTCTTTCAATCTCGTGTCGGTACTTTAAATGCAGGAGTATATAGCAAAGAGCTTTCTTCGATTTAAGGTCCGTTGCCGATTGTTGTAAGACAATCGGATCATCGCTCCTCAAGGGAATGAACTTTATAATCCCATAACTCTCCATAACCCGTGTAACACTAGCTGTCTAAATATGTAGGGCGTGCATTTAAACCCATAACGTTTTAGTATTATATGACTTTTCGCTTTGCCTGAACTTTTCGTGATCTTAACCCTATTCGACTGCCCATAGTCTCGCTGGCTAGACTGGCCATGGGTTTGGGTCCAAATTGCGAGATTTTCGTTTGCTTCTAAGATAAGTTCTGTTAGGAGACACCATTATATCGCAAAGTAGAGCAACAATAATCTCTATGAGTGTTGTATATGAAGCTAAAAAACAGGTAGAACACTATCACAAATTCATATCACGACTTAGAATCAAATATTCATCTCTTTCAATGCTGTATTTCCGTTTAATATAGCGCCACTCATTTGCTCCCACGAGACTCTTTGCAACCCTAAGCTTGTAATGAAGGTTGAGCAGGTGGAGCTTGGACGACGCTTTTCCACGAACGTAGTGACAGCTATAAACATAGCCTTTTCGGTTGTTGTTATATCTGACATAGAACTTCATACAGACAGATCGTGGGGTCCAGACTACACCTTCGTATCTCTCGAAATCAGCAATTTCGCCGAGAATTTGAACGCTTAAGACTGGTCCCTGCAGCTGTGTCATCACTCAAATCTGCATTGTTAGCATTTCTAGAATTCCCCTAAGTAACCCGGCCTTTACTTACAAGACTCTATACGATTGAAATAACCAACTTCTACCGACATACGCTGGATTGGCCTTTTCGACAACCTTTCGAGGGTGCGAGAGTGAATTGGAGTAGAGAAGGGGTCTGGAAGAATAATGACGGTATCACTAATAGAAGATCGAGCCGATTGGGTGGGAGCAGGAGGAATAGTATCTAAATAAGCACGCTTAGTATATACGGAGGAGCACACTGGTGAGATGCATTTTGGGAAGTGGATGCTACCGTGAAATTGTGGCTGCTGGTATCTAGTGTTGGGGTTTATAGCTTCTTCTGTGTTTCTGCCTTTTGTGCTCTGCTCTTCTTGGGTTGCCCCGGTGGACGGCGAATCGTCTTGAATGAATAAAATCCAGCTAGGAAGCAGTCTTCGTATCAATGAAGTTGGAATACAATTCATAGGGGTTCCTTATCAAGCTAATAGCTATTCTGGTAAGATGGGTGTAGAAAGGTTGGCTAGCAGAGCAGCGTCAATGGGTTATTATACTGGCCAATTGATATTTCTTTATCAAAATCCCAACGCGTCGTCAACTTTTCTCTTTATACCAGAAGGAGGGGACTAGAGGTAGCTCCATATGAACAAGTTGTATTTTTCGTTAAAACACCAGCGGGCTACCACTGGGGTTGCTCGCTTCTCGATCTCTTTTGGTGCTAGGAGCGGATACCGCCAGTGTCTTCCACGAATAAGAACTTTTGGTTTGTTTTCCTGCTTGATGATATAGATCAAATGAAATGTAATAGCGAATGAGATATATCGAACAAACAATTACTAATTTGATAAGCCATTCGCATTGGATAAGTCCTACGTCAATATGCTCTACAATTCTACAGAGCACAATTTTACAGAGCCTTAGTACTTTGTATTGATATCACCAGCCCATAGGGTTGGCTGGTGATAGGGTTGACGAAGCTTCTGACTTCGCGGCTTCTTCCCTTTACCAAAATAGGCAAGCGCGCCCCTCTCCCTTCATCCGGTGAATACATGAAGCTTCAGTTCTTAGGCCCACGAGAATGCCGGGGACATCGATGTCGGAAATTCTGTTCTCTTGGTGGGTCCTTTTCCATTGTGCAGTGGCCTTTGGTGACCTTGTTAACACATGGAAATGGCACCGTTTCCTCGCATCCACATCCATATTTGTATGTATATTGACAACACATAATAGATGACTGCCTCACTTGTAAGCCATATTAGCCTGTCGTCTATACACTCTGGGTTGATAACATGGCGAACCTCAATAATCAGGAATTATACAGCAATGCGTTGGTTGCTTCAACGGAGATGTGAGGCTGGAATTATTTAGACGAAGCAAGTCAGGACAGATCCAAAACCAGAGAGCGCAGCCTCTTGTAAGGGTAAACCAACAATAGTGCAAAGGAAAATAATCGAAATAAAAATGTTCGTGTTTCAATCCAGATAAAGGGCAAGGGATATATGTAATATACGAAAGGTTTCTCTTTCTAGATACAGAGCCTATGCTACAACGAATAGGGCTTCAATTAAACTTGAATATCAACCAAGTCTGACTTCTTAAATTACTTTGGTGATGGAGACAGGACCTCCGGCTCCTTAACACCGCCTGTGGTATCGTATGCGGCTTGATCTGAGCTTCGGATGATGATCTTAGTCCCGGCTACTGATATTGTTTTGGTTCTTTTCTAAAGCCGACTAGTTAGCTACCTTTGAAAAAGATGGCTTAGTCACTGCCACGCCCGTATTGTTATTATGCTACCCTTTAATTGAAATTTCCTTCTTCAAATATAGAGACGGAAAGCAACCACTGGTATAGGGTATAGTAGTATAATTATTTGAATCAAAACGCTGTAATTCGGTTTGATTATACTTGTATGTATTAGATGGGGGTCTTAAACGATTAGTCTTTATGTGCCGGAACCTACAGATGATTTTGTAGAGCGAATGGATCGGTATCCACTAGTAATTATGAGAAGAAATAAACTAAGATGTTCTTGAGCTCGTAAGACCGAAGAAGAATCACCTACTAAGAAGAAAGGCCTATTTATCGTTTTCGGTAATTAAGCTTTATTTCTCAACTTTGCTGCAACCTGGCTTGAAGTAACATAAGTGGCCGCGAACTTCTTGCTATTCCTATAGGAGAGAAAGATATACGCTCTTTAGGAACTCCAAAATCCGAAAATGCTTTTTTAAGAAACTACTGCCGGCGGTGGTTCTCGAATCTCTAATTGGACGGTAGGATGGCACGGACCTAGATCTTCTAACCAATAGAATACTGCTGGCGGCTGTTTTGAATTTTCTGTGGTGAAGTTGGCTCTTTACTATAGTACTGGATCAGCAAGGGAATTGCGAGGGGAACCAGGACGCAATTATACCTTGTGGCCGATTTTTAATTACATGTGAGAAGATACATTCTTTCAAGACCCTTGGATACCACCGCACATAAAAGATGCCGATTACAGGTTATATCTCCGATATCTAGTTAAGGCTCTCCAGGTATTAGTCACAACCTTAGATCAGGGAGTCCAATTGGTCGAACACAATAAATGTACACGTGCTAGGGCCAATCAGCACTCATTAATAATTCTGTATTCTCGCCAAGGTAACAAATTAAACATGTAGATTCATTCTAACAAAGACAAACCCCCTTATAACATGCTCGTAGTATTGTATTATTGGCTCCTCACAATACGGACTAGATGAAACATACTTCTGACGAATCCACAGGAATTTTGACATCACCTTGATAGAATACACCACATGCGTCTTAGTATACAATTCGAAAAACTTGGGTGACGTTCGTGACCATATCCAAAGATAATCGCTTGTATGAAACTTTCAGTAGCACTAGGTCATGCCCATGGGAATCCTTTTCTCCGTTGAAGGCAACAGTCATCAGCTTCACCGGGGATTCCCCGTCCCATAAAGCGCATGACCCTTTGAAATAACTCTTGGGATCGATTTTATAACCAACCAGCATAGAAGCTTGGATAAACTTTGCTATGTCGCTCTGGAAAAGGTCCTTGTTGTGGATGTGGTTGTACAATTCCATTGATATCTCGTCCCGTGATAAGTCTTTTCTCGAACGTAACTTGTCAACGGCTCTAACTGCGTATTCGATTTCGTATATCGTCGAAATATCATCTGGCCCATATGTCGCATTGACCAGAGATACCGGTAGAAGTATTGGGGGTTCATTCTGGTTGCGTTTGATAACATCTACTTCGTATTAGCGACAAATTCCAACGTCTATTTGGGTTGCACATACACGCTTGGCCTAGCTCGATCCCAAATGCCATCGTTTGGGTCACTTGGCTGAGTCTAACTTCTTGAGCAATATTGAATAGGATTTTGTAATTGATTTATACATTCCATAGGGAAGAAATATCCTTGACCGCTTCTAGTTGAAAAAAAATAAATCATGAAATTGATTCATAGTTCAATTAAAGCGACCGAATATTGTCATGGTTTCACACTTCGGTGTTTACCAACCCCGAAATGCAGCTTCTTAAATTACAGTTGACGGAGTATATGGCTCGGATTTTCTAATTTATTGGATTTTTTTATAATACTAGGCAGATAAGAATCATACTCATATGATTTTCTTATATGGGAGTTATTACTTGACTTCGCTTCTTAATAGAGGCGGGGTATACGCTAGTTTGATATTGCGCACCAAGGAGACTTCAACGTAGCCCCCCTTAGATACAAATCTCGTCTTTCGAATTAAGCAGGAAAAGGCAGTCACCATCGGGGAATCGCGGCTACCAAAAATATATAATTATACCAACAATTTCCCTCGGATCTCCCTACCACCCCTCCATACTATCATGACGACCAGCGAGCTTATAATATCTCCACTGTAAAGATAGAGGCGGAAATAATAGAAATAAACTGGCTCTAACCAATGGAGACAGTGAAATATGCCGCTTATAGATTGAAGCATACCAGTAGATCTGCGATATCTCCTAATCTAACTCAAGGAGTGGTGAAATCCCCCCATAAAACCTCAATGAACCAGAAATTACACTCCTCCCTCAGAGACACCAGTGCACCTAATCTCAAAGGCAGATCATATCTATAGGCATGTTCTATCTGCCCTCCATTTATCCGAACAAACACATCCGTCTGAATTCGTTTGGCTAGTTTTGCTGCGTATACGTCGATGTCGTCAGCATATTGTATATCCCAATCTAAAAATTGCAACATAGCCTTTCCTGCCGGCCCGTAGAGAGTCGAGTCTGGTGATGTCTTTATCATTCTAGTATAAATATGAGCGATTGAAAACATAATGCCCCGGTTAAGGAATAAATGTTGACAATTTTTCAAAAGTTCTTCGGTACATAGGATAGCAAAATATCTTGCGCCCAATTTTGTAACGACCACAATCGGCACTGTAGTGGTTAGCTAGAGCCCAATCCTATTTGATAAGTCAAACAAACCTTGTGTGTCAGCAACATGGAAAATTGTCCACGCGGGGTTGATATTTGGAAATGGAGGCGTAAATTCCGGGAGATGGAAACCGGGGGATAACACGTCTTCCTTGATAAGAGTGGCGTCGAGTTCTGGCGTGCCAGGTGTTTGGGGGCTGGACTGGTCCATGAAGAAGTTTGCTTTCTGTTTTGAAGAAAGCCGTTCCTACGCCTTTCGAGATAATGTGATCCTGAACCATAGCAAGAAAGAATATCGGACAGCAGATGGGGGCCCCAAACCATTAGACTTTATGTGCCTGAATATGAAGATGATATTGTAGAGTGAATAGATCAGCATCCCGTAGTCATCATAAGAAGACATGAACCAAGATGTTCTTGGGCTCTCGAGACCGAAGAAGAATCACCTGCAAAGAAGACAGGCCTATTCATCCTTTTGGTTATTAATCTTTGTTTTCTCAACTTTGCTACAACCTGGCTGGAAGCATCACAAGTGGACGCGAACTCCTTCCTATTCCTATAGGAGAGATAGGTATACACTCTTTGGGGACTCCAAAATCTGAAGATGCTATGAGAAACTACTGCTGGCAGTGGTTCTCGGATCTCTAATTGGATCTACGCGAGGCGGGATGGGTTAGCACGGACCTAGATCTTCTAGCCAATAGAAACTGCTGGCGGCTGTTTTGAATTTTCTGAGGTGTAGCTAGCTCCTTACCATACTACTGAATCAGCCCTTTTGATGGCTCATGCACCAACGTGCCACTTCATAGCACTGGTCCGTGTCTAAGTGATCTATGATGATGCATCAAGGCCGTGAGGAGTGATTCGGCGTAATTCATGCACCAGCTTTCTATAAGTAGGGGTCTCTGGCATTCGAGTTTGGTATCTATTCAATTTTGCTCTACCGTATCCGCACAATACTCAGATCATTTTTAAACAAGCCTTTCTTATCATCCAAGATGAAGTGTGCAAAGTGCGGTTTCAATAACATAACTCACCCGGAGCCCTTCCCCTGTGAGAAATGCCAAGCAGAAGTTCCAGGGTCTCAAAAGGTCTGATTTCGCTTTCCTTCTTTTCTAAAACTGTCCATAATGTCTGCCTTGTGCATAGCTGAGCTCGATAATACAGACTCTCCAGAACGGGCAGCTTTCGGGCCACGCTATGAATGACGAGGTATCCACGGGACTGCCCCTTTGATGTATCGTGGTACTGGCGAGAGACCTCCTTACTGCAATGATTGATATCATGCTTTGGTCCTTGGGCATCCTATCCACAGTTCATTCTTTACTCTGTCGCACCCTGACCGTGTATGTACTACGTACCTTGCGACAGGCATCTGGCGATAGCCCACAGTCATTCTTTAAGCATGAAATTATTAGCAAATTAAACACCTGATTTCATGAATATCAAATCAATTACACTGTCCTTCTGTATTCGCTTGGTATCGTTGTTGCTGGAGTAATCTACCGGCTGCTGCCCCCTAATGTCGGATCCTTACAACTTGGCAATGCAAATTGACGGAATTCACTGACTCCCGGTATGTGGCCATGTGGTACCTCCAGTTTGATCTCAAATGCTAGCCTCGCAAATGGACAAATAACGTAATTAATACTCATCATTCCATCATGCCCTTAGCTTTGGCACCAACTCTCGGCGTTCGTAAAAGTATTGGATTAGTCAGCCCTAAATAATCCCGTCTCTCGATTGCCCCTGATTTTCCCCAAAAAGACGCTCGATTTTGTCTGACAGAAACAAATCGCCTATATTTAGATATTAATGAATCGGTTGCTACATTGATCATGATGGGAAATGCTGTTTCAGAAACTCCGTGTACACTGTGCAACAGTCTCATTGGCAAAATCCCAATATCTACCAACCGACATAGCCGCTGGCTTAAACATATAGGTCAAGGGCTCAGCGGCATTCATCACATGCATGGGGGGCGGGGGGGGGTCACTTTCAGGTCCTGGAACCTCTTGGTTTAGTTGCTATCTGCCTATTTCCAGCTAATCCCACACAGTTCATAATATGTACCGCACTGGAACCCCTTGGTGAGTGGTATTCATGTATTTAGGACAGGGTTCCCCGCTCAGTCCATGTAGCTCTCCAGTCTAAGGTAAAGCCCCACTTTTACCCTGCGATTTCAAAAAATCAAAATAGTTTCTGGTATCTCACAGCTGGGAAACTTCTGCAGATCTGCATTAATCGAAGGGTCGCAATAGTTCTCACCATGTGAGCTTTCCGCAGCCGAAGCGCGATATGTTTCCCTGTGTGGTTTGAAAGACGCACCGGCACAATTGAAGGTATGCATGGCCCCACCTAGAGGATGATCGAGAGTCACTTAAAATATGTGGAAAGTTGCCAGCGAATGGGATCCCGAACGACAAATCCAATATGCAAACTTAGAGCGGGGCCGTGCTAGTTGCACCAGCACAGGGCAGGGGCGGTGAACAGCTGCCCTCCTCGACTATAACTAACGATAAATCCCTTTTCCCCTTCTACAAAACATGAATTTCTCAGCTTTCCCCACGATGTCTGAAGAATCATCTAAAGGTTGCATCGCATGTGGTTGGACGCTCGATCAGCAAGAGCAGTGCTTTTACTCGAGCCATGTCAAACTCTTCTATGGTGCAAGTAGGCGGGGAGTGTGGTCGATCGGGTCTGATGTTATTTTAAAAGAACGCCCTGACGAAGGCCCGAAAACCGAAGTGATCACCCTGAATCACCTTACATCCTACTCCAATATCCCGGTTCCAAAGATCCTACGTGACTGGGTTGACGGCAACGGGCGATACTTTGTACTTCAAGAGCGGATACAAGGCCAAACGCTCGAGAAGGCCTGGTCTTCGTTATCAAAATCTCAGAAAATGGATATCGCAGATGATGTTATTAGAATTCGAAAGCAGCTTCGATCCTTTAGGTCAATATCTATACAAAGTATTGATCAAAGTCCTTGTTTTCCGGGTCTACTCTTTTCTGACCGCGAGCCACACGGACCTTTTCACTCCGACAACGAACTCTGGGATGCTATAAGCCTTACTCTCCACGATCCACCTACCAGATTGTTCCCTCAACGAGCCCTAAACAATCTGAAGAAACGTCTGCCTAAATGTGAACCCTACGTTCTGACTCATTGTGATCTTAATTTGGGCAATATCATGGTGAAAGACGGAGGGCTGGCTGGGATTCTTGATTGGGAATTTGCTGCATATTATCCTGTATGGTATGAATACGTCTCGGCCTCTTGGGGGTGGACAGAGGAGGACGCCGAGTGGAAAAGGATTCTACGAGAGCGTATGGGTGTACATGGCGAAGGATATGATGATGCGAAGGATTTCTGGACTGATCTGCGTCATCTGAGAAAATACCCGAATTTGGATGAAAAGGGCCGAGAAGTTTTGGATAGGTTGTCTTCGTATTAATGGCAAAGGGACAGAAATAGAGATTCTACCCGAATTAAGCAAATGTACTAGCGTTAATACAATGACGTTTTGGTTGTGATAAATGAGACATCCGCCTTGTTTATCCAGGGCCCTTTTTCTAGATAGATCAGCCTTCTTCCTCAGCTATTCATTAATCATGATCTTTTCTCCCCGAGCTTTGCTATCACTTGGGCGAGGGAGATGATAACCTTGTATGGAAACAGGGGTATCAGCGGGCTGATGTACGGCCGGCAGTCTAGTGGGCTGCGAACGCTTTGGTCCCCCAATACACCCAATCACCGGCGCGTTGAGCTTCCACATCACGCATCACATGGTGCCTTTGCTCTCTGGTCTTTGCTAAGGGGCATGGGTCTAACAGGGTTCTCCTCCCAGACTACACGTAAGGTGCATGAGTTCTCTCCAATTTATCTTCTTGTGTACATTTCAGTACGCCCGTCTGACTTAAGATACCCCTGACAACCAACAAAAGCCAGGTACATTCTTATAACCACACTCAAGCAGAATGGATATATCTTCGGCTCTTGAATTACTTCGGAATGCCCCTAGCCAATCTTTAAAAGATCACAGAAATGAAGCCGTTGCGGCTCTTCGAGAAATTGAAGCGCGTCTGAGAGATTTTGATTCCCCACAGTGAGATCCATCCTTCCTCAAACCTTCACGGCGATGTTTAATATATCTGATAGTCATGAAGCCGTGCACGAGGCCTCTTCCGTCGAGCAACCCGCCGTAAGTAGCCCGACCAAATCGACAAAGCTTCTAAATGCCTTGAACAAAGTCTCAACTTGGGTGTGGGAATCCATTCATCTTCAACCAAAAGACGTCTTAAATATCAAACGCCCACGTGTCCGTGATAGGAGGCTTGCCGATGTCCGCAGAGTTGAGGGGGATCACAAGGCTGAAGAAAAGTACAAATTATTGAGGGCTCTGGCTCAGAGGTCGCTTGCTCTCCAGGGTGAGAAGTCTGGCTATCTGGATATTGAAAGGTTATGTGAGATTGTATCTTCCAGGGGAAAGAAAAGAGTCAACATTGGACGTCAGGGCAAGATTTCCAAATATGTGACATATGAACTGGCTATCGAGGAGGAAGATGCATCATTTGCCATCAGAGCAATACAAGCTGGCATGAGACAGTTAGTGATGGAACGACTGCTTAAAGAAAGGCTTGGCGATGGGGGGCAATGTTGCACTGCATCGGGAATATCTGCCTTCACAGCTCTTACCGTCACACCTTTCAGGTACCTCAACTACGGGGAAATTCCAGAGTTTCTGGATAATTTGCTCCAGTTAACTTCAATGGATTTGTCGGTCAAGGAGGACGAGCAGGAGATAGACCATTCTTCGCGACCCTCCATTGCAGATATTATTAAGAAAACTTCAGTATGGTACGACCAGCTGCAGACATATTACAATAGTAAGTCTGATGGTGTCGGTATCAACTTTTGACTGATATTCTCCTTAGAAGTCGTTGATATCCGGGCAGACTTGGAAAACTACCAAACGAACAAGCGGATGCGTATGCAAATCAGCTCTTCGGCCTGTGACCATATACCTAAGCCCAATGGACAATCTCAGCTGTCGGGCCGGCTTATTACACCTAAGCAAGCTACAATACAATGTGCTATTAGATCACCTTCGCCTTGCCTCGGCGAAAATGGAAATATTCACTTCCGATGCACTGGTTCAGAAGGAAGTTCGGGTTCATTTGAAGAAGAGTTTGACACCCCTGAGTCAAATCTTTCAGATTCTTCCCAGGACATAGGCCCAGAAACCACAGATGCTGAGTGCACTTCTAACATTACAACCCAAATACGCAAATCACTATCAGCCCGAATCGCTCGAAGTGGCACCAGCCATTCCTGGTCAAGCATGCCAGAAATGACCGCGTGGGCTGATGTACCACTGATAGAACCAGCACCACTCCAAGCACTCCAACCTGATTCTAGTAATTCTTGGGCGAATTTACCCGCCATGGCAGTAGGCCATGTTCCCAATACTCGCCCTTTAATCAATGATATCCCTCAACCCGATGCCAGTGACGCCTGGGCAGATTCAACCGCGATGATAGCAGGCCACGTTCTGTCCAACCGTCCTTTGTTGGAAATCCCTCAACCCGATGCTAGCGATGCCTGGGCGAATTCGACCGCGATGGCAGCAGACCATGTTCTGTCCAACTGTCCTTTGTTAGATATCCCTCAGCCCGATGCCAGTGACGCCTGGGCGAATTCAACCGTGATGGCAGCAGGCCACGTTTCATCCAGCCGTTCTTTGTTCAACAACGTCCCTCAGCCCGATGCCAGTGACGCCTGGGCGAATTCAACCGCGATAGCAGCAGACCATGTTCTGTCCAACCGTCCTTTATTCGAGATCCCTCAACCCGATGCCAGTGACGCCTGGGCGAATTCAACCGCGATGGCAGCAGACCATGTTCTGTCCAACCGTCCTTTGTTAGACATCCCTCAGCCCGATGCCAGTGACGCCTGGGCGAGTTCAACCGTGATGGCAGCAGGCCACGTTCCATCCAGCCGTTCTTTGTTCAACGACGTCCCTCAGCCCGATGCCAGTGACGCCTGGGCGAATTCAACCGCGATGGCAGCAGACCATGTTCTGTCCAACCGTCCTTTATTCGAGATCCCTCAACCCGATGCCAGTGACGCCTGGGCGAATTCAACCGCGATGGCAGCAGACCATGTTCTGTCCAACCGTCCTTTGTTAGGCATCCCTCAGCCCGATGCCAGTGACGCCTGGGCGAATTCGACCGCGATAGCAGCAGACCATGTTCTGTCCAACCGTCCTTTGTTAGACATCCCTCAGCCCGATGCCAGTGACGCCTGGGCGAATTCAACCGCGATAGCAGCAGACCACGTTCCATCCAACCGTCACTTTTTCCCTCAACCCAATTCCAGCGATGCCTGGGTAAATCCCTATACCCAGATGCTTGAGAACACATCTCTCGACCTATGTATGAACAATGTTCCTTATTCTGGTGCTAGTGACGCGGAAGTACCAAAAACATCAACAGTTCAAGCACCTCAAACTAGTTGCAGCAACTCCTGGGCAAATTCGGCCGGAATAGCGGCAGTCCAGTTTGTTTCCAATCGTCGCAATGTTCCCCATCCTGGTGCTAGTGACGCCTGGTCTGTTGTATCTGCGACGGACTCAGCACTAACGCAAACCTCTCATTCTGATTCCAACGCTCCTTGGGCGAATGGGGCAGACGTGACATCAGTCCAGCACCCTGCGGAAGTGCCAGGAGTCACTAAGAAAACACAACCCATGACTGGTGGGTCTTCGTTGCAACCTCGAGATCAATCAAAAAGTCGGCAATATTCTCGCGTGGTGATGGTGAATTGACTTTCATTTTGTTTTCTGTCAGGCCAGATACATGAGACATGTAGTAATAAAAGTATATATACAAGAACAAATTGCCTCCAAAGCCAACGGTCAATTAGTCATACAAAATAGTATCAAATTGTGCTTAACAGAATAAACAACGATGTACCCCCTCCTTCTTCGGTCAACTGCATTTCACTATCACCGGAAACAACAACATAATCTCCAGGCGATAATGAACCTTGGTTTATTTTGGGAAATCCATTATTATGATCCATGTATTCCAGCCCAACAATCACTAAGTGCTTTCCAGGAAATGGTGGATCGAGCTTCCCTGCCCTTTTTGTCCAAACGACAGGATAGTAATCCACTACGGCACGCCAAGGGTCGTCGGGAAAGGTGATGCCGGTTTCGCTGGTAATTGACTGCAATTTTGCTTTATCCTTCAAGATGACTTAGTATTCACATTCTCATCTGGGGCACTGAGGCATACTTCGAGCAAGCATTCCACGACAGGGCGCACATCCTCTTTGCTCCTTGGTGAGACGAAGAGCCAAGGGTATCGATCATGAGATGTCCGCGTTATCTGTGATCTGACTTTAGCAGCTGCAACAGCAGCTGCATTCTCTAATGGCGACGTATACGGCATAACGAGAAAATCCGAAGGGGATATTTGGCGCAGTCTGAGGTTCTTCTAAGAAATCGTCGAGTCCAGTTGAAAAACAGTTGTGGAATATTCGGGTTGAAGGCACGATTTGAACAATGTAGTTAGGTTGTGAGAAAGTGGGCGAATGCCTGAGGGGTGATGGCGGGGATTGAAGCGAAAGTCGGGCAGTCATGCGGTAGTGTTGATCACATGATAATATCACATGATAGTATCACATGATAGTATCACATGACCAAAATGAAACTCACCCTAACAAAGTGATGACAGAATGCGAAGGAGGGATAAAGCTTCAATCAGAAAAGTGATGTCTAATGCATTGATAATTAAATAACATTTACCTTTCCCTCGATCTTGGACGTGGCCTCTAAGAGGAATGATTGGCACTACCCAGCTTCCCTTGCTTCTCACCCCGACAAAGGCAATTGTTCACTATATGCTTCGACTAAGTATACGACAGAAGAGAGCAAATGGTTCAAAGGCTATTGTCAGGATTTCTCGTTCGTAACTTAGCTTTAGCAACTCTCTGCTCAATCCAACCTCACATTACACAATGCACTTCGACGTCTCCGTAGACCTCTCTCCTCACAGCTATCCACTATACCAGTCAACCTCCACCTTGTGATGGAAAAGAAGACACCATCCTCATCACGAGCTCCGTGGGCGTATTGATCCAATCTACTAAGTGCCTAGTATCATGATAAATGCTGCGCCAAGAACAAGCTGCGGTAACGCCTAAGGAGGCACACTAAGCATGCACGACCAACCATAAAACCGAGGCATAGTCCCCTCGTCCATCTTGCTCGTCTCTCGACCAGTTCACTAAGTGGGATCCTACCAAGCTCTCATCCTCCGCATACGAGCCTGTCTTAACCTTATCGACACCAACGCACTTCTCGATCTCGTCCACGTGGTGCAGGGCCAGCTTTGGGTTGGCATATTCACTGCGACGAGTCCGGACAAAAGTCGCTGCTGAAACGTCCACGTTTACTTTCTCTGTTCTTCTCGACTGATCCTTCCTCTTCTGAACTTGGATGCTCCGGAGGAGTTTGAGGCCGACGACGCTTTCCCGCACCCGGCCGTAGTCGATTGGTAGAACCTTGCTGAAGTGTCTGCGCTCTCTGTTCTTCTTCAGCGCGTGAGAGAAAGTCACATAGCTGTCTCGATGTTATCGTGAATTCTCGATCGAGCCTTATATACTCTCGCGAGAGGTCCTCGGTCCCGAAGTCCCATAATGATAGTCGGAGCGTCGTTGCCTCAACTGGAAGTCCAGAATCTGTCCGAAATGGCTATAGATGTTAGCATATAATTTTCAAGAAGACTGGCGCGCAAAGGGAATGTACCAGAGCCTCGATCACAGCGGTCGCCTGAAGCTCCTCTATACCATCCACGGTCGTATATGTTGGTCGCCATACGGTGATAGTCGCTTTCTTAGACCCTTTATAATCAACATCGAGGGCAATCACGGCGTTCACGCTTCCATCGGTGTTTAGGATGTACTCGTCTGCTAAGTGCGAAACGCGTTGACTTTTTTGCGAATAGCATACCTCAATAATAACACCTGGATAGCGTGCCCGCCGGTGCTTAAAAGATGCATCTGGTTCCCGTTTGGAATAACTCTGCTTTCCATCCCTTATCTCATCAGGTATTATAATTCGGGAAGTGGCAAGGTGAACGACCTCATTCGCAAAACTAGCGGAGGGGTCTTCGCTTCGTTGGAACTGCTTTAGTTGCCGTGAAATCTCCTCGACTATCTTTGCACAGAAAACATCATGGAGAGGACTTGGCATTCGGATAGTTAGGTAGGAACGACAAGGGTCGTAGTCGTACCTATAATACAGCTGAATAAATGCCTTAAAATAGCGTCGCTTAGTAGTACTCACCTAACTTTGTCTTCGATATATCCTCGGAGAGAGTCGTCCCCATCTAGGACATGTAAAACTTCCGTATATTCGTCTAAAGCGAGCCGGTGCTGCCACCAAAACTGTGGCCTATGGCCTGCACGATGGAGCTTGAAGTAGTTTAGTACGCGTTGAGTGGTTTTCGACTTTTCTTTGGTAAGCGGCGGTGTTAGGGGAGACTCAAGGAAACTCCCCGGTGGAGTAATTTCAGTCGCCATGAGAGGTGTCCATATCCTTAGGAGATAGGTTGTTTATGTGGCAGATAAGAGGACAAGCAGTTAGTATCACGTGTTGATAAGATAGGCAGATGTCATATGCCTAGGCCCTCAGGTGACTACAGCTCGGGTCATCGATTAACTCAGAGGTCAGGTCACCATTTAGCACATGACTGTTTATGTCACCTGACATTCAGTGACCCGACCTCTGAATTCTTCATACAGTAGAATTCGAAATCAGTTTTAACTCTAAACTCTTACTTTTTATGCCCCGGACCCTAAGTGGAGACACGCTAATCTAATTTTAGCTCTTCCCCTGTTAATCCATGTAGGGCTGTATTGTATTCACTGGTAAAAGTTGTCACGAATAATATGCGATTTACTGTATCTATGAAAATGTGAGGATCGTTTGTGCATTGCTGTAATTAAATCACGATCTCATCACTATTTAGACATCCAATTTCATGATACATTCCAAAATCTCGTTGCTTGCTTCCTAGTCGCCTGCAACTTGATTCACTTTTAAATCAGTGCCTTCGCCACTTTCCATGTGTGCTATGATGCTTAATTCAATTTTCAAAATTATCGGTCTCATGTTGAAGAATTTGCACTCGCTGATTTATGATCTGACTGTGCATTGTCTCCAGAGGATTTTGAAGATGCGCTGCCTCCCCCGGAATTTGCAGAAAAGTGTGAAGCGACAGATCGATCACCGGCTGACTGAGCACGGGATGCGAAACTATTTGACGACATGTCACCGCCAGATCGAGCCTAGAAGAAAGGTTGGTCTCGCTCGAGAAAAGGATATGACGAGCCGCAATTTAATTACCTGGGATGACTGAATTCTGGACGAATCTGACTTCGTCATAGAATGCGAATGCGAAGGCATTTTAGTATAGTCGCAAATTTGTTGATCCTGCGTTATGTTACCCCCAAGACCGCAAGAGCGTACATTGCGTTATGTACTGCATATTTATGTTCAAACCCCTGGGCTGTCAAAGATGAGTGGTTGTGTCATGTGGGCCTCGCCACTTCTACCCCAATGTGCTCCTTGGTTATTCGACTTTCGTTGACGTCAAATAATTTAGTAAATTCGTGTTTAGAACAGCCGCATATCGATGTGATGACGAATGTGTCGTCGAAATTTACTTAGTGATGACGAGTTGACCTCTGTTAAAAACATTTCGTCTAGCGTTTCCCTAAGAAGATACTGGTGGCGTAAACTTTCTTTCTTCAAACTTTTGCACCACGCGCGACCAACTAGCTCATTGAGTTCAGCCCGATAATGAAGCCCAGTAAGGCGCTCACTTTCCAGGAGTATGACTAACTAGTCAATATCGAAATGAGTAAATCGCTAATGAGAATCAGATTTCTAGGTTCGGATACTGTCGAGCTTTACACTCCAACAAGCTCTGAGTCATGGAAGATTCACCGGAAGCTTGTGGTATCAAAATGCAAAGCTTTGGAATCAGCATTTACTCAGAACTTCTCGGAGCGCACTTCTGGGCAATACACCTTCAAGGAAACAACCCATGACACTGTTGCACGGTTCATTGAATGGACGTATAGGGGTGATTACTCGGAGGATGAGCTCACGCCTATGGACGTACCCCACGCAGAGAAGCCTGATCCCAATTCCCCTCAGTCAGGGCTTACGAGCGACGAAAACAAAACTTTGCAGGCACATACCCCCTTATGCCATCTAAGAGTCTACATCTTTAGTGACACTTATTTGGTCAGTGAACTCAAAGACCTGTCATTTGAGAAGTTCACAGCGGTTGTGAGAGACATAGGAAGACCAAAGAATCTGGATGAACAGCTTGCGGTCATTGATTGTCTGTCGTTGGCATTTTCGAAGTTGCCCCTCCACGATAAGCTTCCTGCATGGCTGGCTCAATATGCTGCTTGGTGCCTAGAAAACTTACGACTTCAGACCAAGTTCCATGAGTTGCTCCAAGCCATCCCATCACTAAGTTATCGCATGATGGATACTTTAAACCCGGCTAAAGAGGCTCCTTGGGATGTCAAACCCTTCAAATACCGCGTCCCCTCCTACGATGCCAGCGGTTTGTTTGAGGACAACGACTACTGAGATGAGAGAAATGGGAGGGTATTACGATCTTTACTTGCTAATTATCAAGTTCTATCACTTCGTTCAAGAATGAAATGATCTTTATGGGAAGGGGTGAGCGGGCGCGCTAGTTTCAAACGCATTACATTTCGTGGGTGGGGGAGAACATTGTGAGTACTGTTCCCATGGCTTGAATTCATGAGCTCGTGGGAAATAACCATACAATAGTGGTAGGAACTGCCATACGTACTAAAATTTTTCGTGCCTCTGGGGGTCTATCAGCATGACTGGACGGGCGATGTTGGCGTTCACAAGAAGCCCAATGCCGATTCGACATTACGATAGTAAAGGAGGGCTATAGGGAGCAAAAACGAAAACTATGTAGCAAGCGTATAACATTTTCCCGTAAAATACATTTAGCTGTGTCTTAGTACAGTATTGTAAAGTACACCCACCAGTTTAGAAAGCGGTCTGGAAGGCGGCGTCTTTGCTTCATATCCAATCAGAACTCACAACTGTCGGATTTATTTTCCGGGAATCAAGTCACAAGTATAGCTGATTTCGAATACTACTGTATGGATAACACATTCTTTCATCATTCGGAGAGAATTGAACAGATGTGCCTAAGAGCAGGGGTTATATTAGTATATCTACCTCCATATTCACCTGATTTTAACCCGGTTGAAGAGCTCTTGGCAGAGCTAAAGGCGTTCGTCAAGCAAAATTGGAAATTATTTGAGGACGACCCTAGTCAAGGCTTCTGCGGGTTATTGGAATGGTGTGTTGACACTGTGGGTGCGCGAGAGAAAAGCGCCAAAGGCCATTTCCGACATGCAGGCCTGACGACCGAGGAGCTAGGACGTTGAGAAGGACGATAATGCACGATGTCGAACAAGCTCTACATTACAGTATTCATAGAGATTATCATATATATATAGAGTAAATAACTTCGAAAGCTAAGCAAACATCCTGTCGAGATCTGCTATGCATTTAGAAACCAAGTCGCATCTTCCGCTGCAAGCATTCCGAGGTACCATAAAGCCAGGAGTACCGATAATTCTCCTACACCTCCACCTCTCCAGGGCACAGCAGTGGAGACCGCCAGGCGACCACTTCCCTCTAAACGCTTGATAGCAACAAGCTCCGTATTCGTCAGAATATAGCCGTACCGGGCATTATGCTGGCGCATGTAGAAATTAACCTGAGCCAAGACTTGCTTGTATTCACGCTGTTCTGCCAAAGTCTGGGAATACCGCCATGAAGCCTGCCATTTCCAGGATACCTTCAAGTCCCCTGGAGCTCGGTTGGAACTCGAAGCAGCACCGACCGCTATGAAAGCAGTATCGGGTCGAAACAGATCTATTATAGACGCCGCACTTCCTCCATCGAACGTGACTGGCGAGAGTCGTCGCGTCGCAAGTTCGGATGCAAGTTGCTCGAAAGCAGCCCGAAGGGACCGCCTTATACGGGGTAAAATTAGTTCAGCAAATCGTAGCTGAAACTGAGGCTCGTCTCTTATTGCTGCAGGTGGAGATGCGATGGGATCGGACTGAATCTGTTTCGATCGCAACGGAACACCATATCGCTGGATGATTGTGGAGTAGTTGAATTCAGGCCAAGAAACTACCTGGGTGATATCCGCTGCACCATAGCGAGGATTTGTCGTATTGCGAGATGGGGCAGTGCCACCTACGGGAATCGGCGGAAGGCCAACGGAAAGGTAATCCAGCAGAGTTTGGAGTACCATTTCAACGTATGTGCTCTTATCTAATATTCGCGGTCATTCAGGATCCATGGTTGAAATCCCGCCCGGAAGATGCGGGGTAGATTTCGGTTAGATAGTTCTTCCGCTATTCCGCTCGTTCTGGCTTCCTCACGTGAATTTGTTCGTAATCAGTCAGGGAGCTGGCCGAAGTCGACCACACCTCGGTAGGTTCTTAAAACAACAATGCGCCCCAGCAATCAAGGCTCGCTGGATGTTGTCCCTGCCAACATACGGATTGTTAGAGAAATAGATCGTTCCGATGCGTCTTCAGTGTTTGAGATAGAACTCGAAGGGCGGAAATATGCTATGAAACTTGTAAGTAGTCTCAGCTACTTGCTCTTGGCTTGTTACTAACGACTCAGTTTCACGACAACGGGGATCCAGGATTTGCCGAGAATGGTCGAGACCTGAACCGATTCCGCTGCGAACTAAACGCCTACATGAATCTTCGGGAACACGGTGTCTGCGAGAGAGGATTAGTCCCATACTTCTACGGCCACATTGATCGAATCGACCCTACCGCGTTCTATCCAGCTTTTCAACATTTCGCGCACGATAAATATCACCCCAAAGCAATACTACTCGAATACCTTCCGAATGCCGAAAGTTTGAATTGCGAAAACTATTCTGAGGCGTGTTATCGCAAAGCAATAGAGGGCATGAAGCAGATACACGCTGCTCACGTTCACCACCGAGATATATACCCCAAAAATATACTCGTTGTTCCAGGCGTTCAAAAGCGGATGGTATGGGTCGATTTCGACGTCGCAACTACGTTTTCGATTGAGGGGCCAGATGAACAGCGGTTGAGTGAAGAAGAAGATACGCTTGTTGCAGAGTTTGGGGAATTCTTGGTTTGTCCAGCTCTGGCTCCTGTCATGTGGATGAAACTAACTACCTGATTATCTAGCGAGCAGACCAAAGGCAGGGGCTCTGTAAGAATACCAAGTGGTATTAGTGCATTTAAGCTAGATGAAAGGAAACCATTGAAGGTTGAACTAGCAATTTTCTGATACTTCTTCGATTTTCAAGCCTGCGTGCCGAAAATGACCTCTAGCACTCTCTTCTTTTGCACCGACCACATTAATACACCATCCAAGAAAGGCATCAAAGCCTTGATCGGGGTCTACTTCATAATAACTCCAGTTTCGTTTAATAAAGGCTTTGAGTTCAGCGAAAAACTCTTCAATCGGATTCAAGTCCGGCGAGTAGGGTGGCAGATAGACCAATTTTACTCCTGCATCCACACACATCTGCGTTATCCGCTCTGAATGATGAAACGAGGCGTTATCCATAACCAGAACAGATTTAGGTTCGGGCCATCTTCCGCAGTGCTGAAGAAGCTGCGCTATGAAGTCCTCGAACACGGTGGCATCTGTGGACCCGCGGAAGACACGCGAGAAAACAATTCTATCCTAGGTATACGTAGGCAGTATCTGATATCGCTGGTCGCGGTGAAACTGTGATACCTACATAGGGGACACACTAAGTAGTGACTAGCCTATGCGCCTGAACCCAACCCTTTTATTATATCCGGATTTATCTACGTAAACCAGCTGATAGGACTGAAAATCCGATGAATTATGTAGATACCATTCTCGTAAATCGGCATTTCGCTCCCTCGCTTGCTGCCGAGTGCACTTTTTAGACCAACTGTTGGCAACAAGGGCTCGTCTGATGCTGGAGGTTGTGACTAGGGTGCGGAATTCATCCCAGAGGAAAACAGCCATCTCATCGAGGTATAAGCCGGGGTTTTCAGACAGGTGTTCGCAGAGGGCTTCGATCATCAGTGGCGTTACAGTCCGTTTCCGTCCTATACGAGTTGGGGTTGCATGCACACTTCCAAATTGCCGTAAGTTTGCGCGAATATTTATAATCGTAGCCTGGCTGCATTCTGCTTCTTCAGCCATTTTAGATGTGCCAAGTGACTGGCTCTCTATCATGTCGCGGATGAGATGTAGCTTGGATGGTGGAAGCCTCGGAGCCATTTTGTGAGGTCGAGTATGACGTTCTAGAGAGATAGTCGGGTGAAGATGCCTCCTGCTTGAAGTGGGTGGGTATGGCAGAGAATTACCATTGTATGGCATTTACGAGTAAGATACAGTGATATTCGAAATCAGTTTTAACTCAATTCTCATACTCTTTACCTCCCAAGGACCCGCCCCACACTCTAGTCCATATTAGGAAACCATTCCGCCAACCTCACATTTGCCCATGTATCTTTGACGAGTCAGTGTAAATTAAAGTAACCTCATTTCTTGACAATCCCACAACCCATCACAGCTACGCCACGAGGGCCGCCTAATACTGCAAATAGCAACAAGGCCACGACAGGCTTTACCAGGTGAGGCTCAATGTTCATCATTCGGGCAGTTTGGAAGAATCTCAGGGATCAATCAACATATATCTTTGTAGTAAATATAGCCTGCATATTGCTTTTCATTGCGAGGTGTCAGGGCAAATGAAATACATCCATTCATGCGTCTATACCAGCGGCAACAACGTATATCATAAGTATGTACGATATTGCACACTGAAACTTTCCACGGCATTCAAAGTTCAAAGTTGGTCCGGCCCTAGTGCTTTCTGGTACCCGGCTAGCGCCCGCCTAACCATTTGCTCGGCCTCATCTGGCTTTCCTCAGGCTCTAAGCACTATCCCGAGGCATTAGGCAGCGTGGAGCGTTGCAATGTGGTCCGGCCCTAGCGTTTTGTCGTACCTAGCTAGCGCCCACCTGATCATTTGCTCGGCCTCGTCTGGTTTTCCTTGGTCGCTGAATAGTATCCCGAGGCAGAGCGCAGTGTCGAGAGTTGAAATGTTGTCCATTCCTAGCGCTTTTCCGTACTCGGCCAGCGCCCACCTGAACATTCGCTCGGCCTCATTTAATTTGCCTTGGTCGCTAAGCACTATCCCGAGGGTTTGGGCGGCGTCAACGATTGAAATGTGATCCAGGTCCAGCATTTGCTCATACCCAAATAATGCCTGCATAAGTGTTTGGTCAACAGCGGTAAGCCGAGTTTATTGTATTGGTAGTTGAGGCTTGGTCGGGGCGATTAGGGGAAATTGTTGTCTGGGTAGCCCGGGCCTGGTGTGCTGGAATTGTTTGTAGAGGTAAAAAAATATCACCGCAAGATTTTATGACTTATCACAGACGCGCCAAGAACCTAACGCGCTCTTACAGGCACACATCGACGATTGATTGGCCAATGAGATGTGATTGCTCATGCATTAGAATGACTCCACGTGATATAACTGCTGAGAGGAACCCTTGGTGCTTACCGAGAGGGAATTAACGCCCGGCAAATTGATACGCCCCCACCCCTGGAGACCACCACTGACCTCACTCAGGAACAAGAGCCATAATTGACAGTCGGAAATATAATTAGAGACTTCTTTGCCTTTTCAGACCTACGCGGCCGAGTAGACCTTGCCAACTCCTAGACTGCGACATTGCCCGTCCATGGGCATTTTGAAAATTGACGCCCATCGCCCATCATTATGCAATATTAAGACGCTAGAAGTGTATCCACCTTAATGGGCATTGTCGCAGTCTACCAACTCCCATGGGACCAAAAAAGGTTGGTCCCATGTCCTGGTCTCACGCGAGCATAACTTTGCCAAGGATTTTCTATTTCGGCTGTATAAATCTGCTAGGTAATCAGGTAAATCTTTAATTATAGAAGGAATTTCTATATAACTTGTATGTCACGTTTTTCTGTATGTTTGCATTGTTTACAGTCCCATGAGAGCGGACTAATTGTGACTCCCATATCTTGGCACTCCCATGCAAGGCTGGCGGGAATATATCCGAATAAGGACTAGTGCGCTTGAGGTGGGGCCTCGGGAGGGAAAGAGAGTGAGACCTGAGTTAAAACTGATTTCGAATATCACTGTACTACCTATTTCAAAACATTACCTTTACCGCTTCCTTAACTCATTATTGTCTTATTGAGTTTTATTAAGGCGGATTGACCCTCCCCTCCCCTCCCCTAACCTTCTATGTAGGTGAATGCTTAGTCACGATTATGTGCTAGTTACCTATTTGCACTGGGATACTTTATATGTGTAAGCATGGGCAAATCAGAAGGGCTGTAGCGAGTCTCCAAGGCGACAAAGCCACAACAACGAATTAACTGAAGACATAGTGTCTCTTTTGGGCTGTATGCAGATGCCAAGGATCGAAACGTTTCAGGTTCAACTTGTAATCCAATCATATCACGCCTCCGTGTCACTATAGGAGGTCAGTGCGGGCATCACGCTACCAAGGGTGATTCTCACCCGCTTGTCAGCCCGGTTCTCACCCTGTCTATAACACACTCACCCTTCTCACCCCTGGTCGCGCGACCGTAAAGCGGCGCTCACCCATTTCTCACCCAGGCGACACCCACCGAACTATTGACCGTACTTAAGCCACACGCCGGTGAGTTAGTAGTTGGGTGGGTGACCACCAGCGAATCCTCACTGTTGTATGTTTTTGTTTTAGTTATTATATAAAAGTCCCTCTTGCCGCCGTCCTCGGAGCTAGAATAGAATATAGCTGGGCGACGAGGCGCCATCTAGAACACTAAGTCGTTTTGGCATATGCACACGGCTGACTTTCCATGGTCCAACTCTGGGATCTCTGAACGCCAGTCCTGGCAGATCTTAGGCTTCCACACCTCTGCAAAGTACAAGTCCAAACTCTCAGCAAGTATGTAAATCGAACGGCAATCGTGTGCCTGAAACCTCCGATATCTTGGCACCTGCACCATAATATCCAGGGAGAGTGGATATCGGGATAGCGAGATTTGGAATATGCTTTATGATAAGTACTTCAGGAAGCGATCTGTTTTATTGGACTTTGCTAATTGATGTAGAATGTTTTGTAAGTTGCTCAGTTATCCCGCGCCTGGGGAACTGGAAAATGTAGGAATGGCTTTGATAGTACATATTGAATGTTTTCAGTTAACATGTAGTACCCTCCTATAACTAGACTCAGAACAAAACCTTTCTTGAAGCATTGATTCCTTCAAGATCCCACCGCTGTGGTGCCGTCTTCTCCATCCACACCGACCAGTCTCCCCAAAAAGCCGGCCGCATAATCTGTGCATACTCCCAGTAGTCAGGATACCACCCCGCCGATTCCCAGTCAAGAATGCCTGTGACCATGTTCTGCTCGTCTACCATCACGTTGCGTGGCGCAATGTCCGCATGAGTGAACACCGAGCGCTCTGACCGAGGCAACATATCCAGCAGTTGATTCATATACCGACTCCCTCCACAGCGGAGATAGCGCTCGTATATTCTCGCACGTAGATCCAAGTCGCTGGTAAGTGGGCGAACGGGATTTTGCAGATCTTCAAGCATCGGGTCATGGGATGGAGAGCCATCTGCGGCACATTGATACGGCCCCTCAAGCGCTTGCGGACGAGCGATATTTCGGATTTTTAAGATTAGATCCCAAAGTTGAAGACATATTGACTCTTTAGCCTCGTCGTCTAGGCTGTCCCATTTCTTCTGTAGGGGTATCCCGGGAATAATAGTCATCGCAATCAACCCCTTAGGTGCATGAAAGTTGGGGTTTGAAGATTCTTCCGTTTCCGTTTCCATTTTAGCTTCATCCGCACTGAAATCGGTGAAAAGCACTTCAGGGACCGGAACCTCGGTGTTTTTAGAAACAAGTCTCATTGCTTCGGCTTCCGCAGATCGCACTCCAACCCCTGACTTGGTCACCCAGGAAGCGTCCCATTCAATAACAAGTCTGCCCATTTGCTTATCGAGCACATGGATCAGTTCTTGCTCATTTTCAAGGCTGAGTGGATCCACAGATGAGGGACATGGTAGTAAAGTGTTGCCCTTCTTGATATATCGGTGCCCTATGTGAAGATTCCGATCTTCGTAAAGAACCTCATCAGTTGGAGATTCGGTCATATTGTGGATATTCCCTTGACCGACAGCCAAGTTGAGCTGAGCAGTGATTACAAGGTGGAAATCTCATAAAGATCCAAGTTGCTTCGGTAGGAACAGACCCCTTCACTCCACAGCGGGTCCCAATGAGCTCTGGCACAGTCACGTGCAGGTGTCCCGGGGGTAGAGATCACCCGCTCCGGCTAGGAGTATAATAACCCCGAAGCTGTTCCCCAGTTATGAGGAATCAACCTTCCATTATTTTTCATTCTGTGTATGTGCTGTTAGTAGGCCTGTAGAGTAGAGCTTGACCCCGAGTGGTTGTGTTACTCGTGCTCGAGTACGCAGTCAAGTTGTTTTGTCGCAGCACCTGATCCCCGATTTCCTACAACAGTCTACCCTATAATCGTGCCAAGCCCACCACCAATTTTCACCCGATAACAAATTTCACGAATTAAGTATCTTTTGTATGGAAACTTCATACAAAAGGTACATAAACACGACATAATCATAACCCCAATTTTCTCATCCCTCAAAATAGTTAGGAAACATATAGGAAGATATATATTGTGTAAATAAGCCCTCAATTACTTAGTATCAATTCTAGTAAATTTAATAATGTATGTGTGGAGTAAACGAATGGTTAATCTTTTACATACAAGTTCTTATATATGGTGATTTCCAAAAAGTTTCCTACACTTCCATACTATATATTTAGAATTAATTATAGTTGTAGATCGGTTAAGCCTGATTTATTTTAATAACCTATCTGTTTAATTTTCCTTAAACTAGTCTGCTCATTTAGAGAGTTGAGGTTATGACTATGTCTTGTTTATGTACCTTTTGTATGGAGTTGCCATACAAAAGATATTTAATTCGTGAAATTTGTTATCGGGTGAAAATTTGCTATCGGGTGCCACCGGGTAGGTGGTGGTGGGCTTGGCACGATTATTGTACAAAATCTCACATAACTACATTAAATTAGGGCATAAAAGCTGAGCGGGACTCTGGTTTTTCACGGGTCCCGTTCAGCTGCGGGCGGCCCACAGGTTTCAACAGCGCTTATATAATCACCGTGAGACACCTGGGCACTCCCAAGCTGCAGCACCTAATTAGCCACCTAGGCAGTATACGAGCCATGTCATAGGCATTATGTGGTCCATACATTACCCCGGGATGTCCGGAATTACGTAGGTCGTATTTCGGCTATGCGCTGGATATTTCCCCTCCCCAATCCATGTCCCAGGTGACCAGCACAACGCAGTTGCACCTAGCGTACGAAGACGTATAGGGGTCAGGCGTCAAAACCCAATCTTGGGGGGGATGTTGATGCCTTAATGCCTGGATTACCACCGCTTCATACACCGCTCTATACAGTGTACTGTAAATTGTTAATACATCAACCTGCCTAAATGAAGCTTTTTGACACCATAAACACACGTATTTCTGGGTGGTTCAAGTCCGAAAAATGAAACTTTTGACCTCCATACAAATCAATTAAACCAGCCAAAAATATGGAGATGTCTGATTTGTATGGAGGTCAAAAGCTTCATTTTTCGGACTTGCAACCACCCAGAAAATGGAGATGCATTGATTTGTATGGAGGGCAAAAGCTTCATATACCCTACCTAACAACGCTGTACGTTGATTATTAAGGCACGTGTAATAGTAATTCATGTATTTATTCTTTTCTGCCGTTCTAAAATAAGGCATTAAGGCACCAAGGTCCTCTAAAACTGGGTTTTGACGCCTGACCCCTATGCGTCTTCGTACCTAGCGCCTTACTTTTCCCAGGCCAGTCAAATAGCGCAATTCTTTCTACTGAAATTTTGATTGGGAGATGAGTCTCTCTCTCTTGCCATACCTTGTTATTCACTTTATGATTGCATACGTTGACCAATTATAGGATGTCGATCCTATGTAAAAAGGGCAGGATCTGACAACCTGATGCACAAGATGGGTTATTGCTTTCAGCTCAATGTTCCCAAAAATAGATATCAGAAGTATTCAAGTACCTAGGTACCTAAGTACATCCCCACATACATAAATCACAGATCCAGTCTTTCACTTGGGGTGGGGTCGTTCTTTCAGCGACCTGATAACTCAGACGTCCAAGCTGAACACAAACAATAACAATACATAAGCTATTTAGTAGGTATTTTGCAGTAAATGCCCAAACTCACAGGTTATAAGGTACTGATGCTTATGTCTCTAAGAAATGAGCCACTATCCATCCGCGACGACGCCCATAAGGACCTTCGCTTTTAGGGAGGTGTGCGAGGTCAACGGTCGCACCTTCACCAGGAGAAAAGGCACACAGCAATGGACCGAGCAGACCGCTTCAACCAGCAGCTCTAACCAATCTCTTCCATCGCCACCCCTCTACCTATCTCTCGTTCATCAGCGACAAGGTCAAGGAGAACCTCTGCATTGGGCACTTTTTGTTTCCCGTGAGAACCAACCTGGATATATCTATCAGGTCAAGGGAGACGCAGAGTACATGAGCTACCTGCCTTCTAATCGAGCCGTTAATATTGTCCAATCTGGCTCTTTTTTTACATCTATCATCTAGCCGCTGTAACCGAAGAGCAGCAGGCGGTGGTGAGCAATGTCGCAGCGGCAGAGGTTCCCCCCAGAGCGAAAGATCGCAAGTCTGTGACAGAGAACTGCCAAGGTTGGACTTTTCGTGTTATCACCAAGCTGGTTGGATTAGGGTTGGTTCCAACTGCGAAACTTGATATGGCAAGGTCCATGCGTGAACCGGTCTAAGAGAGGCTTATGTCATCAGGGTTGTTAGTTGTACCTGAGGAGCCAGAGACTTTCATTAGTTGCTTTTTATTTCCTACAGATGCATGTGCGAGGAAAGTGTGTACGTTCACTTGTTACGATTAAATGACCCATAATCAAGATGATCGCCATAACCGGAAAGACAAAACGAACCCAGACTACTATACGGGGGGTTTACAGCAACCACTAGTCAGGCAAGGTGCAAATGCATACTGATGTAAGCCACCTACAGGGATCGCGTATTCTCGCCAGATTCGGCATAAGCAGGTGTTGCATGTTATCCTGTCTAGCCATCTATAACAGAATTCTCCGCATTTATGCGAGAATACTTTATAAAGAACACCTCCTCCCTGTGTAGACGTCCTTCGTTACTAGACAAAATCTGCTTCATCATGAAAATCTCGCTTGCTCTCTCTGCTCTTGCCTTACTTGCTTGCCCTGCCGCTGCTGTCGACCTTGATCCAACAGAAGACTGTGGCGCGCCCTTTAACGCCTGGTGGACCCAGTGCACCCGATCTGCCTCCAACTGCTGCTACTACGCAGCCGAAAAGGCCAATACAACCTGTCCGATGACTCGTGCAAGACATTATGTCTTGCTAGGACGGTGCAGGTCGCTCTTCGAGGGCAGCGCAAGACCCTACAACAAAACCGACTGTGTCACCGCCACCCTCTCCGGCATAGCTTTGCTTATGGGGGATCGTGACCTTAGCTTTCCTGTCAGTTGTACTATTGATGACATCAAGGACATGCCCTAGGGATTCCGGCGTTTCCCTGTAGGAGGCTTCGTGGAGAACCGTCCAGGAAAAGTCATGATGGGTATATTGGCAATGTTCGTGTACAATTTGAGGGAGGAAAGGTCCCGACAGCGAATCGGCAGTCTCCCGCGGAGACAATGATTGACACCCTTGTTGTTCACCCAGTCATTAGCATAGTCATATTACTGTCTGAGGTAATATGGCCATGGAATACATTGCCCTGAAGATTTACATCCGCAGCCCTGAGGTGATCGGGAAGTCCAAGGGTGGTAATAAAAGAGATTGTAACAAAGAGATAGGGTCAATAAAACTGCAAAAGATCATATAACATGAAGTAGATCGCTTCTCTCTTCCTTCTTCTCTTCTTGTTGGGTGCCTGGGTGCCTTAGGCACCCATGGACCCACTATCAGACAGATCCACCTACATAGTAGATAGTTTTCTCTCTCCTCTCCTCCTTCTCTTCTCTCCTCCGTCCATCTTAATCATTCCGAATCTACAGATATTGTTTCTTCATACAATCCTTCTTAGATTCTACAATACTTCTCTTCTCTCTCTGTCCACTCTGCTCCCTACGAATTCATATGCATTGTTTCTCCATTGAAACTTTACATCGTAGCATCCTCCATCGGGTACCCTGTCTTGGCGCAACTCCTAACCCCCGTCAACAGTAACTCGTAACTAGCTAACGGATCTTTCTTCCTCTGCTTCTAGGGATTCGATTCCAACGGTTTCTACCTCCTACCCTACCACCACCACCACAAGCACTTCCCAGATGCACTTGATTTTTATACCAGGTGAGAACTCCAGCGTTACGTCAACCCGTTACCCCGTGGTTATTTTGACTCGCAATGAGTGGAAGACCTCACCAGTCCATTGACTGACGCAGGGAAGCTTTTTTTCTCCTCTGCCTTTAGGAATCTCTACATTATCTGGTCTCAGCCTACCTTCATGAACGCTTCCAATTATCTCGCCACATTGCCCTGTCCGCCTTGCACCAATGGACTCAGCTTCTAGGAGGCGAGAACTATACTCAATCTCTATGTAGGTAGGGTAGTACAGTAGAATTTGAAAACTGATCATCGCTGACTTCAGGACTCTCCCAGGTGTGCCTAGTCTCGCAATCTACCGAGTGTGGTAAAAATGGTTTCAAGACTGAGCCGATATGCTCTAGGCCTCGTGGCCACGGGCAACAGCGGAAATCCCACCGCCGGTGGGTCAGCTATCCGCACTATGCAAAAGATGGCGACGTTTGGCATCCGCCGTGCTGTTTGCTGTCGATCGTCTTGCACAAATTTGAAAAAAAGAAATCTTCTTCAGACTAACCTCCAGTACAATCGTTCCTTTATTCACATTGTCTATCACTTGTCGCATTATCTATCACCATCCTGCATTACTGTGACACATACACCAACGATTTAATATCCCCAGCAACGTCCTTGACAGCAGTCCGAGCAGCTTGCGACCAGGCCGTCATTTGCACCCAGCCATGGGTCATGTCTAATGTGGATGTCAGAACGCCACAAAGTGTCTTGAGGTGCAGACTTTTCTTACCATCATAGTGTCTCCACATGACTTTGACACCCGCCTTTTGAAGCTTGCTCGCGTATTCAACTCCAACATCTCGAAGTGGATCGAAGCCGTTTGTGTATACACATGCGGCAGACAGATCACACAGCTGGTTTGTTTCCTGCATCCCTGGACTGACGTATCGGGAACTTGGAGGTATTCCGCGTGGGAGATAATGATCGGCAAAAGAAAAGATGCCATTACACTCGAGGTAATAACCTGAGTTATTCTCGACCGCAGCCGGCGTATCAAAAGGTACCCTTGCCTCGGGATAAAAGAGAATTTGCGCATCCAGTGGCTTTTTGCCGGCATCTTTGCGTCTGAGCACTATTCCAGCAGTCATGTTTCCACCGGCGCTATCTCCGCCACCGAGCACTGTTTGAATGCCACGTTCTCTACCGAACTCACCCTGAAGGGCATCAATCACTGCATCATACTCGTCTAGCTGGACTGGGAAGCGAAATTCTGGCGCAAGTTTGTATTCAATAGCGTGGATCTGAACGCCGCTGGCTTCTGCAAGCATTCGCAGGCCATTCTCAAACTCGTCGACTGAGCCGACGGTGTAACCTCCGCCATGGAAATAAATGAGGGCGACTGCTTTGTTAGATGCGCGGTAATCCTCTCCACTACTCGGATAAAGAACTCTAATGGGAATTGTGCCATGTGGTCCTCTTATGGCAGTAAACTCCACGTTGTGGATGGGGTGAACCTTGTTCAAAGGCAGGTTGTGGATACCAAAGACTCCTAAGTGTTTGCAACGTTCATCGTGGAAGTCTTCTTGGCCACCCAGGTGCAGGTCTGGAAATTGTTCGAGAAAAGAGGAGACTGATTCGTTGAGCTGGGAGCGGCTCCCCGTCTTGGGGATATGTTGCTGAGCCATTGTGATATAAATGTTCTATGGAAAGAATGTCTGGTGTGAACTAAGAGTAGTGAGATGCAAAGAGGTGCCCTATATATCTGTGATAATGTGGATACGCCATATGGGTGGACGTTCAGTACCGACCCATTGGCTGCAAGTGATATCCCTAAGTGGAACATTATGAATTCATAATGAAGCCATGACAAGGTTTTCTGGAAATTACCTAGGTGTCAAGATACCTAGGTATACCTAGGTAGAATGCAGATAAAGAAACCTGGTTCGTGCTAAAGCTCGTCCTAGACTACCAGAAAATGGCTATTCTCAGCTTCAGGTGAAGCAGGGGCATACTAGCAGCATTTTGCCGAGACCTATGGCTTACCCTATTCCGGAGTTAGGGCATCCGACCTCATCCGCCCTAATAGAAAGACAGACAGGGCGGTGTTGCGACGTACTTCTGATGCAACATTTTGGGTTTTGGGTGATTCCAATGACTACCAAACGGCGGAGCAAATTCTAATAGCGGCATCAATGGATTCTTTCACACTGAGATGCAAGATAATGACGAAAATAATGGCTACAAAAGAATGGCTCCGCGACAATGGGTCGTAAATCATATGAATTGGTCCTGGTTTACCTGCACCCAGTCTAGCGGCGGTGTAGCTATCGTGCTCTCTGAATGTCCTAAGCAATTTCAAGGATTGCAAACAATCGGGAAGGTCATATTCGTATTCAACATTGTCCTATATCTCAGTTTCATTTCGCTCATGGCCCTACGTTGGATTACGAACCCGAGGACTTTCAAACTATGTTTTACGGAAGGGCCTGAATGCGCATTCTATGGCTCATTCTGGTTAAGCTTTGCGACAATGTTCATATGCATGCAGCAATTTGGCAAACCGAACGTCCGAGAATGACTTGTGGTGGCTATCGGAGTATTATTCTGAATTTATGCCGCCATGACTCTGCTCAACTCTACTCTACACCTCTCCCTTGCCTTTAAATACACACCTGTCGTCGCGGTGGAGATGAGCCCTGCGTGGTTTCTTTCTATCTTCAATGCCATGCTCACAGATACTATCGCGGGATCCATAGCGCCTTCGCAGCCGCCGCCTCAGCGAATGCCTATCATCGTTGCCGGAATTGGGTACCAAGGCTTGGGTTGGACTGCTTCAGTCCTCCTTCTGGCCTGGTTCATCGGTCAACTTCTAGAGAAGGGCTGGCCAGAACCTTCCCAGAGACCGGGCTTGTTCATGAGTATCGGATCTGCCGGGTTCACTACTGTTGCGCTTATCGGCACAGCCCGTGCGGTGCCTGAAGGCTATGGGTATTTGCAACACATCCGATGGCCAAGGAAATCCTCCAGGTACTCGCAACATGGGCTGGTATCTTCCTTTGGGGTTTTGCGCTGTGGCTGTTTGGGCTCGCATTCTTTGTCTGCATGGCTGAGGTTATCACGCGTGAAAATGGTCTATGGGTGATACCTATGAGGTTTACCAACACGTGGTGGGGTAAGTATACTCCTCAAAATTTGACATTGCAGAATTATTGCTGATTATGAATCCCATACATGATAATAGCCTTCATCTTTCCTAATGTCGGGTTCACGCTAGCAACCGTGTATTTGGGACAAGAGCTAGAGAGTAATGCTATACTATGGTTTTCAGTCGGTATGATTATTTTGCTTGTTGTTTTCTGGTTGTTCGACCTATGTTTAATGATGAAGACAATTTTGATGTCAATCTGTGTCGACTCTCGAATTCGCCTTGAAAGTTACAATATGTCTGTCACATCCAGTGAATGTTAGTAATTCTGAAAAAATGTGTATATATAGAATATCCTTAGGAGTAATTATAGTATGTCATCCCATGGAGGGATACTTTACATTTCCTGTTCTTGTAGAGGATCCTGAATCAATCAACCATTTTCAATTGACATTATATTGATTCCGCTTGACCTTATTGGTCTTCTCGGCATACTAGGCTATACAAATATAAGGTTATTGTGCCATCTAGTGAAAGCGAACCTCTGAAATATCAAAAGACTTATCCAGAAGAAACAAAAACCCCCGATTTTTATATAAGTAATGATTACTATCATTGCTGTTTTATTATTTTCCAGTTATAATTCATAAAGCAAAATATCAATATCATCTAATGGAATTTTCCTCCAGAGACGTAATCAAGTATAGTAGGACAGTAGAAATACTAGAAACAGATTGATCTTCTCAGTACTATGCGGCCGCTTTGATTGATGCTTCGGTACGCTCTTGCAACCTCAGCCCGAGGTCCTTGTCACCACGACTAAAAAGGCCTACATTCAGTGTTAGACTTGCACTATATCGGACCGGTCTCTTCGAATATAACCAGTATAGTACTTACCATAGACAGCTTTGCGTAATTCGAGGCACTGAACATTCTTGACGCTGGAGACAAGATTGCTAATAAGCTTATCCTGGTGACCAGGGCTGCGACCAATAACCTCCCACAATGCTGCGGGCTGGACAAAGTCTGCTTCAGTGATCTCGCTAGAATAGGCCGAAACCTCTCCCGCCCATTTTTCATGATCAGTGTGTAAGTACAATGCTCCCGGGTTTGATGCTTTCACGTCTTGGTAGAACTTAATGGGTTTGATTGTGGAGCCAACATAACTAGGATCTCCGCCATAGTTGTGGTCAAATCGCATTTTTCCGTCCCTCTGGAAAGGACAGTAGACTTGGACCTGGACAGCGTTGGTTGGGAGCTGCTGGTAGTTCACTCCAAGTCGGTAGCGGGCCGCGTCGGGGTATGCGAAGAGTCGTGCTTGTAGCACTTAGTCACAAGCAAGTTAGCCTCGAGAATTTCTAGGAGAAAGACTTAATGCCCCTCCTACCTGGATCAGCGGATGGTGCAAATCCTGGAACCATCGTTGATGGCGAAAATGCAGCTTGCTCAATATCCGCAAAATAGTTTTGCGGCTGTTCGAGTTCAGTCACTGCATGTATCCTGGAGAAAGGTCAAATACTTACATTGCGGTTCATAGTAAGACGACCAATCTGCTGTAGAGGGAAATCCTTATGCGACCAGACCTTGGTCATATCGAAGATATTTACTTCGTATTTCTCGGCCTCTCCAGGGGTCATCAGCTGGACATAGACATTCCAGACAGGATAATCGCCTCTTTCGATGGCTTCAAACATGTCCTGAATCATATAGTCAGGGTTCTCTCCGGCAATTTTTGTAGCTTCTTCCCGGGTGAAATTCTGTATTCCTTGCTGCGTATGAAGGACATTATCTAGGTAACAACCGAGCATACTGTGTTGTTGAAAACCCAATCAAGGTTTCCCTCGTCCGTGTAGAGCTTCATTGACCATCCGTGCACATCGCGAGAGGTATCAGCAGATCCTGACTCGGCTCCGACGGTTGACACGCGCTGCAGCACCGGCGTTTTCTTCCCGACCTTGTTGAGAAAGCTGGCGCAGGTAAAATCAGAACAATCACGGGTGGCTTCGAACTCGCCATAAGATCTACAAATAGTGTCAATCCGTGAAAGTTTTCGGGGGAGCCTTAACAGCTTACCCAACAGCTTTTGCATGGACGACTCTATGCAAGGGTCCAATGTCAGTTTACTATACGGGCCTCAAAGTAACCGATCGATTGGACAAGACACTAACCGCTCCGGGATTCTCTCACGCGAGAAATGAGTCAAGGTCTCAATGAGCCGAGTATCCTGAAGCAATCCGAGCCCGCCGCCCTGTCTATCCCGCATCAGAACAGTCGCTTTGTTGCTGGCAAAGGGGCAGCCTAGGAATAGTCAGACATAAACAAATCCAATACTGAAAATGTCTTGTACCTTCGGCCAAAGTGTAATATTTGTTGTCGCCCATGCTGAATGGAAATTGAGGGTGATGGTAATAGTTTCAGATGAGACAGAAGAATTGTGTGTGTGTGATTATTGAGTTAGGCTCGCTCGAGGGTTGCAGATTATATAAGTATGTAGTCTCAACCCCAGGGAAAGCTCCCATTTTGATTTGAGAGGCTTTGAATTCAAGTTAGCTCTTAGTATCACGCTTACACTCATTGGAGCTTTGCCATCGACAGCTAGGAAGGGTCCACTGCCGTTGACCCCTAGCTTCAACACATATATTCCTCTTTGTAAAAGATGACGCAGTTAAAGTTGATGTAAGAAGCACTACCTGGGTAAGTCGCAACTTTAAAGCGAGGGCAAACGTCTCATTGGTCGAATACCACTACCAAATCTGGTTAGTGGAGATCCATCCGCGCCGGAACCTGGATCCGTGGACCCACTATATTTGACCCTCGGATCTCAACCTTGGAAGTCTTGAAAGCTTGTTAGGGCTTAGCGTAGGTGTGGTCCTCATGTAACTGGATTCTTCAATTGAGATTGACTCCCTGTAAGCCCTGTGCCCTTCAACTTCCAACTACTCTGTTAAGGAAGCTCCTACATTCCAATTCCGTTGAGGTGGCATATGTTATTTACGGAGTCTGGACCAATAGTTCAGCTCTAGAATACTATATTAGCCATCTGTATGGATCCGGAGCTTGCGGATCCCTTCTCGGTGTATTTCCATAGAGCTGGCCAAGAGAAAAATCAATAAAATTTATTTAGCGCGTATTTACCGAGTACAAACTAGGCTGTACCTAGACGTGGATGCAGCAGATGTCATGCCGAGGTAACCCAGCGGGTCCATTGGTGACACTTTTCTCTCTGTGTCCCTCATTAACGGAAGCCTGGGAGACGGCCCACTACGTGCTTCCAAACAGCCAACCACCTGGTGTAGAGATTTTCCAATCTAGTCGGAGCTTTGTAGGTCTCTCCGAAATACGACCCTCTTGGCCGGCCAGATACTACCAGTTAAAGTAACCTAATTGCAGAGCTCTCGGCGTGTTTAAGATGTGTCGCACGGGCGAGAGTGCAAGGTGATGCTAGGTGTAGGACTCAGGACTCAGAACCGGCGCAACTCATCCCACGCACCCCCAATATGGAAATACTATCAGACCAATGGGGGATTATTACGCGAGTCTGGATCCCTGCATACGTGGAACTGCTACCTAGGTACCTTGCTCCTTGCACCCAACTCTGGTTGGAACTGGGGTGCGAGACCTTTATACCAGAAATTCCATTACCTCAATTATAAAAGGCTTGTAGAATTCGTCTCTTGTCGACTGAGAAAGCCATCCTTTTTTAAACCTTCAATCATTTGCACTATCTTACCATTGTCCTCCATTTATCATGTCTGTTCAGGACAATGCCAGATTCGACTTCATTATCGTTGGTGGTGGTACTGCCGGCAACGTTGTGGCCGGCCGCCTGGCTGAGAACCCCAACGCTAAAATCTTAGTTGTTGAAGCTGGTGTTGGCAATTCGAAAGACAACGAGGAAATCAGAACACCTTCAAACGCTATGCAACTTCGAAACAGCCAGTATGACTGGGCCTACAAGTCAACCATAGTCAAACGAGAAGACTATGAACGGATTGAGAAGCCCAACACCCGCGGCAAAGCCCTTGGTGGTAGTTCGTCCCTGAACTACTTCACCTGGGCTCCAGGATCCAAGGGGACCTTTGATATGTGGGAGGAGTATGGTGGAAAAGAGTGGACTTGGGACCCGCTCGTTCCCTACCTGCGAAAGAGTGCGACCTACCATGACGATGATAAGGCATACGCGCCAGAACTGAAAAAGATCGGCGAAAACGGTCCGATCCCAATTTCCCACTCCGAACTTATTCCAGAGATGCAAACTTTCCGTAACCTCCTCACCAATGCGTGGAAGTCCACTGGTCAGCCAATCAGCGAGAATATCTTCGACGGTCAAATGGTTGGCCTGACCTACAGTGTCAACAGTATTTACAAGGGTCGTCGCTCTGGTAGTTTCCTTTGTGTTGACAAGCCAAACATCACAATCCTTCCCCAGGTGCACTCGAAGAAGCTTATTATCGACAAGGCTGATAAGACCTGCAAGGGTGTGACTGTTATCACGAGCTCTGACCAAGAGCTAAACCTATATGCTACCCGTGAAGTCATCGTGTCCCAGGGTGTCTTCGAGTCTCCTAAGCTCCTGATGCTTAGTGGTATCGGGTCGAGTGCAGAGCTGAAGAAGCACGGTATCCCGGTGGTCGTCGATAACCCTCACGTTGGTCAGCATCTCCTAGATCACCCTGGTGTTCCTTTCGTCCTTCGCGTCAAGGATGGCTTCGGTATGGATGACCACATCCTACGCAAGGGCACCCCCCGTAACAACCAGGCCATACAAGCCTACCAGACCAATCACAGCGGTCCATTAGGCTCCGGCTTCCTTGAGATAGTCGGATTCCCCCGGATTGACAAGTACTTGGAAAATGACCCCCTGTACCGTCAGGCTAAGGCCTCGAACGGAAATAATGACCCATTCTGCCCGTACGGCCAGCCTCACTTCGAGCTTGACTTCATCTGTCTTTTCGGTAGCGCATTCCAGTGGCACTATCCCACACCAAGCAAGGGCAATTACATGACCGTCATGGTTGACCTTGTCCGCCCTGTCTCTGACCCCGGTGAGGTCATTCTCAACAGTGCCGACCCGCTGCAGCAACCCAACATCAACTTAAACTACTTCAACAACGACCTCGATATCATCGCCCTCCGCGAGGGTATCAGATATACCTACGATGTCCTGAAGAACGGACCCGGCATTAAGGACATTATTGAGGACGAGTATCCCTGGGAGATGCCTCTGCATGACGACGAACTCATGAAAATGGCCGTGCTGGACCGCTGTCAGACCTCCTTTCACCCTTGTGGTACTGCTCGTTTGTCTAAAAACATCCAGCAGGGTGTGGTCGACCCCAACCTGAAGGTCCACGGCATCAAAAACCTCCGTGTGATTGACGCATCCGTTATCCCTGTCATTCCTGACTGCAGGATCCAGAACTCTGTTTACATGGTTGGTGAGAAGGGTGCAGATGCCATCAAGCGTGACCACGGCGACTTGTACAAATAAGCTAGGTAACTGGAGTGAGTAAGCCTTTAGCATAAAGATCTAATGTTATGATCTTTTTGACTTATGAAATTGTCCGTAACGAATTAGTTTAGTGAATACCTAGGTAGTTGTTGAGATCACCTGAAAAGCTATGGATTTCAAAAGACGACAGAGGAAAGGGGATGGCAGAGCCATGATGATAAGAATACAGGCCAGCAATAGTCAAAATTAAAGGCACATGGCGAGAAGTCAGCAAATGCTGTCAAAGGAGTACAGCGGAGTTATCAGCATACTCTGACAGAAAAAGTAAAGAACCATCAAGGAAGATGCAGAGAAACGGAGTGATTCAGCCTGAGCTTCATCGACTCGACGACATCTGGCATATTCAAAGCTACTCCGATGCGGTTTCCCTCGTGGATCACATCAGCAAATAGTATTCCTGCAACATCTCTGTCGGCAGAGATCACGAAGCTGCCAGCATCGCCATCCTCCAGGAAATCGCCATCCACACCCGTGATAACATATTCTTCGGTGATATGGGTTGCCATTGATATTTCAGCGCCATCGATTTCATATCGTGGCCCTTTCCACTGACAGACGCTTTTCGCACCATTACAGATGCCCCCAGTCACCTGCGTGGTACGACCTTTCTTGAAGTAGTACTCATCAGTCTGTAGTTCACCAAACTGTGTGATAGAGCTGTTAGGCCGGGGAAGAAAGGTTGCAGATCCACCAGATAGGAGATTAGTCGACGTGGGCCTCTGCTTCCGCGGGATGTCAGGTACTATGTTCGGGCGGAAGTACCGTTGCTGGGCTTCGGTTGTAAGCTCGACGAATGCCCAATCAAGGAACCGTTTGCCATGGACCAATAGTCCTGATGCAAATCTGACTTTGCCGAGAACGTGTGGCATAGACTTCACAACATTTTGTGTCTGGATCAGACTAGCGTCGGCGATGTCGAGGTCCTGGAGCCGCTGCCGAGAGGCTTCTCTGGGTTCTTCTCCGGCGAGAAGCCGCAGCTCAATGGTCTCTTCGATCCGAGCCTTCTGGGATGCGAGGCTTTCTCTGTGGTGCTGAATATCCGCGAGTGTACGGTCTCGGTCCATCTGGGCGATAGACTCGATGATGGTTGCATTTTGGTCGTCAGGGGGGAAATTGGCGGAAATTCCAGTGCGATCAACCTCATCGCGGAAGGGAGTGTGTGCTGTTGGTCTCACAACATGGTAGTTAGTTAGAAACCCAAAATGGGCCCGGTCGTCATATCTTAGTTCAACAAAACCGCCCAGAGTTCCAGCATTCTGATCACCGCTGATTCCAATTGAATCACCCATCGCCACCCAATCTCTGTCATCAAACCGATCTCTGAATGAGATGGAAGGATCATGTTTCAGGAGATTAAGGGTTCCCGGCAGAAACTCCACGTCAACAAGCAGAGCTGACACCTTCAATGAAAGTTGTCCGATGATCCGGGCCCGGATTTCGTACCAGTTGGCCATAAGTAGTGGCTGGATGAAAATCACAATTCCAGGTCGCGCCAAGCGAATGTCAGGGCCACCGACGTTGAACGGGCAAATCATTTGCCAGTTCTCCCCCACTGCAGAACTCATCGTTTCCACAATACTGTGCTTGAGCGTGTGAAAGGCGGAAACCACTGCACTTGTTGAGGCAATGGGATACAGATGAGGTGGAGAGAAGTGGTCTCCGTTGAGAACCTCGACGTGCACATTCGTAAGGGAATTCTTATGAAGCAGCTTGACAAGGCTGTCTTTGATAGGCCCTAAGCGGATGAAGGTTGACCCATCACCTGACACCGTAACGCGCAGCAAAAAGAAATAGCTGCCTGTAACTCGTGCTTTCAGGGTGTGGTGGAAAGATTCTGTGGGTATCCGGTGTTGACTGAGGATTGCGTCGATCTCAGGCCGAAGATGTCGTGTTGGATTTTCTTCTGCAGTGAGAAATTCGGTCTTCATTTCCGAGTTGTCATGTCCGTGGAATGTGTTGCTCCGAAAGGGGTCTGTGCGATAACGGAACTCCTCCAGCCTCATTTCACCTTCATTGTCCTCTGACTCCCTCAGAAGCCGACGCCTCTTCCACGGGCTTGGCGGGCCCGAAGAGGCGGGACTTGGAAACTCGGGCTTGTAAGTGGACATTCTGATCTGAAAGAAAACAAATGGATGAACTGAACATCTCTGCTGATGAAGTTGGGAGAGGAAAAAAAGAGAAAAGAGAAAAGAGAAAAGAGTTGAGTGGGCTTCCAAGGTGAATTCTAGCTTTTCGGACCGCTCCTTCCACAATACTGCCAGATGACATGTACGTTCAGATGTCGGCAACCTCCCGACATTGATTATCGTACCTTGCCGTCTCAAATTTCAATGACTTCTGAAATCCGCCGACGAGTTGCCAAGTGAGGCAAAAGTCAGCACGATTGCATGCAGACCATAACACCAAACCAAAATAGAATCCACGCCTTAGGGTCCTTAATAGTCTCTTTTAATTAGACCGAGAAAGATTTTTGTCACCACCGTCCCGATCCTGCGCTATGCGTAGAAATAGCACCTGTCTCCCCCGAGCGTTGAGAAATCATGCATCCTTGGGCCCATTCGGCATCAGAAAAAACAATAATGCCACCCCGGCTGCAAGAGTTATCCCACCATGAATAATGAATAATACGTGCCAGAGGGCTATCGTGAGTGATGTGTTTTTGCTAATCCCGTATATCAGACAACAGCCTAGTACTTGAGCTAGTCTATTTATTAAAACCTATAACGCGGTTCGGGCATTATTTTCTGGCTTGCGGTACTAGTATATACTCGTTATTGTTATAAATGCTGGGGAGATAGTACCTTCGCTGAATCCGAGAAGAAAACGTACAGCAGCGAATCCGCCAAAGGTTTGAGGTGCAGCTAGACATATGTAGATGATGCCCTAGATAATTCTGTATAAGTAAACGCTGTTAGCATATGAAATGATATGACACGAAGGCCGGATGAAAACTCACACGGTGGTACCGACGAATTTGTTTGATGGAAGTCGACTTATTAGATAAATAAAGGGGTACTCAGAAACTAGTTGCCTAATGTAGAAAATGGAGCTTGATTATGAGTATTGCGAGCTGGTTATGTTGAGATCTTCGATTAAGCCGAAGACGCTAGTATAACTCAGACTCTACTTGTTAAGATATTGGAGGAAAAAGATGAAGCATATCTAGGTTTGCCTATTAGCTAGTGTATGGCTGGAATGAAGGACGAGAACCACTTACTAAAGGCAGAATGACTGTGTTAATCTTGCGTAAAACGGCTTTCTCTTCCTCGGCAGTGTAGGAGCCTAGGAGCCCCGGAGCTTGACTAATTTACCGGTCATTCGATCGGACTCCTTATTTGCGATATCCTTGCTGAAGTTGTCTATTGGGATAAATACCTGACAAAGGCGGTTCAGTGCAGTGATTTCAGGTCGATTGGAGACCAACCATTCACTAAATATATACAAAGAGATGTTTTATATCAGAGACAATCCCTAGGTTTCCCCTTAGCTATAAAAGAGGATCCTTATCTCCAATCAATTCGGTAAAAGATTACCGTGTGGAGTTGGTCGTCGGTCCGATAAAGACGGCAATCTGCCTGTTAACTTGCCGATGTAGTTAGATCCGATGATCCCCGTAATGCTTAATCATGTCACCTCTTTTAGGAATATTTAACCTCTTGATCTCTTGAATGAACAGTATATCGCAATATCTTATATCGCATCAATTCATCATGGCACAGAACCTCCCTAGCTCCGATATCAAATCGTGGACCCGCCCGGCACCTAAGGGATACAAATTCACCAATGCCAATATTGTTGATGTCGCGTTAGGCACAATCATAGAAAACCAGACACTTATCGCTACGGATGTGAAAATTGCCTATCTAGGCCAGGAATCATCCGCACCCGCACCAACAGAACTCGAGACCGTGGATTGCCAAGGCAAATATCTTAGTCTAGGCCTGTTCGATGTATATATCCATTTATATGCAGTCTTAGGTTTCAGTGACTTATCTAAAGCCTTCGGAAATCTAAATAATATATATCTATTACGGCAGCTATATACCGTATCTAGACCTGGCAGTGACCCTCCGGGTGGTCCATTACCTTGGACCCTCCACCCGCCCCTCCGAGGGTCAGGGTCGCTCACGAGCGACCCTGACCCTGACCCTCTATATATCTACTGTGTGATACTTCACTTCCTACCATTCGGTGCCATAAGTATCGGTCCTGCATGCTGTTCATGAACAAATGTTTAAGCAGCAACATACTAGATGGTTATGGCACGAATTTAGCCGACAGTGTAGCTAGTAGAGTCCAGCATGCTCACTCCTTGAGAACAAGGGGACTAGGTTGAAAATGGTATAGCTTATGTTCAAATCAGCTCGCTAGTCATCGTATTCTGCCTTTGATCGAACAAAAGAACCAAGAGAGTAGGTGTTTCAGAACGAACGCTACGATCCAATAACAGTCAACTGCCGCTGAGCTGTGAAAGTCTGTGCGGTGGTCGGGCGACGGCGGGTGATCCCTGCAGTCACCACCGGTGCGTAGACCATCAACTGTACTTCCTTCTTTTTTTTTTAGAAATTAAGCACCATCTTGCAGTCCATTTCTTTCCATCAGTAAGAAGCAATTCTCCGTCGGATTCCATCAGTTCTCTTTCGTCTGGTGCCAGTTTGCAGGCGACCCGGGCCGCACATGCGTTTGATGTAATGGCTGCTTTCACGGCATCGAAGGACCTTTGGCAGTCCTCCGTCCAATCCCACTCCTTTTCCGCCCACGTTGTCCGGACAGTCTTCGGTAGATCCTCTGCCGTCGCCGGAGGGAATTTCTTCTTCGGCGCTCTCTTCTTGGCAGTCAAATCCCCATCGCAATCTTCCAGATCGGGCGGCGGTTCCTTGGTTTTATATGGTTTCGCGGGCACTTTCTTCAGGTATGCACTCTTCATGACCATAACATGCTCTGACCTCCCCTACTTCCGAAGAGAAACCGAAGAGTTTCATTACGAGGACGTGATCCCAACGGAACCGGCCCCGGTACCCACCGTGGCCGGCCCTGAGCATCGAGATGCTGAGAGGATCGTCATGTTCCTGTCCTTTCGGCTTTCAGATGCCGAGACCAGATACTCGAATCCGGAAAGGGAGTGTCTCGCGATAGTCAACTGTTGTATGTTTTTGTTTTTATTCGTTTTATATTTAAGCCTATTCTCGATAGATAGCCGTGCTAAGCGCCTAATATACCTATCTACTGGTTATTAGTGCACCCTAGCAAAGGCAAAATAGAGATTAAGTACTCCGGGGTCTTTTATATGATTTACTAATATGAAAGATAGTTAGTTAATTTCTAGATTTTACGTTTGTAAGGGCCATTAGACCCTTAGTACGGCTATTCCCTCTATCGCGATCCGATTGTTTCTACCCCTGGCTATATAACATATGCTATATATTCTTATTTATAAGCTGAACAAGTACATACGACCATAGGGTGTGGAAAATAGGGCTTCCCGTCCGCTCAGCCGTACTCAAGCCACACGCCGGTGAGTTAGTAGTTGGGTGGGTGACCACCAGCGAATCCTCACTGTTGTATGTTTTTTGTTTTTACTCTATCTAAGGGCTACTACCTCAGCTAATGAGGGTATCTGAGGCATAGCGGGAAAGTAACATACCGTATCGTAGAGCCCTGAGGGCTAGGGCTGTATATGTCCTCCAGGAAGTATCATCAAAAACAATACTTTAATATCACATATCGTTCATATGGAGATTTTGTGCGTCAGACGAAATCTTCTGACTATATATAACTAACAAGTGGTAGATAAGATATTTTGATTTGACTAACTTTCTATCAACCTACTCGGTGAACGCGGTTTTATTCGAGCTGACTTTCTTACGAGTAGGAGAAGAGAAGAAATGTTTTGTAATAAAATCATTGGGAATTAGACGGTCTTTGAAATGCTCTATCAAACACTCATCTAAGACACCAGGTGCCAGCCAATTCTTCAACCAAATTGTAAATGATTGGATACATTCAATGGTCCCACACTCCCACATCATTTTCCGAGAAAGACGGAAATGGCATATATTTCACTCGCATTTTTCCCTGATTTCTCTTTGAAACGCTGATCAAAGATCTTTGAGCAAGTCCATACTCACCCAATGCATGCCTTCCAGGGTCCTCAAGTGCATGCACTCTTCCTTTCACATTATCAATCTTGTCATCTCGCCTAATCTGAAAACTGGATTTGTGCCTCGATCAAACAGTATGTTTATGATACCTGGCGTCTTTCTCTCGGTTGCATAGGTTAAATCTGTGACCCGAGTATGATCAATGGCATCGGCCAATGCCTCCCTATCGAGCAGTAACGGTACCCCCGGAGGTTGCTGCTTTGACTAAGATAATTTAAGCATTCTCATTCAGGCTTCTGAGCCAAGCATTCTCGGGGAAATGTACTTTAGACGTAGACGGCCTTTTGCTTGTTGCGAATACAAAATAGAGTCTACATGCTTCACGAAATCTACCTTTCACTATAAATCATATACAGCTCTCTACAATTGTTATGGGTACTATGATTTATGAAATACCCATATAGGTCTTGTGAGCCTATCCCCATACCTACATACCTGGTGTTTTTGAAAGTCCTTGATATATATATCTGCGTGGCTCGATCAGAGCATTATTCTTGGGAGTATAGGTAAATAATCCTTTTCTGGATATTACAATTAGGCTACCCTGTTTATAATGTTCAGAATTTATACGCTACTAATAACCAAGCAAAACCTGCTTCTGGTTGTTGATATTCCTTGATCTGAAAAATTGCATTTAGTATGGTGTTTTGGGGGTGTCAGGGTTAACGGTAAGTTATTATGATAGCTCAGCATTTTATCCATCCATTTTAGGTTAGTGATGCTAGCGTGGGAATTCCCATAGGAACTATGGGCATGTATGGTGGGCCGAAGATTCTGGGATGCCCATGGGAAATGTCAAGGTCTAATAATGCCACGCCTAGTAATTCGTCGATACTAATACCCTAGAAACCACGCGAGATATTATATACCGTTAGAAACCGAGTAAATCACCAGACTCGTTATATACAATAGTAGGGTGATAGTATTAATAGGGCGGGGTTTATCTAGAGCCCGCTTCTTCAAATTGAACGAGAATGCGGGCTACCCGCTATTCTCTCTATCGAAATTTGATATATATTATAGAACACTTAAAATGCAATCTATCGGCGTGAAGTTCATAAAAAGACCGTGAGAGATCTCGACCACACCCTAGGTAGTCTCAGCCTTTTAACTGCAAAGTTAACGTAACCTGATCTTCTTCCGTCGCCAATTCACCACTCTCAGCCATAGCCGCGTCGACCATATGCTTCACAACCGACTTTAGCTTGCCTCGCTGGCATGTGATAGAGAACTTGACCTTAGAACCAGAAGTCATACTACTGCCGTCGCTGTTAGAGGACCTGTCCTCTTGACTCCTCCGGGAAGAGCTTCTCTCACTTGAGTCGCTGTAATATGAGGGCCGTGCGGACTCAGTCGAGACCACCGCTATTTTGGAAGCACTATTACCCTCCCAGGGATTGCTTATAATAGGCTCGACTCCATCTAGGTCCATCATGCTGTCTAGGATAACCTGCTGCCAGTCGACATTTTCGCCGTCCCAGGCAATAGCAGCACTTTTGCATGTTGCCTGTGCAGGCCCGAGGGTATCTATTGGAGGGAATTCCGCGGTGACATTTTCCATAGAAGAACTGATCCCGTTCGGGAAAGAGATCGTCGACGAAGAAGCTGAAATTTTAGGCGAAGTGCCCAAGATTGACTCGATAGAGATTTCGTTCTCTATCAACGCAGTCGCAGTATGAACGATGTCGTGGATTGGCGAGACACAAGTGGCGGGTATTGGCAAGACCAGGGCTGCATGGGCGGGGACATCGAAGGTACCGACATCAGTGGATCCAGTAGATCCCGAGCCCTGTCGTTTAAGTCGGCGCATCAGCAACGCGTACCGGTTTTTGAGCGCCAACGGAGCGCGCGCTTCAAGAAAAAAGTCGGCCATGAATTTCCAATTGCGACCGTATCGATCAACTAATTCCAGCAAATGAGTTTCCTGTGCGAAGGGGGTCAGCGTGTCCTAGATTTGTTGTGACCCGCAGAGCTCGGTACCTCTTCTGACGTCCACGGACTATGATCCAGCTCCGGGTTCAGTTTTTCCTTCCATCGCTTCGCACATTGATCTCCATTCCGAGTGACGACTTCGCCTGCAACCAGGACCCAGCGAGTAGCATGTTTGGCGACCCCGTTGCGGAGCCGCTGATCTTCTGCTGGTAGCCAGTTGCCTTTTTTCAGGGATTTCTGAGGAGAAAGCTGGGTCGAGGTATCCATGGCGAATTGTGGTTCTCCCAACCCCTCGCCGTTGGGTGAGAACCGCCCTGTGATTTATATATATAAAGGATTGGAAATCTTCCGAATTGCCTAAATCCTTACATGTTGGTTCGTGTTACTGGTGGTTCTTGACTCCGGTCGAGTTGTTTCGCCACTCGTATCTGTCGCAGGTGCCGAAGGATCAGATTCCCTGCAAGAATATTCTGAGACTTGTGGTCTCGGCCCGCTTTGATCCCTCCCGCATGTATATCTCCCGGTGGATCTCCGGTTCTGTGCCATTTGCCATTTGTATGTTTGATTCCGCTGAATACAATAAGTAGTTTCTGTAATCTGCTCAAAGGTTTGTTTTCCTTGTCTACTACTCAAGCAACTATTCTAGACAAGTGGTGACTTAAAAGACTCGAGCTTTCGACCAATCACATCAAATTTGGCATTGTTTTACTTGAAGAACCCCTGCATCCCCATTAAAACATTCGTATGCCAGAGAGAATGCAGCCTCGCGTACGGTAGTGGCAAAGTGGGCCTACATAAAGAAAAAAAGGTAGATGTAACATTCAATCATATTTTACATGAGATATCGGACCTCTCAAAACTCCAAAGCTCGACAGTCTAAACTGTTATATAAACACATGTGTAATTATGCCGGTCGCGCATTTTGATCAGGGTGTGTTCATGTACTGAGGCTTAGGATTTCAAATTTTATATCGTGCTTCTTATTACTCCGTGCTTTGAGCACGAAGAATGACCTTGAATCCCACCCGTCTTCTATTTCGAAGTGGTGAATCAAATCAAATGACTAGAGTCATGAAGCATAGCATAGGTGCTTTTATCTTTTTATAGTACATTCCTGCAACAGACTTTTTAGTGTATAGCCCACTAAAATCCAGGGTATCTCACACGTGAATACAATCTAGTCGAAGTGGGACAGCGATTGTCACCGATTATTGGACAATTAATACACTTATCTACGGATGAATAGCACACGAATCATGCATATCAGCATATAGGAAGGTCACCCGGAGCTAACTAACTATATAAAATCCGAGTAAGATAAGCGAGAGGCAATATAGCGGTGAGATCTGGTAGAGCCGTAAGGGATTCCCTAAATAGGTAATTACAGCTTAACAATATGCTACACAAATTTAATCTATTAGTTAGAGTAGTGTGATCGGACATAGACCCTATTTAGCAAATAAGGTCTTAATTGATTTAGTGTAAGCCATATATTAGCGTATTATATATTTATAGAGTACATATGTAAGCACTTGTCTCCTTCTATCAAAGAGGGTCCCTATAAGGAGGACCTTAGGAAATCTACGGAGTAGATGTTCGAGTATAAATATTATAAATATAGCAAGGAAAAAAAGGAGAATATATATTTCGCCTCAATTTTAATTCTATCTCTAATTCTAATTATATACATTACGAATTTGTATGTATCGTGAAATAATGCCCTATAACGTAGACCCCCACTAATGGTACTTTCGTTTGCACGATGCCTATGTTGTAGGTTTGGGTAGGCCACGTACGCTTCACAATTGAAAAGCAATTATAAAATTATGAAATTACCATTAGAATTTCGTGATTGGGCACGAAAATTTCGGATTGATCCCTGTAGAACTGTGGAATCGTCGTTGAATGCTAGAATGCTATTCTAAGACCCCTAGTCCGCCTCCCGCTTGCACGGCGCTATCGAAACCAGGTACCGATTGAACTGCGCATCCCTATCAAGATACTCAAACTCATCATCAAACAGGTTCACACTCACTTCAATACCACCGTGCTTCTTATTCCTCGGAAGCACATGCGCCAGTCTCACACGCGCAGCATATTGTCCATGTAGAACGCGAAGCGCCTGCGGCATACCGCCATTACTGAAATATTGATCCCCAAAACGGATCTCCTCCAACGGCAAGAAAATGATATTTGAAACCAAAACATCAGAAGAGTCCGGCCTCTCCACAAAGCGACCCTGCACGCGCGAGAGATCGCCAGTCTCTCGCAACAAACCATACGCATCCTGAACAGCCTCTCCATCCAACCGGGCCGCACCCTGCCGAATAGCCTGTGCAATGCGACCGAGTGAAGTCGACGGCGCCAGGAGCTCAGTTAGCGGCATGCGGGCCGTGTTCATCAGGAAGCAATTGCCGAGGTATGCGGGCGGGAACCCTTGTCCGAACGTGCTGCGCACATCTACCGGGGTCTCAAACACAGAGATATCATCCCGGAGTGGGGCCGATCGTGCTCCGGCTGCTGATACCCGGGCTTTCATCAGGACCCGCCAAAGGAGCGCTTGGATGGCGTCGCTGATGGAGAGCGGAGGCGCGCCGGGGAGCGAGGATTCTGCGGCGCATTCTTTCTGCAGGGCCGCGAGATCCGGTCCGGAGAGAAAGACGACCCTGTTTAACATCTTTCGCTCGCCCGTGTCTACTTCTTCAATCACTTTCTGGGTTTTGCCGGGGTTGCCATCTTGGCCCAGGTCCAAACAGACCAATGCTCGCAGCCACGGGTCGTCGGGACTATTTTTCATGATCCGCTGGGCAGTTTCCCTTTCCCAGATCCGATCCGGCTGGGCGTGATCTCGGTCGATGGACGTGTACGGCGAGGGCGCGACTTGATTCCCTTCGTCGCGACCGCGCAGCTCGCGGAAATTCTCAGCCCACAGCTTCATCAACCCGATCATGGCGCCAGCATCCATTGTCGAGTGCGATACCGTCAAAGCGAGCAGAACGCCCCCGGTGAGGAAGTTCGCTTGTGCTAAGAAGATATCGGCACCTGCGACGTCGACGTCGCCTAGAAATGGCGCATCCAGCAGGAGAATTTCTTCGGGGAAGATATCACTCGGGAACCCGGCGGCTTTGAAGTCATTGTATGACCAGTCTGTTTCAAGTTTGAGATACCGCAGCTGGTACGGGAGTGGGTCGTTTAGTGAGTACTGTCGATGGCGCATTTCAATTTGCCCTGGTCGCCATCCTGGTGTGCTGGGTGATTGGCGGTAGGCCTTGCCGCTTGCCCATGGTTCTTGGACAAAGGTCTTGTGGAGTGCCTGGTGGAGATCGGTGAAGACGAGCTTGTCGTCGGCGTTGGGATAGAGGGGAAGGGGGAATACAAGGCGGACGTAATTGAGAGGTGGAACGAAGTCTAATGGACTCACCGTTTGTCGGATTTCATTCTCGATGGCCATTTTGGAGGAGTTGTATCTGAGTTAATTGGTTTTATTTGAGAACAGACTACGCTTCGCTTTATACTCTGGCATCGAACGGGCCTCTCCCGGCTACGAGGAGGTTGGCTTCTACGATGGTCTCGATGTTTCGAGCTTCCAGAGTTACGCTAGGTAGGTGGGTGGTTTACGTGACTCCGTTATTCACATCAAAATGCTCGAATATTCGTGCACGGGATCGGAGTCAACCAGAGTCATTTATGGCTTATATCCTAATTGTGATTTGCACTCATTATGCTAAAAGTCTAGATCTAGATATTCTATCAAGGTGTATCAGAAATAAATTTAATCCTAAGGTTCATCATCAAGAATTGCAAGAATGATATTATCGAGACATTCTTCAAATTTTGGGAATACGATAGAAGCTCAAAAATGATACTATGAGGTCAAATGAGGAAATTATGCCTTTTTTGTGCTTCCTATTTTGGACAAAATAACGAGATATAGCACGTAAAGTCGTGTTTGTTAATAATTGTTCTCTATCCTAAAAGAAAATGCAATATATAAATCAATCCATCTAGCCCTATACAACCCCAAAACCACCTACCTCTCAACCACATACATCCTATCCGAATTCTCAGTAAATACAAAAGCCTTAAACAAAAAAAAAAGAACCTAAGTATCTAAGCCTTATTGACCGCATTCTTGCTCATAGCACGAACCTTATGGCCATACTTGTAAAGCATATAGGGAACAGGCGCCATAAGAGTAGCCAGAGCAGCAACAATAGTCACCGACCAATGGGGACCAATTCTCTCGTACATCTTGACAGAAGCAGGGCTAAGAGCACCAGCGACGACGTACCGCGCAAAGGTCATGAATCCAAGTGCCGACGCAGCATACTGCAGGTACACGAAGATGATATACATGTATGTCGTCGTGAAAATGCAAACAAGGGCCCAGCCGAAGACGCCGGAGGCCACGATCGGGGACCAGATACTGATATCGGCCTAGAAGGTAATGTTAGTAAATATCATATGAGATGGTGTATTAGAAGAACTTACGTAGCAGGTCCAGGCCATCCAGAAGAGAGAAACCGGCATCATGATAGATGCGCCTGCCATGGCCCAGTAGAGCGATACCTCGGGCTGCAAAGCCTGACCCTCAGCCTCAGCCTGTCTTGCGGCCTTCTTGGTCATGGTATACAGAGGAGGAATCATAGCCAGAGCAACAATAACACCGGGAATCATGGCGATGAAGATAATGAAGGTCAAGCTAGTGCTGATACCGTACACATTGGCAAAGATGAAGGGGTAGCCATTAAGGAAGGTAAACAGCACGAAGTAGAGAAGGACTAGGTAGAAACTGAAGATAAGAATGATAGGCTCAGTCCAGATCATGACAAAGGGCCGGGAGACGTTGGTGAGTAGACGCGGGCCTAATGCGTTTGAAGAGGTAGACGCATGGGCAGCGCGGTACCGGCTATCACCAGTCAGTTCGCGGAGGTGCTTCGCGCGCCATTCCAAAAGAATAGGGCTGAAGGTCTCAGGCTGGGCAAGTGTGACTACGACCAGAGCGACGCCGGCAATGATCATCGAGATCCAATCGGCCCACACGTAGCCGATATCCGGCGTGTAGGCGCCGATCACGGGGCCTAGGATCGGGCCCGAGTAGGCGGCGATAGTGACGAGGGGCAGGCCGAAGGGGATCTGCAATGGATGCCAGATGTCGCCGACGGTTCCGCCAGCTACTGTCATTGGGGCAGCGGCGAATAGAGCACACAGGAAGCGGAAGGTAAGGGCTGCGCCATAGCTCGGTGCCAGAGCCTTTGCCATCACGAACAGAATTACGAGCATTAGTGCGGTGAAGTAGACCACATTGCGGCCGAAGGTCTCGGAGAATGGACCGGCGAAAAGAGAGCCAACGCCGATTCCAATGAGGAAGATACCTTTTGATGGATTTGTTAGAACGCAGGATATCCAAAGAGAGGGAAAGAATAAACGTACCGGTTGTCATGGATCCAGCCATGGCGTTAACACCGAAGTGCGCATCGAAGGCGTCTTGAGTGGCACCCTCCACCGAGGAGGGGACTGTCATGGCGATAGCAACCAGACAGCAGGTCAACATGACCATCCACTTGCGAAGCATAGACCAGTTGAGCGGGTTACTTGGATCGTTTTCCCTCCACCCAACCACGAAGACAACCTCGCCGTTGTCTCCTAGCCGAGAAACCTCCACACCGGGTACAAGGGGGGGCATCGTCGAAGACGGCTGGCTTCTCTGCTACTCCTGCCTCTGGGTCTGATCCCAGAGACGGCGACGAGGTACTAGTGCGCACAGACTTGGCTTGACTGTTGGCCAAGTCTTCCTCTGCTTCCCGGCGAAGACGGCGGTACTGGAACCAGGACTCCATATCGATATTCTTTTTTTTTCCTTCGAAGAAGCTTAAACTGAACCGTTGCAATGAATCGAAACCGAAGAAACAAATAGTCGCAGATGCCGGATTCTTCAGGCACAACCTCACAGGCTAGTTATCGTTCAATGTGGGATCTGTGAACTCTCAATTCCCACGGCAGGAGGGGGGATACATATACTGAGTCCCCCATCACATAGTCACGATAACCCCGTTGAATCTCGAAGTTGGCCGTGATCGGACACAATTTTTTTTTTTTGCCAACTTCGCCTTTCGGACACATAAAACCGCTAAGAGGCCTAGAATGCGGCGCGTTATCGTGCCGACGACAGGGGTTGATGGCATTCATTGGTCGAGAGCCCGTTGACTAGAGAGCCCGTTGACTAGAAGGTGGCAAAATTGACTCCGGAACAGATCTGACTTTTTTCAATTTTTCAACTTTTCAACTTTTCTTTGTTTAAATGTTCTCAATGTGACCCTTTCTGGTATGTTTTTGATGTTCGCCACTTTTGAGACGGAAATGATTAAGAGGCTAACTTACTCTTGTTTGCTACCTCTAACTAACTAACTAGTTAGTTAGTTAGGTATTGGTCTCGGAGTTCCAGAGTCAGGTCCCAGTCAGGTCCACTTAAACGGAGTCAGGGGCAATCTCAACTAGTTTGTGTGATTGGAAAGCTCAAATTTATGATCCGGAGACATATATCAATTGAAACAATCGGATTGCTGAATTCATTTAGAACAAATGAACACTCTGATTCGACCCATTTAGAATCTAGTCTAGCTAACGTAGTGTAAAGGTGATCAACCAGTAGAATTATAATTCTACATGCATAGTAATTTGAATAAGCAGAGTTGGCGATCGATGTTCCGTTAACGTGCTTATCCAGGTGGTGTATATTAATACCTTAGGTATCTCCCCGAAAACATTTGAAATCGGATAGACTGACTACATAGGTATATATATGTACAATAATATAGTGTTTTCGTAGCATGCCCTCCACATAGGTCCCAACAACGCAAGTGCAAGTAATTGGGGGTTTAACTTAAGACAAATACTTTATTGCAGCTGCAACCAATCTCGATATATAAGAAACGCATAAACACAACTTCAAACAATAAAACTCAAAAACAATCTTTATTTAACCCCAAACCGGAGTTGTCCTTGCCCTTTGTTGCACCAAAATAGCTCTACATCGTGTACGGGGTGAAAGCTGCATGATTGAGCTCACACAGCGACCATCACAGGCGTGCTCAAGCCCGATGATTCTTCCAACACCTCACCATCATAGACATCCTCGACCGCATTCGCACTGAGTTGGGGAGGGATGTAGCTCTCTGTGGTTGCGGTCGAAGCGACATTGATGGTCTTCGAGACCTCGGGCCACCAAGTCTCTAAGTTCTTGTGGTACCAGTTGACCGAGGCCTTGAGTCCCTCGGAGAAGGGCACACGCTGGTGCCATCCCAATGCAGCCAGCTTGCTGCCATCGACCCAGTAGTCAGTGTCGTTAAAGGGACGGTCGGGGATCCAAATGAGTGAGCGTGTGAAGTCTCGCGGGCTGAAGCCGAACAGTTCAAGTGTGCGAACGGCGACTTCAAGGTTGGTGATGCCGTGGGATGATTGGATGTTGTATGCCTCGCCGATCACACCCTTGTGCAGCAGGGTGTCAAAGCCGTCGGCAGCATCGGCTCCGTAGAGGTAGCGGCGAATGTTCAAGCCGGTGCCTTGGATTGTTAGCGGCTGCTGCTGCATCAGCAGGGTGCAGAAGCGGGGGACGATTTCTAATCTCATGTGTCAGCATGTTTCCGTCCCCTTGAAAGTGTCCGAGGGGTGTAATCCTTACTCTCGGGGTATTGACCAGGCCCGAACACGTTGTTGCTTCTCACAACGAGAGCTGGGATGTCGAAGGACTTTGCGTATGCCCAGACATACATCTCGGCAGCAGCCTTGGAGGCTGAGTATGGGTTGGTGGGCATGAATTGCTTGGTCTCATCACATGCGGACTCCACAACATCTCCATACACCTCGTCGGTGCTAACGTGGAGAAATCGGTTCACCTTTTGGGGCCCCTTGTGGTGACGAATGGCTTCAAGGAGCTGTTGAGTACCGACAACATTGTTGACAGTGAAGCTGAGGGGATCGTTGAATGAGTTCTGGACGTGCGAGCACGCAGCGAAGTGCATCACACAGTCAATGTTGTGGTCCAGAAGAACCTTGGCGAGGGCCGCCTGATCCGTAAGGTCGCCTTGCACAAAAGTGAAGTTGGTCAGAGAGTCCAAGCAGTTGACATTGGACAGAGAAGCGACAACATCGAGCTTGTCAAAGCAGACGATGTTGTATTCGGGGTACTGCACCGCCATGTGGCGGGTTACCCAACCTCCACTAAAAGCCATGTCCATGTCAGTGATGTACAATTGGGGTAATGAAGAATCTGCTCACATAAATCCTGCACCACCAGTGATCAAAATGCTCTTGATGTCGCTCCGAGGCTCAAATCGGGTGGTTCCGATGAGACGTTGGCCCTCAATGTCATTCGCACTAGCTCTGGCAGGAGCGAGCGAAAGACCCTTCTTGAGAGGAGGGGACGCAGGAGGGGTAAGGGCACGAAGAGCAGGCATTTTGTCCAGGAATCTAACGGATTGTATGAATTCAGTGATTCTTGAAATTTTGCGATGAAGACGAAGATGCTGCTGCTGGTGTTATGGCTAATTCGATTTTTCTGCGGCGCGCAGGCCCTTGAAATAGTTCAACGTCCGAATACATTGGCAATAAACAATGAGGCTGCGGTGACTCCAAGAGATATCCTCAGTCAGGCATATGGATAGATTGGATGTGGTTGTCTCTCGGTCCAAGTTGATGATTGGGGGCGACTTCGTTTTCCGATGTGTCGCGGCCCGTGACCCGGAATTACTCCGTTCGGCGCGACTTGGTAAGATTTGTCGCGTTGGTACTAATCTCACCATCTCTGGGTCCAATCACCCCTTTGCATCCAGAGTCATGGAAGAGAAAAGCAGATTCAGAGTCAGAGTCACATTTGAATGTTCTGACTTAAGATGAATACGAGAATCATCTATTGTGAATACTATAAGATGATCGAGGGGGAACAGCCTTTTTCTTTTGGCAGCAATCAATTGAAAAAGACACTGATACATCTCAAGATGGGATCAATCGCTCCATCTGAACGTTTCCTGATTTTTGGTGAGTGGACTTGGCGATTCGGATGTTCAAGACTGACCCCATATCTAGGAAATGGCTGGATTGCCAGTCAATTCAAAGAAATCCTGCAAGCACAAGGGAAAGCAGTCTTTGTATCAAATGCTCGAATTGAAAACCGTGAGCAGGTGATGAGGTATGTTTAGAACTCTTATCTCCAGAAGATCCCACTAACCCACGCAGCAATCTCACCACACACAAGCCCACGCGTGTCATCAATACCGCTGGCGTACGAGGAACGCCTAACGCCGATTGGTGTGAAGACCACAAGATCGAAACCTTCCGCTCAAATGTGCTGGGTGCGCTCAACGTGGTCGACAGCTGCTACCAGCTAGGCATCCACGTCACGCAATTTGGATCGGCATGCATCTATAACCTGCCGGAGGACCAGGTCCGAAGCCGTGCACCTTTTTCAGAGACCGAGGAGCCGTTCTTCAAAGGCGCTTGGTACCATCGGAGTCGCTTGCTAAGTGAGCAAACCATTGGCCACTATCCTAACCTTTTGCTCCTCCGAATGCGGATCCCGCTAGCTGCAGACCTCCACCAAAATAACCATGTCGCGAGGCTGCTGAAGTATGATAAGATCTTGGATCTGACTGGCGTGAGTATTCTTTTCCATTCTTTGCGAACAGAATTTATTGGCTAACTTCATTTCGATAAGTCTGGCACCTGTCTCCCCAACTTGCTTCCGGGTGCTGTAATTCTCTCAGAGAACTCCGAAACCGGAATCTACAACTTTGTAAGTAAAATAACATCCTGGCTCATCTTGTCTCTTCGGTTGTATTAATGCCCTCTTTCAGGTCACGCCCGGCGAACTCAGTAACGTTGAGGTCATGGAAATGGCCAAGCAATACATCCGGCCCGACCTTAAATGGGAAACATTCGAACTGAAGGACATGCTGGCAACTTTGAAAGCACCACGTGCGATTTGCATTTTGGATGCAAGCAAGCTGCAGACTAAACTGCGAGAATATGGCTACGAGGTCAAGGAGCGCCGCGAGGCACTCGAAGAGATCTTCCAGATCATGGCGAAGAGGGGACTGTAGGCTTGGTTATCTTGATACGTAGTTCTTGATTGTTTGCAAATGTCGCAAGATCTCGTCCAATATAAATGAACACATCTGCTTTTTTTGGTCTTAAACTTCAAAAATTACAAAATCTGCGGCCTGCATCGCCTTGGATAGTCCATCTTGTAACTCATTCACCATTATCTGACTTCAAAAAAAGGATTGATCACGAGATAGATGCACCTGGACACTATCACAAGCCTTGACCAAGAAATGATTCAATTTCTGTCAGGAATACAGCAGAACTTCGATATCCGGCGAGATCGGGAAGCTGCAATGTACTATGTATGCTACAGTTGGTACAGTTGTCACATCACGGGCTGTGATTTCGCCGGTCGTGATTTCCACGCGAAGGTCCTCTTCGTGATCTCTTTCCACACCTTCTTTTATGTCTTTTTCGGGAAGGCATGATGATGTTAGCGGCCAATACTACCTAGGTAGCTATTTATTCTTGATCCTAGTCAACGTTGATAAAAATAAAAACCCAATATGCAATATCTGTTGATACTGTACATTTTATCCATATTCAGGGCAATAATGATAATATGATATTGATATGTCGGGGATCAAACTCGGCCTTCTGGTCTGCATGGAAGGGCCTTTTTGGTAGTATGCAGGACTATGCCATCTAAATGACTGTTCTTTTTCTTGTGGTCTCTCGTCTCAAATAACACATCCAAGCCATTATCATCCCGTGATGCTCATAATTGAGTGCCCTCAGAATGTAGTAAGTATATAACATTCACATACCTTGGAAATCTTGGCGCTGAATCAAATTTTCGGTATCAATAGATCAATACTATTACGAAGACGCATAGGGGTCAGGCGTCAAAACCTAGTTTTAGAGGACCTTGGTGCCTTAATGCCTTATTTTAGAACGGCACAAAAGAATAAATACATGAATTACTATTACACGTGCCTTAATAATCAACGTACAGCGTTGTGAGGTAGGGTATATGAAGCTTTTGCCCTCCATACAAATCAATGCATCTCCATTTTCTGGGTGGTTGCAAGTCCGAAAAATGAAGCTTTTGACCTCCATACAAATCAGACATCTCCATATTTTTGGCCGGTTTAATTGATTTGTATGGAGGTCAAAAGCTTCATTTTTCGGACTTGAACCACCCAGAAATCCGTGGATGCCTTATGTTTATGGTGTCAAAAAGCTGCAGGTTGATGTATTAACAATTTACAGTACACTGTATAGAGCGGTGTATGAAGCGGTGGTAATCCAGGCATTAAGGCATCAACATCCCCCCCAAGATTGGGTTTTGACGCCTGACCCCTATACGTCTTCGTATTACTATCGTATTATACCATTGTATCAATATCATTCGTATTATACCACATACTTTTTTGTTTCAACGCGTCTTTATCCCCTCGACTTGCCTTCCAAGGTTGTATTCGTCGTTACATAGTTATGTATCCCCTTGACTTGCCTTGTATTGAAACAACTATTACTGTAATTTGTTACTAATTTCTTACTTTACATTCATCCAATCAATGTCTTCATAAGGAGCTTCACCAGTCCCAAGTTGTCTTCGCCTACTCCGTCCATCCACGGAGTCACGAGTCGGGTTCAAGTACCCCACCGTATAGAGTCGATGGAATACGAGACCACAGTCAAACCCCCGCCACAATATTCTTAGGCCACTCTGCTCGCCCCCCCCCAAGTCTGTGGTCGAGAGCGATTGGGCTTGTTAGTAAGAATGACTCTTGGACGGGCAAGCTTGTATCCGAATTTCGGAGTCATTGACTGCGGGAGAAATGCACCAGGTGCCAATGCCTTTAACCACGGCTTCAGCAGGCAATAGATGCATCAACATACAGGGTAATTTCTTTCTCCTTGCAAATAAAGATATTTGGGCCAACGAGGTAAGTCGCCGACGCCTCTATGTGGATGTGGGGCTTTTACAAGGGCCTATCGAGCTGACCCAATCAGTATATCAGTTTTTGGAAGCCATTAGATCACAGTCATGGTTGCACCCACTTCGATTGAGCCCATTGCGGTAGTGGGCCTGTCATTTCGTCTACCTGGCGGGATTCACGACGTGCAGGACCTCTGGGAGCTTCTCGAAAGTGGAGAACGCGCATGGATCGACATTCCCAAACAGCGATGTGACGAAGATGTAAGTGATCATACCCAGCAAAAAAAAAAAAGAAAAGAAAAGAAAATCACGGTAGCTGACGATCGAAAGTAGATCTCTGAGCATCCTGGCAATCACCGTGGTGGGCACTTCCTCTCTGGCGATGTTTACAACTTTGACCATGACTTTTTTGGTCTTTCAAAGTCTGAAGTCGCTGCAGTCGATCCACAGTTACGCCTTCTGCTACAGTTAGCATATGAAGCTCTCGAGAGTGGCGGTGTTTCAGGCGAGAACATCCTGGGAACCGCGACGTCAGTGTACACAGCAGTCTCCACCACAGAATATGATCGGCACTTGAACAAGGACATTGTGGAGTTCCCAGTCGCCCATACAAGTGGTGTCAAACCTTCAAATTGCATCTCGCAGTTCTTGCGCCTACATGGCCCCTCTTTGACATTAGATTCGAAAGACTCTGAAGGTCTCGTTGCGCTTCACTTAGCATGTCAAAGCCTGCGCAATGGCGATTCGGAAATGGCTCTGGTCGCTGCATCCAACTTGCATCTTCTTACAAGCACTGGGCAGAGCTATCCGTTCGACGAGCGTGGTGATGGGTACGGTCGCGGCGAGGCCGCAGTTGCCCTGGTTCTGAAACGATTGGATGCCGCCGTCCGAGATGGAAACCCAGTGCGCACCATCATCCGCAACAGTGGCATCGGCCAGGATCAAACCAGGCTGGCTCGGATGACATACAACCGTGCTGGGTTGATGCCAGAGGAAGTTGCCTATGTCGAGGCACATGGGTCGGGCACCAAGGCAGGCGACCATGAGGAGCTAACTGCCATCGCAGAGGCCTTTGGAGGATCCCACGATCGCTCAGTTCCTCTTTACGTTGGCTCCTCCAAGGGATCCATAGGTCACGGCGGGAGTGCAGCTGGTTTGTCGAGCTTGATCAAGGCAGCCGTCATTCTGGACAGGGAAGTGATTCCCGCAGTCGCCGGGTTCTCCAATCCTCAACAAGGTCTCCCGATGGATAGGATTGCTATTCCAACGAAGGCAGTACCTTGGCCCACCCACCCTGGAATTACTCCTCGTGTCTCGATTAATAGCATTGGGTCGGATGGTGCGAACGCTCACGTTATTCTTGAGCGAGGATCACTGAACACCCACACAATATCCACGTCTAGCGCACCTTGCCCTCGTCTTTTCAAATTTTCGGCCAACAGCTTGATTTCATTGAAGGCCAAAGTTGCCGCATATGAGAGCTGGATCAGCCGTCACACTGAGGATACCCCGCTGGCGGATCTCTCCTACAGCCTATTACACCGGCGCTGTGACATGTCTTATCGTTTCAGCGCAGTAGCCGACGATCAAGAATCTCTGTTGCAAATTCTCAACCAATCACACTCCGTCCCCATCACAAAATCACTAGCTTCAGAGCCCGATATTGTCGCTGTTTTCAGTGGCCAAGGATCACAATGGGCTGGCATGGGTCGAGAGCTACTGTTGTATGAGACCACAGCCTCTACCGTCTTTCGGGATTCCTTGCGCCTCTCCCGAGACATCCTTTGCAAATTGGGTGCCAGGTGGGACCTTGAGGAGGAACTTCTTTGCGACAAAGCAGTGTCCAGAATCAACGAAGCTGAGCTATCCCAGCCTGTCACTACGGCCATTCAAATCGCTCTTGTTGCTCTCCTCCAGGCCTATGGGTTGAAATTCCGCGCCGTCGTAGGCCATTCAAGTGGTGAAATAGCCGCGGCATTTTTGGCAGGTCACATTTCCCAGGAGAGAGCGTTGACAATCGCCTTCCACTGTGGCTTTTTAGCTGCCGCTGCAAAACTGAAGGGGTTGGAACAAGGTGCGATGTTGTCCGTTGGTCTCAGTGAGGATGAAGTTGCACAACATCTCGACAATTTGCCAACAGGAGAAGCCGTGGTTGGCTGTGTCAACAGTCCCAACAGCGTGACTATTTCAGGTGATATGAGCGCCATTGATGAGATTGATAAGCGCATCGCCCAAGCTGACGATGGAACCTTCCATCGCAAAGTGGTAGTTGAGACAGCGTACCATTCGCACCACATGAGTGCCGTGGCCGACTACTATCGGTTCCGCCTTGATACCATGAGCACGGAGAGCTTAACTGCTCCCGTTGAAAAGGTGGTATTTATGTCATCTGTCACCGGACAAGTGAAGTCGTCTGGATTCGACGCAGAGTATTGGATCTCGAACATCGTCTCACCCGTCCGTTTCAGCGCTGCTATTCAAACACTTGCCAAAGAGACACTTCGCCCAGAATCACACGTATTCTTCGTGGAAATTGGTCCCCACCCGGGCTTGGCTAGTCCAGTTCGACAGAGTCTCAGTCACCCAGATCTGCCTAAGGTTTCATTTGACTACCATCCGGTGTTGCAGCGCAAGCTAGACTCTATAACCAGCGCGTTGACTCTGACGGGTAAGTTATTTGAACGCGGCGTCAATGTCGAATGGAATGCCGTGTCCGCAATGGCTCATGGCGCAGACCAAGCAGCCGTACTGTATGATCTTCCGGCATACTCGTGGGACCATTCCACCCAGCACAGCCAGGAATTTCGCCTGACTCAAGCTTATCGTTTGCGTGATGAGCCGTATCATGAGCTACTCGGTGTGCCAGTTCTTGATGCAACTGATTCTCAACCTCGCTGGAGGCATTTCATTAGCCGGACATCGCTGCCGTGGCTTGCCGACCATACCATTGATGGCGTTACCATGTTCCCCAGCGCAGGGTACATCTCTATGGCTATCGAGGCCGTGACGCAGGTTTCACGCCGACGCTTCCCAGTTTCCTCGCTTGGAACATTGGTGCTTCGTGACGTCGAATTCAAACGAAAATTGTTTGTGCCAGATGATGCACAGCGCGTTGAACTCCAATTGAGTCTCCAGCAACACCCTGGCGCGGATGTTGCTTTTGACTTTTCGATTGCTGCCCTTTCCGACTGTACTGGTCACTGGCATACTCATGCCACCGGTATCATCGAGGCAGAGTTCGCCGAACAGGATAATACCACAGCAGCATCCACAAAGGGCACAGGATTCCCCCCAATGCCAAGCACTAGCCACATCATCCCCCACCAAAACCTATATAGGGACCTGGACTCTGTAGGCAATACATATGGTCCTGCCTTTGCGGGTATCAGCTCCATCAAGGTTGCGCCCGATGGATCGCAATCTTCTTCATCCTTGATTGTGCCAGATGCGGTGGCCATGGTGTCTGATGGGCACCGGAATCCGCTCATTATCCACCCATCGACACTTGAAAGCATGTTCCAAACAGTCTTTCCGCTACAATCCCTTCGTAGCGGCCCTGGGCCTATCATGCCAAGCCATATCAGTGAGCTGCTAGTCGCGACATCGTCCCTTTTGCAAGCTCCGGGTTCAAGTTTCGAAATATCCACGCTTCTGGACCCCATCGAATCTGACCCAGCCAGTTGGAGTATCTCATCTGCGTGCGGCCACAACCAGGTGATTTCAATCTCCGCTCTAAAGCTCCAAAGTCTGACGAAACCCCCAACCAACATCAAACGGCATGAAGATGGCGATATTTCTGCAAATATCTGTTACGAGTTACGCTTGCAACCCGACCTCGATCATTTGCGAACTGAAGACATGCCCCAAAACCCTTCATTTGCGGACATTGTCGGACTGCTTGCCTCAAAACAAGACCAGTTATCTGTGATCGGTCTTGGCGCTGGGGTTGATCTATCGGAAGACTTCACTGCTGCTTTCGAGTCTCCGAACAACAAAATCACGTCTTTCGATTTTATCGACACCACACCAGGTCTTTTCGACGAAGCCGCTACGCGTCTTGAGAACCCCTTGGTACAATTCCGGACCATGTTCCCCACCAGCGACCCCAAGATGCGTGGACTTCAACTCAGATATTATGATCTGGTTCTGGCTACTTCGACCAAATGGTTGGGTCAGGCTGAAATGCTGGTCAAACCCAACGGCATTGTACTTCTTCGGCTCAATCAACGCGAGTCCAAGGAATACATATCACAGAACACCACCTCGACTTCACTGACTGAGCAAGTTGTCTACAAAGATGACGCCCGCGGTAGACTTGTTGTTCTGGCACTACCTCCCAAAGTTCAGAATATGCCGGCCATGCACATCCTCACGCATTGCGTGCCTCAATATGCTCCGGTTTGGTCCGTTGCACTGGTTCGAGCATTGCAGGCCGTCAACGAGAATGTTACGATCAATCAATTGACTCGAAGTGCCGTGGAGGATCTTCAACGCACTAGTGCACTAGGAGACACATGCAACGACGCCGTCCTAATCATTGACGACCAGCCAGAGCAACCTATTCTGGCAGACCCGGTCGCTACGGATGCAATTACTACACTCTTGGCAAATTCTTCGCGTCTCGTTTGGCTCAGCCCTGATGTACCTCCGTCTTTCCATCAGAACGAGAGCCTTGCTCGTACTGCGCATGTGGAAAACGATGATCTCCGTCTTACTACCGTCCATGCATCCTCACTGTTCCTCGCAAGCGACCTCAACCAAGCACGCCTGGTCGACATTGTGGCTGGAACAATTAATCAGGTGTCAAACCTCGGCATGCCCCTTACGGAACGTGAATATCGAGTTCGCAGCAATGGTGCCGTCATGGTTCCACGCCTACACCGCAGCGAAAGGCTCAACTGGGCCATCTACAATTCTGGAAATTCAAGAGCTGAGCCTCAGTTTCAAAAGATTGCTAGCTGTGAACGACCTCTGGTGCTTTCTCCGGACGGTGCCGACCTGTTTCTGGAGGACCGAGAAACCTTTGCGACGCACATAGGTCCAGACTCAATTGAGATTGAGGCCCAGAATCTTGCCATGGGAGATCCCAGTTCTCGCCCGAAGATAGGTGCGTACGCAGGTTTCGTCACCAACGTTGGTTCCGATGTTATTTCACTGGCTCCAGGTGATCATGTAATTGCCCTGGCCCCAGTCATAGGTGCGACTCGACTGCGCATACCAGGAACCCTCGCTGGCCGCCTGCCTATGAAGTTGCTACCATCCGACGCTGCTGCAATGCTTTTGGAAGCCATGGCAGCTTCATATGCTATCCGCGAGGTAGGTGGTATGCTTTCGGGCCGGGGCACTGTACTGATCCACGGAGCCGGCACTGCGGTTGGTCGGGCGGCCATCGGAATTGCCAGATCAATTGGCATTCGCCTCGTTGCAACTGCTTCGAACCCCACCGAGGCTCGATTACTCAAAGAGAACCTGGGCATTGATCCCTCGGATGTATTGGTGACGCGTGCTTCATTCCATCGACGCTTACCCCGAGATATCTTCCCCGAGGGACTCGACGCCGTGATTCATGCAGCGGGCAATTCGGCGCCAGCAGAAGAAGCACTTACCCACATCAAGCCATTCGGCAGAGTGGTGGTCATTGGAGATTCCTCGTCATCGATATCGAGCAAGCTTCCGCCCAACGTGGCTCTTCATTTTGTCGACATTGACAGTCTTGTCCAAGCTCGTCCCAATCTAACTACCACCCTTATCTCCCAAGCGACAGCTGCATTCCAGCATATACCGATGGGGGGCTTCAATCTAGCTGTCCGCGACGTGTCGGAAGTCGCAGATGCACTGAAGACGCTGAAAAATGGCACTGCCTCCAAGGTTGTTCTTCAAGCCAGCTCCGAGTCAACTGTCCCAGTCATTCCCTTCTCAGAAAATGATCCCTGGTCCAATCAGAACGCCACATATCTCATTGCAGGCAAACTAGGAAGCCTGGAGCGGAATCTCATGATGCAGATGGCGCGTCGCGGCGCGAGGCATGTTGTTCTGGTGTCAAGGGGACTTGTAGACCCCAATGACACAAAGACCCTCCAAGCGAAACTGCAGGCCATTCAACCAGGAGCTTGTCTGTATATCGCCCAAGGAGATATATCTTCCGAGTCCGCCATCCGAGAAATTTCTTGTACACTCGCCAGTCGTGGTGCGCCCACTGTTCATGGAATTATTCAGACCGCCGCTGCCGAAATTGTAAGTTGACCCAATCTTTCCCCATACTTTCATCCATCTTTTCTTGCTCTGCGATTTTGATCCATTTTCGGTGAACTTTGAAGTCTATGCTCACACTTTACCACAGGAATATCACGAAGGTGAAATGAATGGAAAGCCTGCCCTTTACCGTGTCTTTGCCTCTCCCAGTTTGACATTCTTCCTTTCGATATTATCGGCCAAGTATCTCCTTGGAAACAACATCGATGCCAGCAACACTGGTGTCGACGCGTGGCAAGATTCCCTGGCTCATCAGGAGCAGTTGAACTCGTCATCTCAGACCAAATTCATGACAGTGAACCTCGATTGGAGAGAGGACAATTTGTCAGTGAACGATGATGGTGCTCCTGAGAATGAAAACCGGCGGGTGGGTCTCAAGCCTATTCAGGTGGAACATCTTACCCGGTTCCTCGATTACATCCTCGGTGCTGCTGTTGAACCCAATGGGGCCGGAATTTCCCAGGCTGTTATTGGTTTTGACGCCGAGTCTTTAGCCGGTGCAACCGCACCCAATGGACCCATTCACTCCGCCTTGTTCCGTGAGGCACGGCGCGGCATCAACGAAGCCCCTATTGGGGGTGGTGATGACGAAGAAGAGCAATCATTCGAGCAAGTCATCGCCGCTGGTAGCGAAGAGGCTGTGGCCGACTTTATCTTGCGGGCGATAACGAGGAAAATTTCCCACTTACTTTCGGTCGATGTGGGCAAGGTCGATGAAATCCTTGCTCTGGGCTTGGATTCCCTGGTTGCTGTTGAGTTGCGGAACTGGATCTTGAGACGGTTTGAGGCGACGTTGCAGTCGGCTGATGTGCTGGTAAACCAAACCCCGCGTGCACTTGCGGAGAAAGTTACCGCTCGATCAAGCCTGGTCAATGCTCTTGCTTAAATATATATACAACAGAATCAATGCTTTTAACCGAGGACATCAAAATGCCGTTTGAGTAGGTCGTCAATATGGAGATATAGGGGTCCGGGTATAAAGGTCAACCTTGGAATGGTGGTTTTATCTATTTTACTGAATCTGTGTGTTGGCGGTTCGAAGTTGTTCAACTGGGCTTTCGGTTCAAAATTCCGAAGCGGGTTAGCGTTTGGTCGAAAATTCCCAAAAGGGAAATGTTGGTCGGAAATGCAGGAGAAGACATGTGCATTTCGGACCACGTGGAACTCATCTCGTCGTTAGAGAAGAGATAGCCAAGGCCATGAAATAGCCATGGTAAATCTATTCTCCGAGGTCAGCTCCGATCAGGATCAGTTTAAGCCTCAGGGGCATGTGGGGACATTGAGGTGAACGGGCTGAAGGGACTGAAGCGTATGTTGTAGGGCAGCAAGACGACTTCCTGAACGAAGCAGGAGAAAAAACAAAAAAACATACAACAGTGAGGATTCGCTGGTGGTCACCCACCCAACTACTAACTCACCGGCGTGTGGCTTAAGTACGGCTGAGCGGACGGGAAGCCCTGTTTTCCACACCCTGTGGTCGTATGTACTAGTTTATTCATCGGAGAGAATTATAGAGTATAAGTCATTTAGAATCAATTGGTAGGATATAAGAATGACACTCCATCATACACTGACGTTGGAGATCACGTGACAGGCATGTGGGGCCGCATGTGATCCCGTTTGACAGGACTTCATAGTTGGGACCAACCTCTAGGTATGCGAGGGGGAGATAAAGTGACTGGGTGTTTTTAGACAACGCCTCTAGAGGAAAGGGAAGCGTACTTACTCTGGCCGTACTTGAATCATAACGAGATGTTTCGTCGGTGTTATCAATTAAACTCGAGGCAGCACTATATACAGGAAGTTATCTCCTGGAGAGATATTGCCAGTCTGCAGGCATCGGCATTGAACGATGATTATGAAAATAGGCTCAAAGTCCTTGCCATAACACTTGGCTTTTCCTTTTTCTTTTTTGTTTAACATCAATTTAACATTTTGCTGTGTCTTTTTTTTTTATGGAGATGCCGGTTAAACTATGCCACACTTAATAGCTTTGCGCGTTCTCTATTCTTCGAATCCATGAGTAGATGCATAGAATAACTTTGCAACAAAGGCGCCAAAGCTTAAGGCCGAGTGGCTGTCAATTTCGTTCGCCTCTTACTCTGAGGCCAAACTCCAATCATTTTTATCCTTAAGATCATTTCGTGGCCAGTCAGGATAAGGCTTACTATGTTTATATATAAAAATATAGGATAGGGAGTCACTCCGATTATTGTACTCCACACTCGCAATTATGACGATTGTTCTTTGAGTAGTACATGAAACCAACTAATTGTCTCGTAGAAGGCAAGAGTCATTAATGGTAAAGTTCACGTAAAATTCTGATACATTCTTCATGTAGAATTGGAATTATCCGCACAAGTCCAAGGCTGAGAGCCTCCGGCTTTAAGTGAGTCAATGATACTAACAACCGAGCCGTAAGTACCTGCCACTGTCATGAATGTTCCGATCACAATAATAAAGGTACTCCAGCATGCCATAAGCTTCCACTTCCAAGTTCGATGGGGAGATTTCCAGTTATCATAGAACCACATACAGCTGGTGGGTTGGTAGGCCAAGGAAGCACCTAGCAAAGCTCCGATTAAGGAGACGAGACTGTTGAAAAATGGAATGCCACTAGCGATCAGGTAGGCTATGATTGTAGAAGCGAAGGTGCAGCCAAGCCATGTACCCCAGTGGACCAAGCTATTGGCAGTCAGATGATGTGAGCCTCGCAAGATGCGAACGAAAGCATATTTGCTCGGGAGCTGGAATTTATTAGCTCCGATTCAGCTTACAAACTAGAGACCGCACTTACGTGCAGGACAATGGTAGTAGACGCAATGAGACCAGGCAAAGCGATCCCGTAAGAGATTTTCTTTATAATCGGACCAGCAGAGCCTAAAGCAGGCGAAGCTACCTCGGAACCGCAATAGTAGTATACCACGACTCCAATGACAAGGTATATAAGAGTTGAGCCAATCTGGCTAACAACGAGCGATCTAGTGAAAAGCCTCGGGTCTCGCATTTCGGCGGCGATGGAAAAGTAGGCGGGCGTGGCGGAGCATGCAAAAATCAGTGATGAGACAGCCGTAACTCCTTGTGGGAAGGTTGGAGAATTGAATATCTTGAAGTCTGAAGACCAAGGGCCCATTTGAGGCGCAGATGATGGTCGATCCTGGATGCCAACGCTGATGGTTACAATCAGAACTTAAAAGGTATTACTGTTAGCATTGAAATAGTTGACGGATCTTGAGCCACCAACCGGCAACCAGGATGCAAACCAATCCAACCCACGCAATCCAAGTGATCTTGCCAAGAGTCCGAATGCTGGCAAGTAAGAAACCTACAATCGCGGTAATAGCAACGAAAATAGCAGTGCACGCTCCATGTTTGGAGACAGCATTCAAGCTGATGGAAATACCCAGTATACCGGATCGCATTACTCACAAAGACAAAATGCAATCCCAAATACCTCCCTACCGACCTTACCAAACATCAAGCCGCCGGCCTCGTCTATGCCGTAAACCCCGCGATGCTTTATTTTGAAGACACCACCATATAGCTTGTCCACGTAGCAATACCTGCAACGACACAGCAGAATGACTCCGGGGGCCATCCCGACTTTATCGAAAACTGAAGGAATAGAAAGAACACCTAAACCGATCTGGGTCTCCATCATCAAGGCAACGGTTTCTAACCATCCAACCTGTCATTGTTAAGCGTGATCCTGAATGTGTAAATCTGAAGGAAGTTTACATTGCGATAGTTAGGTCCGCCTTCAGTCACCTCACCGAACACGGCATCATGGGTGATATTTTTTCCAGCCAGAATCTCGCCCATCTAAGAAGGCACATGAGTCATGGGTGGTGATGCCTCAATATCATCTGGAACCTTGTCCTGTTTTTCAGCCATGATATATAGATAATGGGAAAAGATCTTTTGCCAGAAGGCTAGAAGGAACGTAATGGAAGCAATCTGTATACCTGTATCACTCCTTTATACAAGAAATGAGACGCCCGGATGCACTAGTCTGGCTCCCGGCCTCACTGATAACGTTATCCAATGAAGATGGTTGATAACGGACATCCATGATGATTACCAGGCCCACTTGGTAGGGTCTTTCTCCCAACCGGACTTTCTGGGTGGCGTAGTTAAACGCCAAAAGACAAAGGTCATGTCGGAAAATTTCTCGCCGGAATCGAAGCGGTCGGGGTCTCGGAAACCTGCAATATGCCTAAAGATAGTTAGCATATTCTGTTTTGTAATAGGTGTATATCACATATCACATACATATCCCCGGTTGACTCGTCGTAGATAATCTTCTGCAGAAGAGGGAGCCCTGGCTGCCATCCATGACGCTTCAACTCTCTTAGGTTTGTCAGTTTCACTCTTAACACGCTAAAAGGGGATTCTGTAAACATACTCCCAGATATCGCGGAACTTCGTGCGGACAGCCTCGCGTAACCGCGCCGATTCAGGCCTCCAGAACTGATCCGTATCAAGTGGCTTCCCGCTGACCATTTCCCACACAATATGTGTTATGTAGCCGTCTGGAACCACGCCGTCCTTGCCTTGCTTTCCTTCTTTGTAGGCGAGGAGAGCTGGGACCACAGTACAGTGTTGTTTACTGAGATCCTTCAAAGCTTGTAGCTCCAAATGCTCACGGGGTGGAGCTGCCTGTTGTTGTCGAAGCCGGGGGAGCTGGGACTCTGTTCCGGGGTTGGGAATCTGAAAGTAAATTCTCATGAATGCCTTCTTGCTACTGTCTGTCGCACTGTAGCAGAGGTACTTGAACACGGCGAAGGAAGGTCCACCACCCAGCTCAAGTTCACAGTCGGTCATTCTTTGGAAATCCTCGGTGAGCTTCTCCTCGAGAACCCACTTCTGAGGCGAGTGAAAGTCACTTGTGTGCCTAAGCAAAGATCTGAATATCCCATGATAGACATGTTGGTGTGGAGATTGATGACAAGAGTGCAAAAAGAAAGAGGAAAAACTGATCAGAGATTAAAGTTTATGAGTAGAGTGAATAAAATGAAAATGAGAAGGTGAAGGAGTAACAATGACTTTATTGATTTCTCAGCCTCGTGGATCAGGCACCGAAAATTTCATTCATTCCAACCTTGGAGGTTTGTGTCAATATCATATTGTTGTTTGATCATCCCATTGATACCTGATTGTGCAGACTTGTTTGCTTACAGACTGAGTGCTTTGTTTGTCAGATTCAGGATATCAATGGCCTGCTCTTCATATATTGAGGGGATTGTTAGTTCGTTATAACAGTTATACCTCTTCCGGGGCTTGCACGACCACATCCTTACAACCTTATGTACCCGGTAGCGCTGGTAGGTTATTATCCCTCATTAACCCAAAGAGCACTTAAGAGCCTCCTTACTAAACTAGAAGATACTGAGCTCTTTAGGAAAATGTTGCCGATCGGACTTCCAACAGCAGTTACGTCGTTTAAGTTGCCAATAGTTCCTGTTCAGCTTAGCTCGGTCTTAGCTTCCTCGGATTATATTTTTGACACATCCCCGTAAGGGTGGTTGCAGCCATCCGTGCCCAAGGTAATGTTGTTGCCACTGTCGGTAAAGATCTTGACCGATTCCGTGCCGCTATCCAGAGTCTGGCATCTTTCGAAGCCTCCAACCTCTTTTCCCGCGCCTGAACAATGGGGTGTAGTATAATAAGTGACGGACCACAGAGCAGACGCTGGCATGGCCAGTCCAAGGGCGAAAGGGGTTTTGAGATGCATGATTCCGATGTTTAGGTGAAATATAGAATATGAAAATACCGATTTAGGAGTCACGATACTTGAGAAAACCCATTTTATAACTCCTTCCAAGTCAGAAGTGCTTACAGTATTTACTCAAAAGAACAGCGAAATTAGTCACTATGGTGAAGGGTCACTCCATTGCTTTGTCAGACACTCGAGAATCTGTTTCCACAATTTTGCTACACGCTAGAGATTATGTGTCCAGCTCGCTCCTCCGAAATTCAACACATTGAATAAGAAAGAAGTCAATGGTACATACTGGCGGACCTGTGAATTACTATATGCGGTCAATTCTGCCTTTTGAGGGTTAGCGCCTCAATACAACGTTCTGTAAGCTCCCCTCCTGGCTGCCTGGACATAAAAAGACCGACGTCGGCTTTCCCACCTTTTTCCTTTTCTTTTTCCTCCTTGTCCCATCTATCTTGCACTCATCGTCGCACCCTTTCTTTCCTATTCCCACCGCCGACCACTACGCCTTGACTTTCAGCCCGACGCACTGCCCCTTTCATTTTACCGGAGATGCCGCTCAATCCGACGCCCAGCTGGCAACGACTGTCCCACAGGAGCATAATCGCTAGACTACAGCCGGTAGTGGTATCATGTATCCTTTCATTTCGATTATCTCACTACTTCCTTGGGAAGGTGATTGTGCACCATACTACAAAGCTATCTAGGTCTCCCTCTGTCAGTGTGCCTTCATCCTGATTCCGGTGGCCTCCTTCACATCGGCAAAGTGCTGCTATACCCTCGATGCCGTATAACCCTCTCTGTCCGCCCCATTTGAGGTTGCATTATACAGCCCCGTTGCGGAAAATTGGTGTCCGGTTGCCTGGCTACGAATAGTGTGGAGCATAGTCGCCGTCACCATCGGTCTCTCACGTTTCTATCCACCAGTCGATGAATATTCGAAAGCATAGCCCGGCGATGTGGGTCAATAGCCAAAATGCCGCGCGCCCCCTATCTATGCTGCATCTTATGGCCGTTGCCAGACTCCGACTTCGGAATTCATCAAGCCACGGTTACCGACCGAGCGACGATCGGGCTAAAAATTGTCTCATGGCTAGTGTGTACGTACATTGCAGTGATTATCAGCTAATAGCGCTGGATTGTGATCGTTGTTCGTAAATGATAGCGCTTTGGGTCATGTAACTGGCGTGATCTTGTGTCCTTTGAATGTGATGGCCGGCATTGCCGGGACTGGTCGGGATCATTGGCAGAGATAGATACCCATGAATTATGACGATATGGCGCAGCCTTGCAGCTGGATAATGATTTCGTGAGCCGAGCCCCAAAGAATCATATAACCAGACACCATGTCACCCAATGGGCCAATGGCAACGCAGGCTCAGCCTCAACGCGAGGCCTGACGACATCCGCAGACAATGTCCGTAGGTTCGTTTCAATGATTCCGAGCAAGGTTTTCCAGGATCGAGGTGGTTCCTACGCTGCCAAACTTGACTCATGGAAGGAAATGACCACTTCAATGGTTTTTTCTAGCATGCACGTGTTGGCACAGAATAAAAAAATTTCATATACTGCATCATGTCTACATTCAATGAGCTAACTTATCCACCGAGTGCAGCTGCCACGTGTCGCTTGTGGAATCATCTTTCAAAAGCATTGCGCGTATTTTCTTTGAAAGGCTTCCCACCTGCACCGGATCCCCTAGTAGACGCATATCTTGCTGAATGTTTTGATCCATCTCTGGCAGGTACAATAAAGGGAGACTCGACGACTTCCATAAATCTAGCCTTCTTTGTTTGCTTTGCAAGACGACCATAACAAGGAAAGTGATTGTCAATAGAACTAAAAATGCGGGCAGTGTTATCCAGACCCATCGAATATGGATTTGGGTCTCCATGACCCAGGATTTGCCGAGGGCATGTTCTGTTGAAGACCTCGTGCCTCCTGCCATTTTTGCGCTTTCGACTGACGGTTGTACCGTCCGCACATGGGCGGTCAATCCATCGGCAATCCTCGCAAATAGATCAGGCGTTTTGAAGCTTATAAAGGGTTGGGTAAACTCAGTAGTGGATGGACCGCTTTCGATGGAAACCAAAGTTTCAGAGTTCCCCCAATCCTGAATACAAGACAAATCAAATCCAGTCCTGAACTCAAACTTATCTGCTAGCCATCTTTGGAGACCTCCTTTTCCTTCATCATGGACGGTGAAATTGGCTGCTGGTAAATTTGTTTTGGCTGGAAGTCGAAATGTAACTGGATATGTAGCCTCAGCTTCATAATATGTATCTAACACTGTCTCGTATGCCTGACCGCCTTTCACCCCACCTGAATAGGTTTTGACACACCAATATAACGAGCAATGGGAAGCAGTGGCGTCTGAAAGGTTTGCAACCCCAGCGACACGAATTGTGGTAAGGTTCAGGACCGCATTTAGCCAAAAGCTTCTCGATCTAGGAGGCAGGTACTCATCACGGTAACCCTCAATATTGGCGCCGGTTGAAACAGACCCAGAGTTCGTGGAAAAAAACGGTATATTCGTATAACTGAGATTAAGCCCAGTGGGTAAAGAATGATTGAATACACTGTAGTCTGTGTAGCAGGGTACCGGGTTGGAGCTGGAAGACAGTAGATGTGAGACATCGCTGCAATGGGAGCAAAGAGCAAGTGATCGAAAAGGAGGGATGTCGCAGTCGCCTGTTGGACAATCAGGCTTGACTCTTGCGGAAGTGTTTGACTGGCCAAGCGCGGCATTGTAGATAGCGATCGACTCTTCATTAATCTCCCAACCCATTGCTTCTTGATTTGAAGTTCTTTGGGCCATGACTTGATATGACCCTGCTCGGGGCATAGACGCAGGAATGCTAGATGGTACAAGTTGGTTTCTGACAGTGGCCATCTGCTGTACGAAAGGCCCCACACCGATAGACAAGATCGTGATAATGGCGCCAACTGCAGCAGAACGTCTGTAGCGATAGTGAGTTGGGGTACTTAGACTTGAGATCAGGCAAAATAGAAATAGAAAACATACTTCATTCTCGATATCCATATAAACGCCGCACAGCCAAGCGGTCCTCGGCTGGCCCAGTCGTATGTGTCCATCTCCGCAAGTGGCCTGTAACCAGTGCTGAAATGAATCCACTTAGATTGACTCAGGCATGGTGCAGCTGCTCCGACGATGCACGAAGTTAAAATTTGCGTGATCCATGACAGAACCGAGTTAATGGTTATGCCGTACGGCCATTCAGGAAGGGATTTTCCATCGTAGAGCCGAAGCAATACAATGACAGCCATCAAAGCAATTAAGCTTCCAGTGCAAAAAGGGCTTCCCAAACCCAGTAATCGTTGACTTTGCTGGACCATGACCAGGACCGCTTGCACTGTTGCTGATCTGTTCCTTCGCCAAGAGACGGAGCTTTGGAGTTTTTCTGATCGTCGACGTACGTACTCTGTTCGGGTTCCAATAATGCCATTTCCATAGGTTGTTCCATGGTTCCCAATGGTTATTTAGGAATAGGCCGTGGAGGTCAAGAATAAATAAGATCCTATCTGTAAGCCTGGAAGGGTCATCCTTAGTGAGGCTGAGTTCTATTACCCCTGTGGCAACCCACTTGCTACGCCCCAGCCCCTACTGTTTTTCGGCTCACGAGACCACCTGCAGGACCTCGGCTAGATACTATGGCGTTCTGCCTCCTCTTCCTCCTCCTCCTCCTCCTCCTCCTCCTCCTCCTCCTCCTCCTCTACTCCTCCTTCCACTGTTCGTCCTTTTTAGAATACAGCAGTTTTCGAAAACAGTTTACCCCTCAGACACTCACACTTTGTTGTCGGCCCGTACCCGAAACAGGCTGAAACTTTATTAGGACAAGTGGTAAGATATTGTCCACTTACAGATCATTTTAATTTGCCGACTAAGCGGATTTGGCCTAGCGTTATCTCGGGAACGGACTGAGAAACAAGTATACATGCCTGAGGGGTAAATTGTTTTCGAAAGTTGCTGTTCAGCATCGCGCACTAGGCAAGGTGCTGGAATCAGTCATCGCAGAAAGAATCTCATACGCAGTGGAAACCTACTGCCTACTTCCGACCAGCCACTTTGGGGCTCGTAAGCAGCGGTCCGCGGAGCAAGCAGTCTTACTTTTGCAAGAGCAAATTTCGTCATGGGCAGGTAGACAATCCAGTGGACATGACCTGTCTAGAATATTTTTGCGAATGTCTAGGTCACTAGAGCTCCTTTGTTCCTAGGAGCAAGTGGCGGCAGCAAGAGCGATAGTCCGTTAGGAATCAAGAGAAAAAGAAAAATCAGAATAAAACACTAAATTGGATTTACAAACCATTTGACTGGACTTTTCTGAGATATTCCTCAATATTGTAGAACCAAAAATAGAGGGTTGGATATTTCCCGCAACTATGTAGAGATGGCATCGTGAATGCGGGACTTGACGAGCTGAATAGTGGCATAGCCGCAGAATAGTAATGCCAATAAATGTGGCCACACTGTGCATTTGCCTCCCAACTAGAGGCGAAACAACCAGGATCGACCGCCACATTGATAACGCCAGCCTTTCGTTGAGAGGACAACGGTCAAGAGTGCTGGGTGAACGACTGCATTGGGATGTGGCTAGCGTGGTGCATTTTATTAAGGTGAGCTGCTGACTTAGCTGCTCCAACTTTGCTTAGGTGTGAGCAACCTTGGAAGCCCTTGAGCTTATATAATAATCAGGTCGTGCTCACTGAGCAAGTCGGAGTACTCAGGTCACGCTCAGTGAGCGAGTTCATCGGGCTTATGTAATGATAACCCGATGCTCAGTGAGCAACCTTGGAAGTTTATTGATTATATAATACCCAGGGGCGTGCTCAGTTTTACTCAGTGAGCAAAAAGCGGCTAGGGGTGAGCACTAAAGCGGAAAGGGAAAGCCATGTCGCGCGGCCTAAAATCCGATGTATATGTATCACATGAGCATCCACACAAACGAAGATTCATTTTCTTTCGCATCTATTTTGAGGCAGTCAGAGTATATCGACACTATTCAATCCAAGCATGAAGGATCGTTTCACTCAACCGTAGCCCACCCAGAGAACCATAATATGAAGACTTGCCGTAGCCTGTAATCAAAGAGTTAGGTGTTAACAAGAAAGTGCTTTGGGTTTCGTAATCCTTTATGTTTGCGAAGGGGAATAACAGCCAATGTTCAGGGCACTCAGGTGAATAGGGCATTCAGGTGAATGGACTGAAGAGTAGGGCGGCAAGAGGGAATTTCCGAACAAGTAAAAAAAAAACCGGGTGAACAAAAAACATACAACAGTGAGGATTCGCTGGTGGTCACCCACCCAACTACTAACTCACCGGCGTGTGGCTTAAGTACGGCTGAGCGGACGGGAAGCCCTGTTTTCCACACCCTATGGTCGTATGTGTCAGGCTATGTGTGGAAAAGGAATATAGGATGCAGATAGGGACTACTTTTAGCCCGCCTATATATGTCTCCATTATATTAATCGGTTTTTCTTTTTGGAAAGCTCGGTGATTCTAGCGTCGAAATGTATGATATTAACGATAGGTGCCTCAAGCACGCATATATGTAGTAGTGTAAGGAGGGAGGGACTATCCATGTAGATGGATGCCTCTCTCTCTCTCTCTCTCTTTCAGTATCTTACTTGAGCTATGCCAGAGCATGTTATGACACTAGTGCCACTGCAAGATTGTGAAGCATATCCTGTGATAGTGATAGCGTTGGCGGCAGATATGACTGCAACGAGAATATATAACCCCTGTCTCAGCATCATCTTGTAGTATGTATGCAAATATTTCGGATGTAGGGAATTTTGCGAATCCGATATTTAACTATCGGTCAAGGTTGACGTGGACTTGCTCAAACACTGGACGTCTGGAGAGTTTATATACCTCTCCAGGGCTGTTCTAAAGTCATCAAGCTAAATTTGATATACTACTCGCACTCGGGCAAAGCCCGAGCTATCAAAGGATCATTTTAAACTGGAATTTATCCCTGGATGTGCATTATTAGTCTCGGGCACTCCTCCTATCGCTAACAAAAATTCTAGTCAACTTGTTGCGGATTCCCTCGAGGCGGTCTACAAGTAGACTCGGCCTATTTCAACCTTCTCTATGCCGGTACTATCGGTGTTTTCTACCAGTCTACGGCAAACCAGGTATGCAACGGTCCTTCTAGAGATATAGAATCAGGACCTCGTTGGTCAGCTTGCCTTAAAGGAGGGTAGGTCTCACGATATTTTGGCGGAGGAGCTGCTTGGCTTGACTGCCTACATTGTGTTCTAGGTATGTGAACCTAGACGTCTATTATCACCTACGATAGAAACCGGATGACCTTAGCTAATAGAATATCTTATAGCGAAACGGGACTTATTAGAGGGCCTTACTGCTAGTACTTATAATAGTACAAATATCCCTACTATGCTTGCCTAGGAAGGAGAGGGGGCGTAGGTTCTAGACCCTCTAGAGGGCTAAGATTGGGACCGGTATAATAAGTTGCCGGTTACTATAGACGTAAGTATTTTTCTTTTCTTTTCTTTTCTTTTCTTTTTTACGGCCGAGATTCCCCTTATATACGGATTTCCGCTCTTTAACTTTCTAACCTTTTTAAGCTTAATATCTACCGCGAGAACCTTAAATCGTTCGGTATAATTTAGTATAAGAATACTCGGGATTATCCTATAGCTACTAAGACGCTAGTCGAAGAATAGTCGGACTAAGGGTAGCTTAAGATCTTACTATATATAAGGTTATAATAGGGGTAAAGGTCCTAGCGGAGGAATATCTAAAAGCTAAATAGGCTAATTTAATAATAAGCCTTACTAATATTATTTATTCGAATATAGGGAGTTATATATTAGTTATAGTATAATTATAACTACTACTATTTAGGAGGGGTACTTACTCTATTTATATCGTATTTAATATTAAAGGCTATAAAATTATAGCGGTCTTCGTTATATATATCTAATTATACTTAAATATCTATTACGATTTCGACTGTAAGAACTACTTAAGTAAGATATTATCCGGCGTAATATCTATAATTAAGATAATCCTTATATATACTAGTAGTAATATATTAGATTATATTTACGAATACGTATTTAGGTCGATAAGAAGTAGAGGATAGGAAAATAATTCGAAGTACCGTAAATCTAGAATATATAACCCTAGCCTATCTTAACTATTACTATTTATCTCGAGGAAGTACCGACGGACTTCTAGGGTAAACACAGTGGAGTTTTGCTCTTGAATAGAAGATGATTCATCAACCTTAAACTTGCCATCACAGTCAAGGTAGATCATAGCAAAGTGAACATAAGGAGGGAACGATGAGCGGGTCATCATTGGCTTAATCGAATGTTAGTAAAAAGGAATCCCCGGCCGAGGGATACCCAACACATACACACGCACGCGAATCAAAATCACAATCAATCGATCTCAGCGAATTTGCTTCGTTTCTGCAGCGCTGGCCCAAGGAAATACAACATGAACATGCCCGCCACGCAGCCTACTGTAAGGCCTGCCAACAAAGTCGTCCCCCCAGCCACACCCAGACTATCATACAAGGGCCCAGACCACATAATGGCTGCAAAGGCAAGATATGCACGACACAAATCATTCATTGCAAACAAACTCGCACTATAGCGCGTATAAGCGACGGCAATATAACTAAATATGCACTGAAGGACCAGCGCCATGCCCGCTACCTCTATGAACAGACCTATAGTCGGCACTATCCAATGGATCGATTGTCGCGAAGTCCACGCAAACATAAATAGTCCAACAGGCACTATGAAACTCCCAAGAAGTGCAGGAATGAGCCGCTTTTCGGGTCGAGGGGATATTCCCCGGCGAAAGTCCGCGTTCAGGCAGTAGTGAATGAACAGATAGTAGAAGGGGAGAACCAAGATGGGGGCCACAACCGAAGCCAGGAAGATCAGGCCAAGCTCCCCGAGATTCATCTTGTAGACGTCAATGTACACAATCGGAAGAACTTCGAAGTAAGAGTAGAAAATAGCATAAACTAGCCCGATGTATACCGTGGAAAAGAGGATGGCGGGGTCCTGCGCATGAATCTTCCAGGGAATGATCAGAGCATCGTACATGACCTGAATAGGGGAGACGTTCTTGACCTTGATCTCTGACTGAGATTGGAAGGATGGGTTGCCTGTCAGTTCTCTGAGGTGTTTTGCACGCAGGTGCAGGATGGCTGGACCGGAGGTTTCGGGCAAGAAGATAAGAAACACAAAACAGCAAGCCGCGGCCCAAAGGACCTCCCACATGGACCAGTGCCAGCCCTTCACGGGAACACTGAACCCAGAGATTACCGGGGCTATAGCTGGTCCTGCGATGGAGCACAAGCCCCAAATGTATAGCCCATAAGGCAATTGCACTAGCCCGGTTACATCAGCGATAGAGGCCCCTCCAGTGGCCAGCCCCGGGGAACCAAAGAAGCCCTGGAGAAACCGGAGGACCAAAAACCCCGGTACATTGTTGACAAGCGCAGTGGGAACGCTGAGGATAAGAAATATCGTGATGGAGACCACATAGGGAGGGTTGCGACCGATGGACGGAATCTCTGACAGGGGACTCCAGATCATAGGACCTGTGCCATACCCCAACACATACGTCGACATGCCCAGTACGCCCACGGATCGCGACACGCCAAACACGGTCATGAACTCCCCCTCTGCAGCTGCAAAGATAGCGACTGACATGTAGACTACGAAGGTGAAGAGATTCACTTCGATGTATACCAGTAACTTTGCGGCAAACGACCAATTATGCGGATTGTCCAGGTCTTGGTCGGAGTACCAATCGACCTGAATCGCCCCGTCGGACGTGATAGTTGGCTCGATCCATGGAGACCGCTGCGATTCTTGTTGCTCCAGTTCTGGCTGATTGGACGGAGAAGGTGCCTGGGAGCCTTTTCTCACCATCAGTTTTGTTGTCTCTTACCAGAAGTTGAGACACATTAACCTACTATCAGCAAATATGGAGTTCTCCTGGGCGTATATCTCCTTTTTACTCCCGGGGGAGTCAGAATAATGGAGTGGGGTTTTGCTGCCACCTGCAGCGTCTTTGTACGGTGGTGGAAGCTCGAAGCCTTGTCTTTTTTCGGTGGGTTGGAATAAGCGTCCTCCCGAGAGCCAGCGGCCGATCAGGCCAATTGGCGAATTGGTCAGGATGTGAGCCATCACGCTTCATGAAGGCAGGGAGGGAGGAAGGAAGAGGGTGAGTAGGTAGTCGGATTCATTCTAATCTTTTTACTCTTTTTTTAAAAAATATTTTCTTACTTTTCTTGAACAAGGAAGCAAGAGACAGATGCTGACATTCCATTCCTGGGCAATACCCGAACCCTTACAGCTATAGAGTAGACATTGGAAAGATGCTACCGTGGTTGAAGGAGAACCTGCATTGCCCTCATGATCCAGTTCCACATATGTAACCCCAATGGTAAGGAAGTTTGATTATGATGCATTCTATGTGCAGTCATGAAATTCTATGTGCATGACTCATAACTAGAGAACGGTGAAAACAGTGAATCATGATAGACCATAGCAATCAAAAGATAGGAAGAAAAAGAAGAAAAAAAGAAAAAAAAAGAAGAAAAAAAAAAAAGAAAAGATTCTAGTTCAAGGACGCGAACCAGAATAATGCAAAATCTAATCTCTGTGTAAATAACCGTAAATATATAGCAATATGCAAGGTTGTATTCTTGGAAGGTTGCGCAAGTGAAATATGGTGCGTACCTTTGTACAACATACAGAGCATTCCGAGGTTCCAGGGCTGATCATCCTGCTGATAAATATGCCCCGGCCCGCCAGTATCCACATATTTTGAACTAAAACGTCGATCATTGCTTCATATGTCTAGATCCCACTTACCCCCTTACCCCCTTACCCCCTCACCACCTTCACCTTCATCGTCGTCACCGTCACCGTTACTAGGACATATGTAGGTATGCAATCAGATTTCAGTCTGTTACTTGGTTTGGTTTCGTAATGTAGATCTCCACTAGCCGTCAGCAGGTTTCTATTGAGTTGTAGCGCAAACGGAAGTAGTTTCTTGGGGTTGCCAGTGGTGATGACCACACTGCGCTTACTGAGAGGGGGGCCTTCCCGCCTGTGACTCCCTCAAGTGAATCAGTTGTTCGCACCTGCAGGTACCATTATCTCCCACTCGTTCCAAACTCGACTTTTCTTCCAACCTATCCTATCCTATGTACAGGAAAATCTTTCAATGTATGAACATATTGCCACCTGACTGTAGAATGTAGATGGGCTCTCTCTGATTCATGCTAGAATTCATTCATGTATAAGGCCCCAGCAGCAGGTTACTAGTCATTGCAAAATTCTATAACGTATTCGGCAAGCGAGTGGCCACCCCAAAAACACATAGTAAATGCGATAAATTACAACTTGATCTCTCAACAATAGTTGTCTATAAGGGGTTTACTTATAAGTTATTATCTTTAAGGTGACATCTAACCTCTTAAGGGAGTTTATTGAAATATAAGACGTCGTGATTGCAAGATATATATTCTGGATTCTTAGCAACTTAATTTGCAATACCGCGATACTATAGCATTTTAATCTCTTTAATATTGGTATATACAGAATGTAGAATCCTGATCACCTGCTATCGACAAAGAAAGGGACCTGAGATGAATCTTGTTGTCGAGATATAAAGTTACAAAATATCACATTTACTATGACGTTTTTGGGGTGGCCACTCGCTTGCCGAATACGTTACGCACTATCCTTCTTGACTGCCTAAGTAAGCAATACTTTATTTTTAACAGGTGGCTAAGCATTTTCCAATATAAATATATCGACAAGATAGAAGTATCTAAGAGGTCCTCATTACATATGATACCACGAATTTAAGACCACCAGCATCGATAAGGGGAGGTAGAGACCGACTTGCCTTCTCGATCTCTCAGCTTACGTGAGACGTAAGCTGTACCCTCACCTCTCTGTTATTCACAGCTCGGAATGCTGCGGTTTGCGGGCGTGCTTGATATCGCCGGCGATCTTTTCAGCGACCATGTCTGAAGCACACCAGTCAGTTAAATATCCTGCTTGCATGACAAGACTCCAAAGAGGATGACTTACAGACAACGCCCAGAGGAAGACCAGGAGGCAAGAAAGGGAAGATTGATGCATCTGCAATCCGCACTATTCGTCCCTTAGTTAGCAAGCTCTCCTAAGTCCAGCGGAAAGGTGAAGTAAACAGAAAGCAGACAAAGAGAAGTGCAAATGAGAAGGAAGAACCGAGGAAGAAAAGAACGTACAGTGATTAAGACCTAAAACGCGACCCTTGGAATCTACCACTGCGTTCTTGTCCCCCTCTTTTCCCATTCGACAGGTAGACGCCGGGTGGGACATGGAGGCAAAATTTTGCTTCAGGTAATGATGAATCTCATCATAAGTCTTCACGTCGGATCCTGGTGTGACCTCGGACCCGACGATAATGTTTTGTTGAAGGACGGGCATTTGCAAGATTTGTCGGACACGTCGGAATGCTGCAACAGCAATTTCAACGTCGGTGCTGGAGGTGAGCCATCGCGGGTTAATCACTGGGCTATCTTTCATTGAGGTTGAATTGATACTGATAGTTCCCCGAGACATGGGGGTCATGAGAGTGCAAAATAGCATTGCATAGTTGTATCCATCGGTCGGGAAGCCCATGTCGACAGGGAAAGAGATGAAGAATGCCTCCGGCCAGTCCTTGGGGAAGCTGGCGAGATCTGTTGACGAGCAGTTAATAAGGATATTATCTATCGGGTATGCTTAAAGGAAAATGGGCTGACCTGATTTGGTGCTTGCAGAGAAGTTGCGCAGGTCCAGCGGAATGTCGGCGAAACCGCCGAAGTCTGGCCCTGGGCTGGAAAGGAGTCCATCTTGTTGCCCTTGAAACTCTTTCACGGCCTCGTCATATTGGTCCTTGTATTTCAGGGCCGAGTTGGTCTGCACATCGACCTTGTGGCCGATTCCAAAGCTGATGTGATCTTCCATGTTTTGCCCTACACTCGGCGCATCGAGGACGACGGGAATTTTGTGCTTCTTGAGAAGATTTGCGTCGCCGACGCCCGAGACTTGGAGCAGCTGTGGGGTCATCAATCCACCTGCTGTGATTATCACCTCACGCGCAGCAGACAAGAAAAAAGTAGTCTCCCCCGGGATACTTGCACACCGGTCGCGGTTTTGTCACTAAACGAGACCTTTTCTGCCAAAGTACCATTATACAAGAATAGGTTCTCACGTTGGCCCAAGATGGGCTGCAGAAAGGTCTTTGACGATGACGCCCGCTTACCATCAGTATGATTGATTGTGTCCAAGACCCAGCTGCTCCCAAACATATCCCCAGACATGAAACCTCCGACGGGTAACATACCCGCTTGGTCAAATGCCTTCTTGATCCAGGTGCTGAAAGGCTGACCGTAGTTAGGATATGTGACGTCCAGGGGCCCCCCATGTCCAATATGGCTGGTATCCAGTTCCGGAGTTGCGTTAAGTCGTCGCTTGCTGGAGTCAATGCCTGTGAAGTTTAGGCTCTTCTGGAAGTATTTGGCTACATTTGAATAAGTCCAGGAATCATCGCCAACCTCGTATGCCCACTTCTGCAATGCCCCCGTGCTGGTGGCCATATAGGCCATCAGGTTAAAGGCAGAGTTGCCGCCCAGCTGTGAAGGTCCGTTAGTATCCATTACACTCGTCTCTCGTTCCAATTCCTTGTCAACGTACGGTCTTTGCATTTGTGAAATGTTTCACGCGGCCATCGGCGCCTTCCTGTGGAACGGTATCGAATCCCCAGTCCAGGGAAGGGGGGATATTTCCCTTCAAGAAGTCTGCGGCGTATCCTGGAACTTCACTGTGGTTGCCAGTCTGCTCATAAAATGAACCGGCCTCGACAATTGCCACAGTGACTGAAGGATCTTCGGACAGGCGCGCGGCCACAGTGAGACCCGATGCACCACCGCCCACGACGACATAATCCACAAGTTTGTCATCTGCAATAGGATATCTCGTGGGATCTCCCAGGACATTTTCGCCCAAGGGAACCTGGTACCATGGACCGTTTGGGTAGCCGCGGACAGCAGATGAAAATGCCCATAAAGACAAGAAAGCCTTAGTCAACACAGTTGGAGCCATGTCTGATGTTGTTTGCTTTATTACTCTTGATGAAGCTCACCTGCCAGATGCCCGGGTTGTAACTCCCTCTGGTTATATGACTACTTTAGTGTTATACATGAGAAACTTTGATTCAATTCCAGATCATGAGATAGTAGCCATCATCTATTATATCACGACTACGCCTCTGAATTCGGATCATGACGACTTCCTTTGGATTTCAAGGTGGCACCCTGAAGCCCCATCTTTCAAACCTTATTGATGATTTTGACGTAGTAGAAACTAGCTACCTTAACCAGGGTGGGTAAATAGCAGTCTAAACTCGCTTCAAAAAGATTCTCTATCCGGCGACCATCGCACTTTTTATCTCACTTACTTTCCATTCAGACTCTTTCCAAGGTCCTCTGCTTTCGACAACATCGGCATGAATGCGACCTTCCAAGGTTTCCGCACATGATTCTCTAAATGTCGCAGTTCATAGTGTATGAAGTGATCATTTCCCAGATTAGCTTAGACATGCCTCGAAACAAGAAATCTATGGGGTCGGTGTTGAGACTTCATTTGCAAAAAAAAAGTCCGCTTTAGGTATGCTCTACCAGCTAAGATGGCCACAAAAATAATTCGAGATCTGATCGAGCATAGAATAAAGTGTAACTAGAGAATCCATGGTCAATACCTACAGCAATCAAAAGGTGGGTCATCATGGCTGACTAGTAGATCCACACCGCCCCGTTGTATCAGATGTGGATAAAATGTCTGCAATTATGTCTCAACTTAATCCACTGGAACACATTCTTGGACAAAAAAAACTTGGAAAATATGGTGAGCGAACATGATTCTTGCAATTTGAAGCTAATTATGTCTGTAAATGCCCAGACGAGAAGGAACCTTGGAGGATTGTAAACCCTGGAATGGGACCCTCACCGTTCCCATCCCTTACGGCAATACCCAGGTCTACACCACTATCTCGGGATTTTCCGCTTCAGACCATTTTTTAAGTTGCCAAGATTCGCGTACCGTTCCGAAACTCTGAAACCTAAATTCTTCCTCATTACATACAGGAAGGGTCTGTTATAAGCGCCTCGCAATCAATTCGGTAGTAGATTTAACCACTTCCTGAATACATTGTGCGGGTCATATTCCTGCTTCAGCATTTGCAATCTCGGCAAGTTCTCGCCGTAGACCTCCCCTGCCCGGCCGTCATGCGAGTAATTTGCGTACGCCCGGGCATGGGCACCCGCACCAGCACTCTCACCGACCTTCCGCATCATGCCGCGCTGGATGATACGCATGGTCTGATCAAGTGCCGGGTTATCCCACCGGAAGACACACCCGACATTATAGTAGGGCCCCCCGAGTAGCGAAGGCCGTGGCATTCTTGGGGACGCGCAGAACCTGTTTCTGGGAGACGAGCTCGAATAAAACCGCCGTCCGAGCTGATTCTGGGTATGTTCTGAGCATGTCGGTATAGTCGGCCCATAGTTCCTGGAAGAAGGACACCTCGAGCGGGAGTTTGACGAAGGCTCCGCTGAAGGATTTACGACCACCGTACGTGGCGAGAGGGTTTTGGATCGAGTTTAGCTCACAGTAAGGCATCATACCACAGCTGTTTGAGATAGATTCAATGGAGAGGATGGGTGCGAAGTATCTCTCTGCTCTGGAGCGAGGGCCGTTGTAGAAGATCGCTGCGACAATGCTGGTACCGCAGAAACCGAAAAAGATGCCTTGATCTCCTGTATTACTAGGCTCTTCGAATCCATTGACAAAGTCAATGATCTGGGGGAGGCGGTCGGGGTTCCAGCTCAACATGCCTGCGTATACCTCGTTGGCTTGATCGTAGCCCTGGAAGACGAACTCGGTGACGACTCCGAAGTTCTGGCCCGCACCGCGGAGCGCCCAGAATAGGTCCGGATTAGTTTGTTCAGAGGCTTCCAGGATGCTGCCATTGGCGAGGACTACGGTAGTTGCGAGGAGATTGTCGATCGTGAGACCATATTTTCCTGTGAGCCATCCATACCCCCCGCCGAGCGTCAACCCGCCCACCCCTGTGTGATTCACGGTGCCTCCAACGGTCGCTAATCCATGAATTGCCGCCGCCTTGTCGACATCTTCCCAGATGGTGCCACCCTGTGCCGTAATTGTCTTTCGAGCGGGATCGACCACCACATGCCGCATACGTACAAGACTAATCACGATTCCGCCCTCCGTCGCAGAAGAGCCGCTGGTTGAGTGACCCCCGTTGTGCACCACCAGGGGAATTTGACGATTGCTTGCAAACCTAACTGACAGGGATACTTCCTCTGTAGTCGTCGGTAAGATCACGGCGGCCTGTTGCTGATTAGCCAGGGTTTTGTCTTTCAATAGGTAGTTTCCTTACAGCCTTTTTTTCACACGTGTCACTCCAGCGTCTGATACTCTCCAAATATCCGTCAGACTCGGGCGTCAAAATGACGGCATTAGTGCCTTCAAGGTGTTTGCGCAGTTCTTCCATTGTGCTGATTAAATCTAAGGGACCATAGACGAAGGTATGATGTATCCGCGCTTTGTATGGTTGATGGGATGCGCAGACAATGGGCCTAATAAATGTGCAAGGAGCCAGGCCGCGTAATTGTGCCGGCCGATATGCAAAATCTTCTGCCAGAGAATATGTGCCAAAGGCTCTCTGTTCTTCGCCCCTTCTTCCATCGTGCCGTATTCCGCATGGGGTTTACAGTTCATTGTAACCCAATGCAAGCCCCTCGGGAGAGCATAATCAAGGTGTCACTCATCATACCTCTTTTTAAAATTGCTGTCATGCGAGTCTTCTGACCGCCACAAACACCAAAAATAAAAATAAAGATAAAAAGGGATACGAATTCATCGGTTGGCAGGGTAAGTTCCCAACAAATCGCGCATCTCATCTAATACATATCACTGGCCCCAATGTGGGAATGGAGTCAGAATTCCATCGCAATGAAAGGAATGTCTCCACTCAAAGTGACCGGCTATGCGTATGTCACCTAGGATATTTGCCCCAAGAGTAGATTGCTCTAAAAGAAAACGAATAGAAATTGAACGAGATAAAATATCGAGTAGCTACTTATCTCTAGAGGTCCAGGCTACAAGGCAGATGTCTAGTCTTGTCTTCTACGTTATCGGCTAGTTTAGAAGAGGCTTATGAGATCTTCCCTAGCCCTAAAGCCTACATCGTCACTTCTATAGAACATTACTGTAGTCTATAAGCTTTGTAAGACAGACGAAGGGTTTCCAATTCAGTGCAAATATCATTATCATCAACTCCTCCAGGCAGCATAGGAGCTCATTTACTGAGGTAATGGTTCAGCCATGCCACCGCTTGGCTGAAGGCTTGTTCTTTGGCGAATTTGTGCCGGCTCTTGTTCATATCACAGCGAACCGCGAAACCGTGCTCCACCTCCGAGAAGATGCTCAGCTGATAAGGCACATCCAATGTGGCCAGAATTTCTTCGCTTTCATGACGTTTCCCAGGCGGAAAAAGGTAGTCATTGGCTAGGACATGTAAATCAGCAACTAGACACAAAGGCGAGCGGGATATAAAATCAGAAAAACTGCATAGACTATAAAACACCCACCGGCCGCCGCAATACTCAATGGACCTTGAATTGCCTTCAACTCATCCGGCTCAATAAACGTTGGATGGGCAATGAAACCGACATCAATCTGGCCTGCACGTAAATAGCGGCAGACAAACTTCCCTCCATAACAGTAGCCCACGCCTCCAACCCACTCGCAGCCAAAGGAGTCTCGCATCTCCTTTAGCACTTCATTGATAATTGGATCAGTGTGTTGAGGGAGGTGACCTTGAAGCCAGTCCATGACGCTGAAGCTTTCTGGGTGGTCCACGGGGACCGGGTCCCCCTTGAAGAGATCCGGCATGACGACGAAATACCCATTGGCTGCGTATTGGTCTGCAATTAACTGGGAGTTCACAAGTTCGAGCCCAAATATATCAGACAAGAATAAGATTGCATTGCCAGTTTCTTTGTCCGGGGGTAGGAAAGATATGCCTGGACTGATGCGATTCAGTTAGGAGGAAAATTGGGGGATGGTGACATGAAGGGAACAAAAACCGGCATACTGTTCCCGATAGACGTGATCTCGCCTTTGCTCTGACCCCCGTGCAGCGAGCCACCAGCGCAACACTGTGAGGGTGGTAGGGAGGTCATGATGGATTAATCCGTGCTTCAAGAGGGCAGCCTATGGATACAGGCAGGGAATGATTGATGAGTATGGCGTTGAACTTGACTTCTTGTGTATCTTTATCAGAAAGAACTTGCGTGGTATTACACAGAGCTGGTGCCCCAAATGTGGCGTATTTTCCAGTAGCCAAACAGTAAAATGCATTAGATTTGTCTCATGGTTCAGAGATTAGCCCTATGCGTAGATCCTTTCCCTCTCCATGATTCTAGGCCGACCCTTCAGCCAGTGCCTCGATGTGAGGCTGGTAGCCATACAAGGGAGTGAGTGCACGATCCCAGCACCATAATGGGGCCCAGGTAAATGCAACCCTGCGAAGCAGCGGCCCCAATCCATAGGACATTTTGCCGGTGTGCAGTGAGGCAAAAGTACTGGAAAACTCGAAAACGTAGCGGGCCCTCTCTTCCCTGCGTTGACGGTATTCTTTCAGACACATCTGTAGCGCCTGCGGGTGGCCTGACCGATCACGGAAGTACGAATTGAGCACATTGGCCAACTCGCCTGCATCTTCGATTGCTTGGCACGCGCCCTGGTAATGCATCATTGAGTCAGTGGGAGCTGCTGCAGAAGTGGCGGTGTGACAAATACCTGGCCGATAAAGGACGTCATGGAATGTGCGGCTAGATTGAATTAGCCTCGAAGGCCGAGAAAGTCAGGGACTGGGCAAGATCATACCGTCGCCCACAAGGGCTACCCGTCCAGTAGCCATGGCGGGAAATGCTGTTTCCTCGAACACGTCACTAGCTGTCACGCGTTCGGCCAAATCCACCACTATGGGGTTCAAGTTAGGACCACCATGGATACATTCTGGGCAAGGGGGAATTACCGTCGCGCACCGTACGGTTCTTACCAAACGGATGAAATCGGTCGCCATAGACGTCATTGATCATTTTCTTCGAGGCTCCTTTCCAGCTTGACCGACTAGGATCTTTCAGTTCCGATGACTATCCACTATCAGCCGGGAGAGGTCATGCGTAAATGTAAAGGTAATACGATACCTTGACTCCTACAAACCATTGCCTGTTTTCAATACATGGCCACGAGGTCAAAATGGCGTCGTCGTAAAAAACCCAAGTAGCAACACCCAAATCGTGCGAACTCAAATGTTGCAAGGGCTGGGTATAACCGGTCATGTGTGTACGACCAGTAAAGCGGATGGTGGTGCCATCCAGTCCGTCCTTCTCAGCCAAAATGCGTCTGGTTGCTGACCTAATGCCATCTGCACCTACCACTACTTCACCAGTTATCTGTCGACCGTCGGCAAGGCTCACCTTGACCGTAGGCTCAGTGGGCAGATCTTCAATATCGACTACCTCTGCATTGAGTAAAACATTCTCTGGCCCCGCACCTTGATAAAGGGCTTGGTGCATTGAATGTCTTTCAATAGAGTAGAGGCTGTACCCAAACTTGCTCTCAATCCATTCCCAGTCAACGACATTCCACAAGGTATTGTCCCGGAAGATTTGAATCTTGCGAAGAGGCTGTCCTTTGCGTCGGATTGCGTCCATGTGTCCCAGCTGATCCAAGATACGTAGGCAGTTGGGTGCAAGGGAGATCCCTGCTCCGACGGGGGTGATTTCGGCACTGCGTTCGAGCACTTTATAGCTGATTCCAAGCTTTTTACAGATACCCGCCAATGTCAGGCCTCCAATTCCTCCACCTACAATGATGACCTGGGCATCTGTAGTTGGAGCGACTCGAGTCATGATATGTAATGTAGGAAGTGAGTAGGATGTCTTCAATGTAAAAGACCCTTGCCAGGAAAGGAAAGAAAGATTGGTTGGACTCAAGGGGTATTATGAGAATACCTGATATATATACATATATTCATGTATTATCCGTCGGCACGGAAACATTAAAGATACCTGACCAGGTAAGTATGCATGCCTGACAATGTGGAGCATGAGTATAGGGATGTATAAATAGGTATCCTTGGATCCAGTCTAGTGGCAGGGCGCTTCGGAAGAGTCTGCATACCTATGTAGATCTGGGTCCGGAAGCCAGAACAATTTAATCCAAAAGAATGATGTGAACTTGGAAACAAATAGCAAGCTATAAAAATATAGTGTTTGTGGTTTTGTATCCGGTAACGCCTTTCATTCCAAGAGTAACTTCATTCCGTGGCGCGGATACGATGTTGTAACATTATGATTGAGTGATGTAACTATAAATAAGTAAGGACATAGGGAAGTGATATCACGTTGAGTGATCCATAGATGGCGTATTCAAGAATTATCCGCACATTATTTGAAGAAAATCTAACACTGGCCCATGGTAAAATCAGCAGGACAATAACCTCACTATTCTTCTCTGCGACTGAGCCTAATAAATGCATCCCCTAAAAGCCACGGACTTCCCACTTTACTGAAATCCAACATAGAAAGGTTCATAGGTAGGTCATCATTCTCCAAGGCGAGATCATAATTTTTGAGGAGATGAGAAACCAGCCCTTGGGCGATAATTCCGGCCAGTGCCTCCCCTGGGCATCGATGACAGCCAGCACCGAATTGCATGAATGCGACCTCCTGTGGGTTGTTCAGATTCCGAGTGCCAGAATCGTGCCCTAACCAACGCCTAGGAAGCCACTTGTGTGGATCGTGGTAAATCTCAGGGTCATGGTGTGTAAGGTAAGGAGATATGCAGACAATCCAGTTGGGAGGGACCGTATACCTGCCTTCATCCAGGTCCACGGGGCGATGCGTGGTTCGAAACATGTGGACCCCTGAGTAATGACGACCACTCTCTTTGATACATGCCAAAAGCTCAGGAGTGTGGCGTGCATCCATATCATGAGCGTCCAATGCCTTGCGCACCTCAGATATGTACTCCGGATTGCGAAGTAACTAAAGGTAAGGTATATATTCGTCAATGATCCGAGCAGCACTTCATGGTGATTTTGGTAACTGACCTCTATGATTGTCCATGCAATGCTGGCTACTGTGCTTGTATGGGCAGCGAACATCATCACTGTATGATGTGAAGGAAGCCAGTCGGCGAGGTGGGCGGTTCGTGGATCCTCCAGGGTAAACGAAATATAGTCCAAGGAGTCCTTCCATGCTTGAGGATCCTTGCGCCGCTCCGCAAGCTGTTGTTGAAAGATTCGCCTAAATCGGTCTCTGTGTTGTTGCAGTCGACGCGATGGTGGATGGGGGACCCAGTCGGGCAGGAGCATGTTAAGAGGATGACCTATATCTGTCTCCATATGATGCACTATATCGTAAAGCTCGTCCAGATGGTTCTCGTAGAAGTCTTGACCCATTAAGCACCGCACAATCACTCGGTGCACAAAACGGGAGGTCTCTTCGAAGATTTGGACCCTATCTTGCTGGCTCCAGATCTCAAGCACCTTGTCAGCTTCCTCCTCGACCAACTGGGTGTAGTGATCCAAAGCGACCTTCCGATTCACGCCGCGGTTCAACGAGGAGACCAAGGTCCGGAAGTGGTCAAAATAACCTGGTTGAGCGATTTTCCTAAGAAACAAGCCCTGGAACGGATCATTAGCCTGGTGAAATTTGATTCAGTTGTAATGGAAGTCCTACAATGCCACCACCGAATGACCATGTGTCCTCCTTAACGTCGGTATACATGCGGTTATATCTGGTTCCACGCAAGTAGATGAGGTTTGCAAAGAGCAGTTTAACCTGAAATACAGATCCACATTTCTTACTTGCTTTCTGTATGAAGCTTACAGGATCTTTCAGAAATGCAGCTGCGTCGCCGATGCGCGGTAGTCCAAAATTTGGGGCAGGAGGACATTTCTTCCCATCCTCAGAATTCAACGAAAGGAAAACGAGTGACAAAACAAATGTGACGGTGCAAACCAATGCGCAGCCAAGCTGCTTCTCCGAAAGTCCGGATGAAGATAGGACGTGTGCGATCATTTTGTCTGTTCGTGAAGGCACTGATGTTCTAGATAAGAATTGGGTGGAGGAGAGAGAAAAAAAGCGAGACAAGGGAACAAACCGCGCGGTCTTTCTACGTGAGAATTGTGATTAGACGGCTCATTCCTCTCGAGCACCATATCCACATGCGTGAAAAAATGAACATTCTCGTGTAACGATATTCCCTACACCCTATGATGTGATATACCTAGGCGTTCCATCGATCAGAAATTCAAGAAATATCCGTGGGCCGGTCAGCCGTGTGCGGCCCTGAAGATAAGCAAGGGCGTATGAAATAAATCAGGGTGGAATCATTCATACTCGGGGGAGATATCCGCTGCTCTACGATTGGACTTCTACGGTGATCCCGAATGACGTCACCTATGCAGCGCTCCATTGCTCATTCTTGAGGTTGCCTAGTCGCTCGATATAAGTGAGGCAAGGTTTGCAGAACTAGAGCAGAACCCGAGGTTGTATTGGAGTATTTGGCAATGAGACATCGCGGGGCAGAGATAACGGGCCGTCCCATGACACTTTCAAGGCTGGAAGGCCTTATTAGAAGATTTGATTATTATTTGGAGGGATATAAAGTACTACCTGAATAGGACATGAGATTCATTGACCCAAATTTACCGGCTGTGCACTTATCTGGAGTGGGACGGAGGATTTCTTCACTGCGACATAGATTAGGCCATTCCATGCTATACGGAATTTGAACGAGACATTCCGCCCCTTTCATGTACCACACTATACATTCATAGATCATAATATGTATCCGTTTCCAATCCTGACGTGGTATCAAGCATGACTAGCACACTAGATAAAGCCTGGGATCTCTATTGTTGCGAATGAACGAGAGTTCTGTCGTCTTAAAACATTCCCCAAAGCCTCTTCACAACTGTATGACTTGACTTTATCTCATTTGAGAACCGCTCACTATGGTATCAATCGCGCCGAGAGATCTTCGAGGATCTGAAGATTCAGGCACAACGAGTAAAGATATCTCGCCGCCGTTTTCTTCTCGCCCCTCAGAATCGTCCATATCCTCGGTCCATGGCCCCAACCACGCTGCTATCATAGGCTATGCCTGTCGCGTTGCTGGTGCAGATCGTCCAAGTAAACTCTGGGACAACATTGTCGAACAGAAAGACCTTAGGCAAGAGATGCCCTCTAATCGATTCCATATTGAGAATTTCTTTCATCCCAAAGGAACAAACAAGGGAACGGTAATAACATCACCCTTCTAAGCCCACCGACTTTGGGCGATGTTGATCAGAGCACTGCTGACTGCGATATATCATGCCAGACAAATACCAAGCATGGTTACTTTCTTGATCAAGATCTGGGGGTGTTTGATCGTAGCTTTTTCCGCATTTCCGGCAAGGAAGCCGAAGCTATGGACCCCCAGCAGCGCCTCCTTCTTGAAGTGGTGTACGAGGCGCTCGAAGATGCCGGCCTTACTTTGGATGAAATAGATGGATCAGACACCTCGGTCCTATGTGGCTCATTCACAAATGACTACAATGCCATGCTCACTAAAGATTTGGAGTACTACCCCAAATATACTGTGACGGGGACAGGAAACGCCATCCTCGCCAATCGGGTGTCCTATGCTTTCAACCTTAAAGGGATGAGTCTCACAATCGATACTGCATGCTCTTCCTCTCTGGTCTCCTTCCACTTCGGCGCCCAGGCGATCCAGAATGGAGAATGTGACATGTCCATTATCGTGGGCTCAGCGCTCCATTTTGATCCGAATATTTTCATCACCATGACGGACTTGGGAATGCTGTCCGAAGAAGGTCGCTGTCGGGCATTCGATGCCGATGGGAGAGGTTACGCCCGAGGAGATGGAATATGCGCCGTCATCCTGCGCGGACAGAACAAGGCGCAACTGTATGGAAATCGGATTCGCGCTGTTGTGAAGGCCACCGGGTCTAATCATGATGGAATGACACAGGGGATCACTCTGCCTTCCCCAGAGGCACAGGTGGACCTGATCCAACGAACCTATCAGTCCTGTGGGTTAGATCCCGCCGACACACAATATGTAGAAGCGCATGGTACCGGCACTGCTCGCGGGGATCCGCTGGAGATGAGAGCCATCGGTACATGTTTTGCCTCCAAACAGCGCAGTCAGCCCCTATACGTTGGATCTATCAAGACCAATATAGGACATACGGAAGGGGCATCCGGAGTCGCCGGCCTGATCAAAGCCACAATGGCCCTTGAAAAGGGGAAAATCCCACCAAATATGCATTTCAAGAGAGCGAACAAAGAAATCGCATTTGACGACTGGGGGATTCAAGTGCCCACGGATTTGATCGATTTCCCCACCAACAGTCAGGGTACGAAGAGAGTCAGTATCAATTCCTTTGGCTATGGTGGCTCCAATGCACATGTAATTCTCGAAGCATTTGGTCCATTTCCCGACAACATCGTTCAACCAGGCTCGACGGTTTTAAAAGCTTTTGAGGCCGATGTCATTGGTCGCCCGTTCCTGGTGCCATTGACCTCGCACTCGGAGAAAGCAGGGAAGGTGTGGACTGACAGCCTCACGGCTTATCTGCAAGAAAAGCCGGAGACCCTCGTGTCCGATTTGGCTTACAGTCTGACCAATCGTCGAACCCTTCATGAAAAACGATCCTTCGTTATTGGAACGAGTGCAGTGGACGTCGTGAACAAGCTGGAAAATGTGCCCCCGTGGACAAGGGCCAAGCAAGACCCTTTACGACTAGGATTTATTTTCACCGGCCAGGGTGCTCAATGGCATTCAATGGGCCGCGAATTGATTTCCAAGGTCTCGATATTCAGGCAGACTTTGGAGAGAGCCGATCGTGTTCTATCCAGTCTACCCGATGGCCCATGTTGGTTGATCGTGGAAGAGCTTTCCAGGACAAAGGAGGAGTCCCGGCTCGCAGAAACCGAATTATCTCAGCCTGTTTGCACAGCGGTGCAATTGGCGATTTTGGAGCTCCTGAAGAGTTGGGGGGTTGTTCCAGCAGCATGTGCTGGACATTCGTCAGGGGAGGTAGCAAGTGCATATGCGGCAGGCATTTTATCTTTCGATAGCGCAATGTGTGTCGCATATTATCGCGGTTTGCACATGTCAAACAAAGCGCTACAGTTAGGAAAGGATAACATCCCAGGGGCGATGTTAGCTGTGGGATTAGGGCAAGCTGAAGCTGCCTTGGAGATCAGGGACTATCCAGGCCGAGTGGTCATCGCCGCAGTGAATAGCCCATCTAGTGTCACTCTATCTGGAGACGAAGATGCAATTATCGCTGTCAACGAAGGCTTGCAAGCTCGAAATGTTTTTGCACGTCGCTTGCAGGTAAAACAGGCGTTCCACTCCCACCACATGAGCCCCCTCGCACCGGCATACGAGAAAGCGCTAGTCGAATGTTCCAGTTTTGTAGTAAAGCCCTCTGAAACACGGATGTTCTCCAGTGTTACTGGCCGAGTGGCCAAATCAGACAAGATGGGACCAGAATACTGGGCCGCCAACATGACCGGCACTGTTCGATTCTCTGACGCCTTGGTCGGAATCCTCCTCGATGATATGGAAAATGAAAACCTCGATGTCCTGATCGAGATTGGACCTCATCCAGCACTGAAAGGCCCATCTAAGCAGGTGATGAAGAGCTTAAACATGGATCTGCCATATTTTTCATCTTTGACACGGGGAGCCCCAGATTTTGAGGGAATGCTGGCTTTGGCTGGCCAGCTCTTTCAACTGGGTTACCCGGTCGACCTGTCGGCGCTTAACAGTGATATTTACCTTACCGAAAATGATGTTGCACATCAAATATCCTCTGCTCAAAAGCTGCCCGACCTGCCAACGTATGCATGGGATCATTCCGAGCGGTTTTGGGCGGAGACCCGAATCATCCATGAGCATCGTCTACGTCCCTATCGGCATTCAATTTTGGGCACCATTATGCCCGGCTCAATTGAGAAGCATACCCGTTGGCGGAATTACTTGAGGGTTCGAGAGTTACCCTGGCTTGGCGACCATGTGGTGGATGGGAAGGTCGTCTTTCCGGCAGCAGGTTATATGAGCCTTGCCATTGAAGCTGCCATCCGATCGAAGGGGGAGGTTGGTGATTTCAATGGTCTAGCCTTACGGGACATTTCCATAAAAGCCGCGTTAGTTCTTGACGACTCTGATATGGGTACCGAGGTGATCCTGGATATCCGCCCTCGAACCACTTCCGCCAAGTCGAAGTCCAATACATGGCTTGAATTCTCCATTTTCTCCTATGCTGCTGGTGGTGAGGCATGCACAGAGCACTGCACAGGTCTGGTTTCAGTTGAGGATCATGCGAACAGGCAGATGTCACTAGAGGAACATGAGCTGCGACAGAAGCAAAGCACCTCGTGTTCCTCGGCACGGGGCTTCTACCGTCATTTGCATGACCTTGGACTGCAGTATGGTGCAGGCTTCAAGCTTTTGACTGGGAATATAGAGTGTGGCTCTGGTTTTGCTTCCTCGACACTCACATTCAGTCCCGAGAAATATGCAAGTCAACCTGCAGATGTGACTGTTCTTCACCCGACCATGCTAGATGCCACGTTCCACACCATATTTGCTGCTCTCGAGGGTCTTATGGGAAAGGACCTGGACGTAGCCTTTGTGCCCACCTTCCTCCAATCATTGGAAATTTTGCCCGAGATGATACCGATCAAGGATGCTAAGGGACCGCAGGAGGTATGGGTGGCATCATCAGCTCATTTCTCTGGCCCCCGAGCTGCCGTCAGTGATTTGGTAGTCTACAATCAAGACACCGGTCGGGCATTGGTGTCTGTGGCCGGTCTCCGACTGACCTCATTGAGTAATGGGGATGATACCAATGACCGCTCTTTGTTCTTCCGTACACGATGGCAACCAGCCTTTGATCAACTGATGATGTCGTCTTCACCGGCTCTACACCAGGCGGGCCTAGAACACTTGCTCCATCTCTTCGTGCATCAGCACCCGAACACAAGGATACTCCATGTCACCTCTGATATTGAGCATACCAGGGAGATTGTAAACTTGTTGACTGACAATAGCAACGAACGGCGTGTGTTCCAGTCTATTACAGCCGTTGCGTGCAACAAGTCATTCGATGATCAATTCCAAGATGAGCTAGCGGTACTGCAAAAAGAGCGGCCAGGTTTTGTTCTTTCAGAAGCACCAGAAGAGCAGAGTTTTGACTTGGTGATTGTGAGTAATGCCAAAGATCAAGACGTTTTACCTTACATCAAAGATGACGGCTATGTTATCACCAACGGTTGCATCATTGATCAATCGAAACTGAAGAAGCTTTTCGATGGGCAAAACATCAATGTGTGGCAGAAGAGCACAGAGACTCTATGCTACCAGAAACCAATTCTCTTGTGTCTGTCATCCAAGCCTTCCCGCCGTACGCTAGACCTGGTATCGCATCTCAAAGCTAAAAACAAGCAGCGTTCTATCTCTTCTGTCTCGATCGCTGAGCTACCTAGCAGATTGAGCGAGGACTCCGACTTGGTCATTTTGGCTAGCTTAGACCAAGATCTGTTTGCGCAGATGAAGCAGGAGGATGAGCTCGAGTTCAATGCTACCAGGGAAGTGCTCACCCGCCCAGACATGAATGTCCTATGGCTGCTTCATGGAGCCACCTCCAACGTGACGAGCCCTATGGGGGCTTTAATTATTGGGCTGAGTCGGAGCGCGCGGTCCGAAAATGCAAGCTTGCGGCTGCTGACTCTGGATCTTCCTGATGAATGGGCTCACGAATCGGTTGTGACGTTGATTCCTCAACTGTTGAATCCAGCGATCCAAGAAGAAGAGTTTTCTCTTCGGGAAAATGTCCTTTCTATTCCTCGCATTGTGAACGATGACGGCCTTAATTCAAGGGTTCCAGGAGGCGTGGCTTCAGGAGCCAAGGCGGAGCCCTTCAATTCCGAACATCCCATCAGGCTGGCTATTGACCAGGTTGGTTTACTGGAAACGCTTGTCTGGGAGGAAGATCATGAGATTATCAACGAGGATCTCGCGGCAGATGATATTGAAATTGATGTCCGCGCTTCCCCCATAAATTCCCGAGACGTTGCTGCCGCTGTGGGTATTCTCGATGACTATATGCTAGGCGACGAGTGTGCTGGCATTGTCCGGAAAGTGGGTAAAAATGTCAATCCTGCAGATTTCAAGTCTGGAGATCGCGTGTTAGCTCTGCGGCCCGGGAGGGGAGCTCATCGTTCCGTCGTCCGAAACCCTGCCTGCCACTGTTACCGGTTGGGTCAAATGCCCTTCGAACAGGCAGCCGCCGTGCCTTTAATTCTGACCACCGCATACTACTCTCTTGTCGATACCGCAAGGCTACAACCTGGCGAAACTGTTTTGATTCATGCCGCAGCTGGCGGAGTCGGCCAGATGGCAATTCAGATCGCCCAAATGATCGGTGCCAATATCATCGCCACAGTTGGCTCTCCCGCAAAGCGGGATCTACTGATCTCTCAGTATGCTCTGGCTGAGGAGAATATTCTGAACTCTCGAGACAATAGCTTTGTCGACGGAGTTATGAGGCTGACCGACGGCAGGGGCGTGGATGTCGTCCTGAACAGTCTGGCTGGCGAACTTCTTCACGCGTCTTGGAACAGTTTAGCCACATTTGGCCGCTTTGTCGACATTGGAAAACGTGACATCCATGAGAACACGACTATTGGGATGGCGCCATTTCGACGAAACGTTTCGTTTTCCTCAGTTGATTTGGTGACCATCTACAAACACAATCGACAGTTAGGTGCTCAGCTGCTCAGAGACTGCTGCAACCTGGTCCACGAAGGCAAGATTAAATTACCCGAGACAATATTCACACTTCCATATTCAGAAGCTGTGAGGGGTTTTAGAATGTTGCAGATGGGCCAGCACACTGGAAAAGTGGTTCTGGTAGCCAACAATGACGAGGTCGAGGTTGCGGTCCGCCCGGCGACTTGGAATACCCTAAAAAATCAACTCAGTCCAACCAAGACTTACCTCATCGTTGGTGGCTTGGGAGGTTTGGGACGCAGCCTGGTTGAGTGGATGATGCAGCGACAAGCCAGAAGCCTGGCCATCCTCTCGCGATCCGGTGAAGATCGTGAGGAGGCAAAATCTACAGTTTCATGGCTACGAACACGCGGTGTCAAGGTCGCCGTGTACAAAGGGGACGTCGCCAACCCCACCGATGTACAAAACTGCATCAGCAAGATTCAAAATCTAGGCGGCGTGATTCATGCTGCCATGGTTTTGGCCGATGCCCCGCTGCAGAGCATGACTTATTCTCAGTGGCAGAAATGCGTTCAACCAAAAGTTCAGGGGGCGTATAACCTACATAACGCGACAATGGGTATCCCACTCAATTTCTTTGTATGCTTCTCCTCCATTTCCGCATTTTTCGGCGGTAAAGCGCAGGCCAATTATGCCGCTGCGAATGCGTATCTGGACAGCCTGATGGGCTATCGCCGACAGCTTGGCCTACCTGCTTCCACTATGAACTGTGGGCGTATAACTGGGCACGGTGTTGCAGCTGAAGATGCCGCGCTGGAACGATTCATGGAGGATATAGGCTATGATGGGGTTAACCGACAGGAGCTGCTCTACCAAGTAGAAAATGCCATCTTCTCGCACAGCCCCTCGCAAGTCTCTTTGAATGGAGTTGCCTTGTACCAGACCCTGACAGGCGTCACTCTTGCACGTGACGATGTATTTTGGGCCAAAAGATCTATCTTCAAAAATCTATATCGCAACCATGACTTCAACGTGCAATCTGGCCAGCGAGGAGCTGGAGGAGAAACGAGTCTGTTGGCTGTATTTCAGCAGGTCACAGATCCTCTGGAGCGATTCGATCTCATTCTGGAGCGATTTGTCAACAAGCTGTCCATTCTACTTGGTCTGTCGCCCGAATCACTCAAGCCGGCAGATCCAGTTTATGGACTAGACTCATTAGTGGCCATCGAGCTGCGCAACTGGTTTACTAAAGCCCTGGGAGTCGACATAGCACTCTTTGATGTGCTTTCAGCCCCATCTATCAGAGCCTTGGTAGATAAATGCGTGACTATCTTTGGTACGCAAGAGCGCAAAGCTCCTCGGTCCGGGCCACAGAATACAAGTGCTTCCTCACCACAAGTTGGCGCTACGCCGCAGGCTCTGAACGTCCCGAAAGCAGACTTGTCGCAGCCACTCCCCCTGTCCACCTTTCAGACCCGCTTATGGTTCTCTCACATGCTCGCTGCAGACAAGTCCCTACTGAATCTTCCAGTTGTCATGTATCTTCATGGAGTGCCTGATCATAATATCCTTGAGAAATCAATTTCGGAGCTGATTTTCAGGAATCCAATTTTGCGGACCGCATACCAGGAGGGAGAGGAGTATGGCGAGCAAAGAGTAATGCACGATCGAGAATTCATTCTCAAATGTCAAGATGTATCTGAAAACGAAGATGCAACCCAAGCCCTGAAGCCCCTTGTTGCGGCTCTGAAGATGAAGCAGATGAAAATCGAAGAGGGGGAGGTGATTGATGGAACTTTGGTCAAAATCAATGAAGATGACTTTGCCTTAGTGCTCATAATGCACCACATCTGCACGGACCGAAGTAACACACAGCCATTGATAACGCAGCTATCCGCAATTTACGACACCCTTGGTCAGGGAGGAAACATCAGCACTATCCCAAGTCCCAAGTTGAACTACGCAGACTTCACTCTGTGGCATAATGACTTTCTGTCAACGAGCTCCATGAGTTCGGAAATCGAATTTTGGAAGAATCAGCTATCTGGAATGCCTTCCAGCTGTGAGCTGCTACCATTCGCCAAGTCGGAACGGCCTTCATGGGATGATTATGGCCGGGCGACCACCACGGCAGAGGTAAGCCCAAGTCAACTCAAACGTATGAAGCGGATCTCCTTGCAGTCCAAAGCCAGCCCATTCCAATTTCTCTTCGCCGCCTTCCGGGCCTTTCTCTACCGCTACACTGCGGACAAAGATCTGACGATCTTGATGGTGGATGGAAATCGACCCCATGCGGACTTAAGCGACGTGCTGGGATTCTTTGTCAACGTGACCCCGATTCGGTGCCAAAGCACATGTGAGGGCAGCTTCGAAACTCTTTTGTTATCTACAAGGGACCGTATTTTAGAGTCCATGTCCCACAGTGCTGTGCCATTTGACCTGATTGTCACGGAAACCCAACAGAATAGAAGTACTAGTCACTTCCCATTGGGCCAGGTTATGATCAACTATCAGCAACCGGATGGCCAAGAAGTTTATCAGACTAAAGACTTTGTCTTTCAGAAGACTGAAGCACAAGATATGGTTTCTGGTTGTGAACTGACTCTTCGAGCTCGAGAAGACCCGGATAATGCCCTTCAACTGCAGCTGGAATACTCCACCACGTTATATGGAGACACCGATATGCACGTTTTCCTTGAAAACTTCAAGACTTTCCTCTCGAGCCTCATTCAGGACCACCGACAGCCGATCGATGAAGTCATTTTATCCGGTCCCAAGGAGATTGAGCGACTGAGAGACGATTTCTGGAATGGCAATTCAGGGTCTGATTCTCGGCAGCATCCGAGCCTAGCTGGACAAATCCTCCATGTCGCAGAGATGCAACGGAATGCCATTGCCATCACGACGTCGGAGGGTCAGGCCATTACTTATAGTTCTCTGGTTGACTCCGCTCGTCGATTGGCCTTTTCGCTACAGAGTGCAGGTATTGGGCCTAGGCAACGCATTGGGATACTCACCACCCCGGGTATTGACATGGTGACCGCCATGCTGGGAGTTTTGTTCAACCGATGTGGTTATGTTCCAATGGACTCCACCATGGCTGTGGGACGCCTGGCATTCATCACTGACGATTCCGGCATTGATTTACTGCTTTTCGATGAGGCGTGCAGCATCTTATCCTCCAAAATTCGCTCCCAGGCTGAAGGACATTATGATACGATGAGCATCAAGAAAGCCACGAGCTCGCAAGGGCTGGCAGATCTTCATCAGACTTTGCATGGTGATCCTTTCTATGTGATGTATACTTCGGTGAGTTGACCCTACACGGCAAGCTGGAGAATGACCGAAAGCGCTAACCATTGGCTGTCCAATGATTTAGGGTAGTAGTGGTACACCCAAGGGTGTTCCAATTTCCCAACAAAATGTTCACGAAATGCTGGCAGCGATGCAGGAAAAGTTCAAATTTTGCCCCGACGACCGGTTTCTACACCAGATCTCACCTTCTTTCGACCTTTCTGTGGTGGAGCTTTGGTCATCGCTGGCCATCGGCGCTAAGCTTTGCATTGCCAGCATGGGGATACGACATGATCCCGTGCTTCTTGGTGAATATATGCGCCAAGAGTCTGTGACCGTCACTTACTTCACCCCAACTCAATTTGCTCTGGTGATAGAGCATAACGGTGCGGCCTTGGCGGCATGTCCCGACTATCGTATTGCATTGCTATGTGGAGAACGATTGCCCTCACGCCTCGCGGATGCATTCTACCGGTTGCAATGCCCGGCAACTCTGTATAATGCTTGGGGCCCAACTGAGGCAGTTGTCCAGACTACTCTCCATCCGGTCCGCTGGCCGGAGGATGATATTATTAACATCCCCATCGGCAAATCTCTTGGAAAATGCCGACATTATATCGTGGATGGGTGCATGAATCCCCTACCGGGGGGCTTCATCGGGGAAATTTGCATTGGAGGCCCCCAAGTAGCGACCGGGTACTGGAATCGCCTCGAGGTCAACCGTAAGCAGTTCATGGACAACCCATTTGCCTCTGCGCACGATAAGAAGCGTGGATGGACGACCCTCTTCCGAACTGGAGACTTGGGCCGTTTCCTGCCTGACGGAAACCTGGAATTCCTGGGTCGCATCTCCGGCGACAAACAAATTAAGCTGCGTGGATATCGAATCGATCTTGGTGAGATTGAACATGTCCTGCACCGGTCTACATCACCGGATGAGGCCCAAGGCGTTGTCGATCTTGCAGTCGTGGCCTATTCAACAGGCGATGACTCCAGCTCAATGACAGACGACCGCTGGCTTGTCGCTTTCATTGTTCCCAAGCAGCCTATGACAACTGTGGTTGACAAGACCAGATTCGCCACGCTTCTGTCCTCACGCGCCAAGTCTTCACTCAGTCATTACATGCTTCCCAACGTGTATCAGTTTATTGAGAAACTACCAACCAACTCCAGTGGCAAGACAGATAGACGAGCCCTTCTCGGACTTGATATGGATTTCATCCGTCCAGATTTGGATGGCACAGCCTCGATGAATTCAAGTCAGAAGTCCTCTTTGCACAGTGGCCAAGCCCCGGCGGAGCAGGTTAGTGAAAGTACCATCAAGAAGGTCAATCAAATCTGGCAGGAAGTACTCAAGCTGGACACCCCTGTCCAACCGACGGCCAATTTCTTTGAAATGGGGGGCTCGAGCATTCTTCTCCTCCGTCTCCAATCCAAGCTCCGAGCAGCAATGAATATCTCTCTCAGCTTGCAGGACATGATTGGGGGACCGACGCCAATGCAACTAGCCCATCTGGTACATGGAAGGGCTCTTGGATCCACTACCTCCCATGAAGGAAATATAGATCACGTCGACTGGTTCATGGAGACTAGCCTGCCAAACCATACTCGTTATTATCCTTTGGCTTCCGGGGTAAAGTCCGATATGACTAATATACTCCTCACTGGCGCGGATACATTTCAGGGGATTCATTTGTTGGCCCATCTGCTTGTTCAGCATCCTGGGGTGATAATCCACGTCTTGGGCATGCATTCCCCCTCGACCATGCCCGTATATTCACGTTGCTATTGGAGAGCAGATTGATCAACGAAACACTAACGGGTGAGCAAATTCTCACTCGTGTTCATGTAATCAATGGATTCTTGGGTCAAGAGTCCAATTTTGGGCTCTCACCCACTGAATTTGAGCATCTTGGAAGGTCGATATCGACCATCTACCATCTCGCCTCAGAGGTCTCCCTGCTCAAATCCTTCCACGACCTGAAGCATATCAACACTACCTCTATCCTTTCCCTCATTGAGCTATCCCATCTCGGAGGGAGCGACATCCACTACCTATCGACCTGGAGTGTTCCCCACCTCCAATCCTGGTCTGACACTCAAAGATCCCTTCCCTCCATTAATATCCTCGAAAACAACGCAGGTCATTTTACTCCTCAGCCCACAAGCCAGCATGGCTACTTCAAGTCTCGCTGGGCAGCTGAAATGCTTCTCACAAGAGCGGCAGATCGAGGCTTCCCAATCACCATCTACCGAGCCTCCAGCAGTACCGGCAACACTAGCACTGGCGTCGCGTCCTCCCAAAATGACTTCGTCCGAGGCATGATTCTAGACATGATTCGCCACAACGTCATTCCAAAGGCCGGAACAACGGATCATCCTTTCGTGGTCGATTTCGTTCCCGTGAACTACCTCGTGGATGTTCTCTCCCGGCTTTCGGTGCAACGGAGGAATTCTCAGAAGGCCATTTCCCCAACTCGAGGTCTTCAAGTCTTCCACATCACCAACCCTAGGCCCCTTCCTCTGGATCAACTTCCGGCTCTGGTAGGGCTCATCCGTGGCGATGATGACGCGGGTCAGATTGGGCAACATGTCAGCGTGGATGACTGGCTTGCAAACTCAACCCAAGGCAATGCTGGTGAGGACGAACAGTTACGCCGAGAGGTCCTGGGTGATTATTTCCAGCAGGGTCATAATATGTTTGTGTTGGATCGAAGTTGCACTGATGCTGCACTAGCCGGTGCGGAAGATTTGGTGATTTGCCCGGCCATAGATGAGGCATATCTGCGGGCATTGTGGAAAGAGTGACCCACATGACTTTGCTAGGCATTCATAGTTGTTCTAAACTGTAATGCTAATTTTGTACTTTGTTTGAAGAATAGTCGTTCCCTTCGGGGCTACATTAATATGATTATCATTTACCTCAATGCGATTAAATTTTGCAGCCTGTATATTAAGCTCAGAATATTTGCGAATCCGTACATTAGGAAAGGAGTGGCGGAACTAAAAAGCTCGCTGATCTGGAAAATGATAGAAATGCCTCACCTGCAACCCCTATAGAAAGGGAGGATGGGTATCAAGAAATTAGGAAGTCGGGGCTTAGAGGAGCGAACCGCTACATACGCAGGCGCACATGGTGATTGGCACCTAAATCAAAAGGGTTGTGTAGTTGTAGATTGTTGTCACTCATACACAAGATCCAATGTGGTAAAGAGGCAGTACCGGCGTGCAAGGGCTAACTATGTAGACGGTAAATTAGATTGTAAGACAGTAAATGCTCGAATTATAGCCATAGAAGACTCGAGAGTAGGGGAAAATTCAGGGGAATAATCTCGGGGTCAAAATGCTCCATTTGCATGTCAATGTTTCGAAGGGGTGATCTTTACGAAACCAGGCATTGAGACCATAGAAGAAACGAATTTCTTCATTTTAGCACTGGACAAATGGCCCTTAGTTACGCAGCGGTATAGGCTCCAGCTGCCAAACCCCTATTTCCGGTAAATGTTGATGCCTTGGTGCCTATATTTGGCCTGCCGGCCTGAATTAACGTATTCAGCAAGCGAGTCTCGTATTCACCAAGGCCCACTATTTAAATAAGGGGGATGATATTGCCAAATACACAATGCTATCGCCCTAAAAGTCAGCCCTGGAAGTATCGCTTGATTAACCAGTTTAATTGTGACCCGACCACTTTCGTAACAAGTCTTTCATGAACTCATAAATTGGAACAAGAGTACAGAAATAAGTTTATATGAAACAACCGAAAATATTAGGCAAGGGTTGGGCCCATCCACAAATGGCTGATTGTATAAATCCCTATCTCACATCTAGGGAGTTGTTGAATAAGTCTCCCCATAAGGGCCGTACCCCCTTTAACAACCACATCAAGGCCCATATAGGTTAGTTATAACTGTGCTTAGTTAGTTAACAGCCGGGACTTGTTTGTGTTCATCCACCAACTCCCTTTACTACTACATACTAACTTTTAAACCTGGCTACAGCGATTAATCGGACCTAGTCTGCGAGCATCGAAGCACCATACTGCTGAGTTCCAAGTTCCAAAATAGCCTCATCAGCCTAGGGCAACATTAAAGTCAGCCTGGCCCGTTTGGAGGGTGATTCTCTGATATTATTAGTCCACTTACAGTCGTCATGTAGCGAACCGGTCTCGGCACGGATGAACGGATACTAATGAGGCCGCGCGTACCTGTATACGATCCACGGGCTGCGAAGAGCTCCTCGATCGGATGAGCTGTCGTGTTGATATAAGACTACTTTTGCGCAAGGCGATATAAGTCGGCCTCGCCGTTCTGTTGGCTAACCTTGGTTTGGGATTCAATGGGATCCGCAAGTGCCAAGAAAGCACTGTTTCAGCCTGATCAAGACTATCCAATAGTTAATGCTGCATAAGCGTAGGCGACAGAGGGTCAGTGCAGTGGTCGCGCGACGAAGGGTGATTCTCACCCGCTCTCACCCGGATTCTCACCCTATCTATTGCGCACTGACCCTATCTCACCCTAGTCGCGCGACGCTAAAGCGGTGCTCACCCTAAACTCACCCGGGCGGCAGCCACCCGACTATCTGCCGCATATAAGCCACACGCCGGTGAGTTGGTAGTTGGGTGGGTGACCACCAGCGAATCCTCACTGTTGTATGTTTTTTTTTCTATTTTGCTATTTTGAAAAAAAAAAGTCATGGTGAGTATGCCCGTCTGTCTACGCATGGACAGTAAACTTGCTCTTCTTCCTTAACTTGTCTCCATACATGAACAAATACCAAAATCCTACCACAAGGGGGATGCTTAACCCTCCAAGCAAGGTGCAACCCTTCCCTACCCCCAAGTTCAGATATAGCGGCCGCCCAAAAAGCACCGCACCCGCCGCGAATGAGCTTCGTAGCGCATCGTTGGCCGCAAACAGGCTTGCCGCGTACTCCGGATAGCTCAACGGGAGGTGTAGGAAGATACCCAACCCGACAACAAATGAGCACCCGCAAAAGATGACGACACCGAGTGTCGGCACGGGCCAGGGAACCGATGCACGCGCCGCCCATCCGAAGAGAAACATGCCGATTGGAATGCCTAACACGCCCACGAGGCCGGGGCGTAGAAAGGTCTCCTGAACGTCGAAAGTGCCGAGTCGCTCGAAGCGGCGCTGGACGAAGACACGGTACCAGCTGCAGTACCAAGTTGCACCGATGATGCATGCGATGAGAACGCAGACAAAGACCACGCTAGTCTCGCTAATGTTGAAGCCGTATTCGGTAGGATATACAATGGGGATTACTTCGAAGAAGGAGTAGTAGATGCCGTATGTAAGAGAGGTCTGAATCTCCTGTCAGTAAACCATCACAATATCCAAATCAGCGCAAGCTTTGAACAAGTAGAACCTACATAAAAATTCGCAAACGCAATGGCAGGGTCCTTGAGGGTGATCTCGAATGGTTTAATAAGCGCAAGCTTCACTAGTTGGCTGCGCGAGACGCCCTTAGACCGCAAGGAATCGACGGTGACAAATCGGTCCGAACCGGTCTCTTGCCGGAGACGTTTGGCTTTGTAGAACAGTAGTGTTGGTGCCGATGTCTCGGGAAGAAACAACACAAGCAGGACGAAGACAAAGCCTGCGAGCCAGACTATCTCCCACATAGACCAGCGCCAACTAGCAACCTCCTTGTTAGTAGGTTCTGACAGCTAGATGCAAGACAGCCTTACCCTTTGACAGATACGGAGAATCCAGATAGCAACGGACCAAGCGCAGGGCCACAGTACATAGCACCGGACCACGCCGCCAGGGTGTACGGCGCATATACAACTGAAAACTGCAGTTTTCCGTCAGCTTTGTTGTAGTTATAGATGCCGTCGAGCATACCATGTCACTTAGGGACGCTGCCCCGGTCGCCAAACAGGGACTGCCAAAGAAGCCCTGTAAAAAGCGCACGACTAGGAACCCCGCAAAGCTTTTGCATATCGCGGCTATGGCCGACAGGGCAATGAAGATGGCGAATGTGATGATGTAGACGGGGTTCCGGCCAATATGCGGAATTTCACTCAACGGAGAGAAGAGAAGGGGCCCAATGCCATCTAATCCCCCATATTAGTATTTGATCAAGTACTTTCAGTCTGATTGAAGATATATTGACAACACTCACAACCGAGGACGTAGAGAGCTAGGCCCAGGGAGGCGACGGCCTCTGAAACGCCAAACTCTTCCATTACCTGCCTGTGTCAAGTCAACAACATAACCCCTTCGTTCATATGATAGATGTGTGCTAACGTACTCTTCGCTCGGGACGTATATTGATGATCCACAGTATACTGTGAATGTGTAGATACTACCAACACGCCGATTAACAACTGGTCAGCTAAATGGGTTGTGTATCTAACTCACCAAATAAGAAACGCCACCGCCACCTTTCTTGTTGTCGACCAGTTGTGAGGGTTTTCTATATCCTCATCGGATACCCTATTTATCATGTAAGTATGCACGTTACGGTGTCCACAAATAAGATGGATAAAACCGTTGCTCACCATGTCACTGGAATCCAGAGTTCCTCCTTTTCCTCTTTGTTCTCAGCGAAGCTCGAGTTTTCGCCGGTACAGTACTTATGCTTTTCGGTTGGAAATCCAATGACTTTGTTTCCGGTAACTAGTCGAGCAAATGCACCTAGTGCTGTTGTCCGAAAGAGATACGCCATCTCGTTTCTCTCTCTGTCTCGATTGCACGAACGATATGATGATTAAAACACAAGTGCACACGGTAGGCCAATAAATAAGAGAAATATTTCTTGCACTCTCCTTAAATTCTCCGAGAAGAACCAATTTCCGGTTAGGCAATTCGGAATCATCTCAACGTCGGAGTTTGTATGACCCACCATTAGGCTATTCGGGATTATCCACGTCCAACCGCAACAGAACTTAGTTATGAACAGAAATAGGGATCCAGATTTTTCTACTCGATGACATTCATCTACACCCTTTGGTTTGTTTGTATCGGTGTTCAGGCGGCGGGAGCAGTGTTACCCCGAGTGGCTCACGTTTTTGAAGTGCGACGACTGGGCTTCCACTACTAAATATGAACACTAAAGTGCATACTCCCTACTTTTACATTGTTCTAGGTGTTCCGAAAAAATACCCTTTATCAGCTAATACGCTCTTTGTTCCGAGCTTTTCCACCCCGCAGTGTGAGCGAATACCTTCTTAGTATACTTGCGCATACCATCAACGATTGCAGGTATACGGAATATAGTTAATTGAAGATGGGTTGGGTTGGTGCTTCGTCTCAAGAAGGTGAAGAGCGGAATTTGTTCTCAACTGAAAGTGTTTTTAAGCATATTTCGTTTACCCGATGGAGGTGCAGGTATATATGGTGCTCCGACCAAAATGCACCATTGAAATTGCCTTAGGTCATGGTTCCTATTGCATTAAACCACTCTCCGTCAAATAAATTAGCAACCATGGCATCCTGTTCCGCGAGGAGGTCAAATCCGGTGCTTGGTGGCAGAGGGACAGAATCCTCTCGCATAAGAGCATTGGCGATAACTCGCAGCTCATGCAGGATATTCTTAGCTCTGGGCCAGATATCTTCGTAGTGTTTGAGCGTGCCCAGGCAGACTCGTATGCGCGACCGCGCCACCTCAACCTCTTGTGGTGTGAATCCCGACTTGCAGGCGACCAGGTAGGCAATCGTGCAGCACGCTATCATACAAATGAGAAAGGGCGAGAGCTGAGCGGCACCTAGAGGCAGGATGGTCAAGCACTGGTTTTGATTGCGGACGGCTTGGAATAGCTTGTCTGAGTGTGTTCTATGATTGAATGCGCCCGTAGTTATCGCGCTAGAGACTAGAGGTGGTGGAGGTGTGCCACAGCTTGACAAATCTTCAGCGGGATCGTGTTGGAGGTTCGACAACGGCCGATGAATATACGCCAGAGCTCTGTGTTGTTAGTATAATCATCGAGCATTCTTTCTTCGGGGATGCATACGTGTACATCATCATGTGAGCTTGGAACATGAGCTGGTCTAGGAGAACAGGCTGTACGGCAAGCTGCCATTTGTCGGACGGAAGCATGACAAACCAACCGACGACAGAGGCCTCCAAGTCGCTACAGAGGATTTCCGCCTTGTACGGGTTTTCGTATTGAGTTGCCACTCTCAACGAGGAGACAAAAATACGCGTTGCATCGATAAGATAGGCAAATGATGAGAAGCGTATGGTGTCCAGCGCGTACTCTCGGTTTCGGTAATCGGTGGAGGAGGGCGTCGTTCGTGGTATATCCTAGGGTTCTACTATTCAGTAATCGAAATATATGTCACATCACACGGAAACAATATTACCGTGGAGCAGTAGTTGAGGTCATCACAAGGCAGATCGACATCGTGGTCCGTATCATATATCGACGTAATGAAGTCGTAGCGAATAACGGAAAAGTTCTGGTCGGACAAATAAAGCATCCACCATGTCCGCCTCCAGCTCTCGGCGAGCACGGGGTCGCTCTCGGCGGCCACATCGGCGAAAGCTTTGGTGTTCATGCCGATCAGCCTGGCTTGCTCAATCGCCTTTGCCAGAAGCGCTTCGGAGGCAGCTCGTTCGGCACACATGCTCTTGGTCAGTGCCATTAATAACGTCGTTTGAACTACGAATCCATCCACCACATCAACAAGTTGCTCGTCTAGCATGTTCTCTCTTTGCGAGGAAGACTCCCCGTAAGATGAACCAATATATTGCATGACGGCGAGCAGTGCTCGCAGGCTGGAGCATCCTGATGCTAGCTTCGCTTGAAGATTGTGCCTCGGTAGAACGAAGGGATGGCTGCGATGAAAGTATTCGTAGTATAAGTCTAACAGGGTGTTGTCCGCGCCCATGCTGTTTTCAACTTCGATGGCCGAGGCGAGTGGTACCTGGGTTGGAGTGAAGATTGAGGAGTGGTCTTCTTCGAGTACGGATGCACGTGTATCGGACGGTGTCAGCGCCTGAGAGGCAAGGCATGATATTGTGGGCTGCTTTCTCCTGGATTGCACGGCCTTGTATCTACTCAAAGTGTTAGGTTATACTGTATCGACAGAACACCAAATATAAACAGTAAACAGCCCTTATGAAGATGACGCCGGAAGCAAACCAAAATGTACCAAAGCTAGACCCCGAAAGTCACAAGTCATAACCTAAACCGACTTCCCCGAAAACGAAACCAGAGCATGCCGAGACTCCGTCAAAGGCCACAATCCCTGAGCAAAACCAACCGCCCCAGCAACAAGAAGCACATAATAAGCAACCGTCCACCCAATACCCAATCCACCACCGTTACCGCTGACCCCAATTTTGACATCATCAGAATCCTCTTTACCCCGAGTCATAGGAGGACCAATAGTCTCACCCGCCTCAACCCGTCCCCAGAACCGCGGCAATCCACACCAGTTACAGAAACTATGGATGAGAACCACGGACAGCAACGAGCCCGTCCGTAAATACACGAACGTCGCATACCAGCCGAAAATAGTGGTGTAGCCGAACTGGAAGAGTGACCGCAGCAGCGCAGCTATAGCTGGCGTATCTGGGTGCGTGAGACCGAACTCGTAGAAGTGGTGCACGTGCGCGATGCCGAAATACAGCGGCGCCAGGAACACGATTCGGCCCGGCGAGGTGTGTGCTAGTAAATGTAGCGGGACCATCGCGGATCGGAACATGACTTCTTCGGTGAAGGGGCCCTGGGTGATATTAGATTTGTTTGTTTGATACAAAAAGGACAGAAAAGGAAAAAGGAAGTGCTTACCGCGACATAATTCCTCCAACCAATCCAGCCACCCAGACATTCGGACAGACTACTACGACGGAACCAGAACTTCCATTCGCCCTCGACAATGCCACGCTCAAAGAGCGGACCGATGAATAGAATGGCGGTTAGGAGAAGACTGCGAAGGGTCTCTAGCAGGCCGACGGGCCACCAGCCGAGGAGTCTGGCACCGGCATTGAGGGAGGAATTATCCTCTTCGACGATGAACCAGAGGACCAGGACGGAACTCACGATACATGAGCCCGTGACGGCGCGGATGCGGGCGCGGATCACGGACGGGGCATCGCGACTGAGACTTGGGGATGGGCGGGTTGTTGGGGAGAGGTAGAATGGGACCACGTAGAGTAGTGTGAGGAGGACCTATATGGGAGTTAGATAGGATTTAGAGATATAAGTTTTTTTTTTTTTTTTTTTTTTCTTCTTTTCTGATGTTTCTAGGAGTTCTACATACAGATAGAAAAGCGACCGTGTGCTCTGACAAGGCAGGTTCATCTGGTTTCGTGTTAGTTGGGATATTTCTTTTTTAGATTTACCCCTGACCTACCCTGCTTGGAGTATAGACTCCTGAGCTGAGCCATTATCCCTAGAGGTGCCATGATCGGAGGAGGTTCAAGTTGCTATTTATGGATTTTTCAGATGAGAAGAGAAAAAAGGGATGACTTGGTTTCTTTGTTCCTGATACCGTACAATTTGACAGGTGATGATTGGATGGAAATGGTATAATACAGTATGGTACTGTCATCACACACTTCAATGTTAATTTGTTGCGATTGTTCTTTTCTTTTCTTCTTTTCCTCTTCTCTCCCTTTTGATATTGATTCTATATATATATATAGATATATATCCTCGAACAGTATCTAAGAAATGAACAGGGGTTCATTAAAAAAGCAAAACTCGATTCGAACTGGTGGACCGTGCAAAAGAAAAAAAACAAAAAAAAAAAAACAGGATGTGAGCTCTCTCATCCCAACCCCCTTGAGTCTCTTCTCATCTCAAATGTAAGTCAATGCGAGGGATCGTGGACGGTTATTCTCCGATCACGAGGGAAGCAAAGATCTATTGGCAATGAGCATATGATTATTGTTCTGTTCTGCCCGTTCTGTCAGGGAGATGGGCTATTAACTAGTGGCAGTTCATCACTGACAACGCACACCAGCTCCACTTAAAACAGGGCGATTAAATAAGGAAAGATGTTTCAAGGAGTCAAGTGTGGCTCTGGCCGGATACTCCATTAATTAAGGATTTATAGGACTAATAGGATAGGATTTATATATATATATTAAAGATGATAGCCGAGTATAGAGGAAATATCAACACAGTCCAAATACAAGAACAAGAACAAGAACAACCACCACCACCACAATCAAGAAGCAAAAAAGAAAAGAAAAAATCAATTGCATGAATTGCATGAATTGCTATTCCAATTGACCAGTACTTTTGATTTAGGCCAATCGTTAAGAGCCACAACTGTCAATCCCCTGCATCCCACGGTCTAAGATCTCACTTGCTTAGACGCTCACCGACAAAATTCCTCCCTTCCCCCAAGTTGTCTCACCTTCCTTCTGTGACTTTTGCTTTCTTTACTTCTCGTTCTGTGCTTTTTGGTCCCTTTTTTTTGTCCTTTTTTTGTTTTGAAACGTTTTAATGATTGTTTTCCTGCCAGTCACTCTTTTAATGGCCTTGGATGTTTGAAACGAACTAATCTCTGACGAACCTACGCTCTTTTTTTTGATGAATATCAGCCTATACAATCCTTGATATCCAGGGTCACCACATTCCTTACCTCGAATACTCGAATACTCGGAAAAACAAAACAAATCCACTCATTTTTGACATCTTGTTTACCAATTTTGGTTCGACAATCGCCTTCGACTTCGCTTGTGCTTTTCGATCTTTTCAATCAATGCTCTTAAGGGTCTCCAAATAATGTCTTTTCCCGTTCGGTCGACCTCGCCGCGCGCGCGAAGGGCATTACACGAGCGTACTCCCTCTCACACAAACGAAAAATCACCAACCCAGTCATTACGCATGGTTCCGGATGAAGACCTCGATATGTACACCGCTACCCCATTCCCAACCAAGCCCGAGCAGATTCTGTTGCCGCTCCCCGGCAGACAACAACAATACATATCAGACACCGGTTTCAGCTATTCAGATCACCACCTTGGACCATCCACGTCGGCGTATTCCCCACCGACCTTCAGCCAACCTGCACCCAACAGCCCCAGAGATCACTCAATTGGTAGCTGGGATGTGTCCTCCACCGTGGATACCGGTAACTCACCTCCGCAGTTGTGGGATGATGACCCATCCTCGAGCAAGTCATCGCTGCCAGACGTTTCGGGAAAAGCACCAGACTATGGATCCGAGAGTTCAGAAGCCGAGTTCTCCGACGACGATATGATGGTCTTGCCGACGACCACCCCAACGATAAAAGCCGTAGTCTCCGAGCCATCTATGTCGCCAAAGTCCTCTGCCGAGTCCGTAACGGACTACTCCAGTCCTATTCTCGAACAAATTGGGGCCCCATCAAGCCCCAACTTTGTTATGCTGGATAACTCGAGCATGAACTTCCACCGTCCGGCTACAGCATCCTCGGAGTCAGACCCGCGAACGAATTCACTCTCTTCATATAACTCCCGAGGAACCGTCGTCAGACACGTCGGCTCTGCACCCTGGTTCCAAAACGCCTTCCAACCAGCCTCATCCGAGCAATCCTATGGATCCCCGTCATTCCACTCCAGTCCGCCCGCTCAGTCTATAGCCTCATTCCACTCGAGCCCGCTGGCCCAATCCATAGCCTCGTTCCACTCATCATCCAGGGCACCATCAGGCGGCCGTTCTCAATCAGCAACATCATCTTCTCGCAGTCTCCGCTCCGCTTCTGACTTGCAGGCAGCCATCGACAATGGAGTTCCTATTCAATACCCACGTATTCGCGCGCCATCATCTTCAAGCTCCCGCGCCGGTACATCAGCTCCATCAGAACGCGACTTCACCCCTGGTCCTGCCTCCGGACGTTGCAATCCTCACCTGGCATCAGGACGCTGGAACCCGCATCTCTCAACAGTCTCGTCCATCTGGTCCGCCGACGAATCAACCAATCTCGCCGGAGAACCAGACACAGACTCAGACCGCGAAATGGCAGAGCCAACCCCACCGCCACAAGCAGCCTTAGCAACAGAAAACACCAGGTCCTCCGTCTGGCTCGTCAACCCGTCAAACGACAGCGAAGACGAACGTCTCGACAGCCTAACCAAACTCCCCACCCGCCCAATCTTCTCCCAAAGCCTCTCCTCGGGTTCGAAACGGAGCAACAGCACCCGCAGCCTCCAACGCCCAGGAACAGGTTCAAGCACAATCCTCAACATCCTCCCAACATGGGCAAAAGTCTACTACCTCCGCGAACCAATGGGTCTAAACTCCACTCTCTCAATGATCGACCCTAGTCGTCCACCATCAACCAGACCCGGAACTTCAAACTCCAGCGTCTTCAATTTAGTCCCAGGCCCCCTCAACATCCCCCATCCCCGCTCCCCAGAACATACCCGTTCTCCCTCCCCAGCACGTTCTCCCTCCCCACAACGCAATCCCCAACCAATCCCCCAACGTCGGCTGGAAAGTGACCCCCGCGATCCACGCGCCCACTGGGTTCCATCTCCCCAACCCGAAGACGGCGAGTTCACCGGCAGCCATCTCCACCGTCTCCGACACAGCTGGTCACCACATCTCATACCCGACCGACGTGTCCTACAACGCTCGACAAGTAGGTGGCGTCCGCCCTCACTCGACTCGCGCCACGAGCCTGTTCTCGGCCGTCGAAATATACAGGTCTATTCGTTCTGTCTGGGATTTATTTTCCCGCCTGCCTGGTGTGTTGCAGCGTTCCTGCCCCTGCCGCCTAAACCGAAGGTTGCGCAGATGGTTGAGTTCGAGGTTGCGTCGGATGTTGGTAATGCGCTCGAGGCTCAGTGTGTGAATTTGCAGCAGAGGAGGAGGGATAATGCACGTTGGTGGAGGAATCTTAATCGATGGATGATTTCTCTCGGGGTGGTTATTCTGGTTATTATTATTGTGCTTGCTGTTATTGGCACTACCTCGGGCTTTTAGGGCTTTTATTTACACAGCGATCTTTCTTTTTACGCTTTTACGACTTGGGGTTTTTCCCTTTCATCATTTGACACTATCTTTGATGCTTTTCTTTTTCTTCTTTTTCTTCTTCTTTTCCCCTTGGTGGTTGAACTCCCCCATACCAGTCGACTGGTTTCTTTTCTCTTTGCCCTTCTCGGATCCTGCAGACACTTTCTCCTTACTGCGATCTCTTCTCTTTGATTATTGACTATTCAGCCTTCCCCCCTTTGCTCTTCTTCTACTTTTTGATTCTTTCTCTTCTCGGCTTGCACATTTGTTCTGAACGACTCCACGACTTCAACGCACATAAATATCCTCTTCTGTTTTACATTTTTCTGCTTTCAACATTGGCCTACTGACCTGTGGTTTCATATGTTTGCTGGAATTGCGTTTCTATGCATGGCGACTGCCTTGGTTTGCATTGCTATACATCAGCGTAATGGATATATGTTTCTTGTTGTTATATTTGCCTTTTATTTGATTGACTCCAAATATTGAATCTGGTTTTACCACATATATATATATACACATAGTTATGTACTCAACTGTATGGAAAGTAATAGTAATCGAACCAAAGCTTGCTATTTCCTGCGCAAACCATCTATAGACACCTCAAACCTAGACGAGACCAATCTCGACCAAGTCACCACTATTAAATAGAATAAACACGAAACATTCCTAATTATCTGTTCTATAAAGCCGATTCAACGGCTATTCAATCCCCCCTCTGTTCAATGAATCCACCACTCGCACAGTTCGCAAACCAAAACTGCCAACTCCCACCTACAACTTCCGCCCAATCTTCTGCTCGACTGCAGCCTTCAAGTCCTCACCCGTAGGCATCTTAACCGTACTTCCCCGTCTACCACGGGACTCAATCTCGGCCTTGATCTCAGCAACAGCCTCGTCAAAGTCACGCTCGGGATCATTCGGCAAGCCGAGGACAGGCGGGCGCACGGACTCGGTGCTAGCCGTACGAGCGACGTGGGGACGGTTGCGGCTCTTCAGCTGCGAGACGAGGTATTTTCTAAGTGGAGAGAACGAGGCGAAGGCGACTAGGGAGACGGCGCAGTTGACGATACCGTAGAAGTAGACCCGGGACCAGACGGTGACGGACTTGTCGAAATTGAGGATGATGAAGGGGATGACGGTGAAGGAGAGGGTTAGCTGTGTTGCTAGCCAGCTAAGGATGTCATAGTAGCGCTTGTTTGCGGTGGGTTTGGTGCCGTCCGGTGTGAGGAAGAAGGGGCGCACGTAGCGGCGGAAGTCTATTGTGTGGTTAGTTATGGGAGGAGGGATTGGTCGATGGAGACGTCTTGGTGCTTACTCTTTGCCACGGTCTGAACGAATGAGCCCAGTACAAAGGTCATGTAGTATCCTGGGTGGAAACCGTGCCAGAGGGCACTGGTAGCGAAAGTAGCCATGCTGGCGCGGAAGCCGGGCTTCTTGCCCTTGGGCGTGACACGGAGGTAGATGTAATTGCGCAACCAGTGGTTGGTGTTCTTGTTCCAGTTGCCCAGGTATGCGTGCGAGTTTTGCGCAGTCTCCATAGCCCACGGATCGACGTTCTGGAGTCGGTTCCAGAAAACCTTGCCTGTTTTCGGGTCGAAGCTGTTGTATCCCATGCCGGATAGAATACAGGCACCCTCAGTCAGAGCCCAGACACCGTAGTATTTGGTGCGAGCAGTGAAACCAAGCATGTGTACGGTGAAAATGCGACGCAGGAGGGAATACTGCAAGAACTCGTCTGAAAGTACAAAGTCGGTGGTAAAGTATGAGCTCAACTGGATGAACGCGAAGATCCAGACCAGTCCGGCGACGGCCTTCATTGCGGCAGGTCTTCCACTGCGAGGGATCTTGCGCTTCTTTCTGGTGGGTGGCACCTTGGATGGGTCAGTGCCCGGGGGGACTTCGAAGAGCGTAGTATCGATCCAACGGCGGTAGTCCACATATTCAAAGGAAGGACCAGCGAAGAGAGAAGGGAAGAAAAAGACGTAACCCAGATAGTCTATAATACCCGGGAACTTCGTAATAGCAGAGTATTTCTGCGGATCCGAGAGTTGGTCCTTGGGCAGACGGCCGTCATGGACATTCCAGCAGAAGGAGGTAAGTTTCATGACCATGACCATCTGCGCTCCAGTAATGTCAACGGCCGATTTGTCGTCCGCCCTCTGACGCTCAATGTGGTTGATTGACATGTGACCCATCAAGTAAACGAACCCAATCCACGGCATCAATGATCCATCTACGTAGTAGGCAATCGCATAGGTGGCTGCGGCACTGTATAGTAGGGTGCGTAGACCATCCCAGAGGTCAAAGAGTCCAACAATATAGAACAGCGACACGGCGATAATAAAGACATTCTTTTTCCAGGGTTGGCCATCGGGGATACGTTTGAGGAGGGCGGCCAGTGGGTAGGAGAGGAGGAATGAGCCGATCAGCTTGACTGGAGCTGGAGGTCAGAAATTGCTAGTAATGTCGGGAGCTTATAGAAATGGAAGATCGTACGCTCATCAGTTGATGCGCCAGTCAATTGAGCTGGTACCTCAAATACTGCAAGAAGAAGAGTGTTAGTTGAACCGAGGAGCTTTGAGAGAGCTTTGTAGGAAGTAGACATACTCTGATCTACATAAGGCAACATATTGTTGACCTTGTAGAGGAGAAAACAGACAAAACAAGAAGAAGAATCAAAAAATCAGACGAGAGTTGAAGAAAAGAAAGAAAAAAAGGTGAAGAAGAGGAAAAGACAAGAAAAACAGCTTGTCATGTGGAAAGTTGAATTTCCACTCCCCCAACAACTTCCCGCCCTCTCCACATTCAACCCTTCGATCTTCAACAGCTTCAATAGCTTCAACAACTTCAATAACTTCAATCAGGATCTAATATAATACGTTGAGAACTTAATTCCTGAAATCTCACCCCCACCATGGACGTCGTTGCGGCAGCCTCGGGGTACATCTCCAAGATGGTCACCGTGGGTGAGTCCGCAGGAGCGTCGTCATCCAAGATGAAGATCTTGCTTCTTGATAGTGAGACAGTGGGTGATTTTACCTAGCTAACAAAATAATCATCTAGATCGCTAACTCCTATCGTGATAGGTTCCTATTGTTTCGACCGCAATTACCCAATCCGCCCTCCTGAATCATGAGGTCTACCTCATCGACCGTTTAGACAATGCCGCGCGCGAGAAGATGCGACATCTACGATGCCTGTGCTTTGTGCGCCCATCACCCACCTCTATCCAGTTTTTGATCGACGAGCTTCGAGAACCCAAATATGGAGAATATTACATCTATCTTAGCAACATTATCCGCAAATCCGCCCTCGAGCGGCTTGCCGAAGCGGACAGCCACGAGGTCGTCCAGTCGGTCCAGGAACAGTTCGCCGATTTCCTCGTAATCAACCCGGACCTCTGCTCTTTAGGGATGGGTTTTCCATTGCAACGGATCTGGAGCCATTCGCCGGACTTATGGAATCCGGATTCACTACAAAGAGCCACCGAGGGGGTCCTAGCTCTGCTTCTCGCCTTAAAGAAAAATCCACTTATTCGCTACGAGAAGAACAGTCTATTGGCCCGGAAATTAGCGACGGAGGTCCGATACCACATCACGCAGGAGGAGCAGCTATTTAACTTCCGCCGGACGGATACACCGCCTATCCTGCTCGTTCTTGACCGCCGCGATGATCCTATCACCCCGTTGCTGACTCAATGGACATACCAGGCGATGGTACACGAGATGCTTGGCATCAACAATGGCCGCGTGGATCTGCAGGATGTGCCAGATATCCGACCAGAACTGAAAGAGGTTGTCTTGGCTCAGGACCAGGACCCATTCTTCAAGAAGAATATGTATCAGAACTTTGGTGATCTGGGCCAGAACATTAAAGAATATGTGGAGCAGTATCAAACCAAAACTCAAAGCACTGCGAATATCGAATCCATTGCGGACATGAAACGTTTTGTGGAGGATTATCCCGAATTCCGCAAGCTGGCAGGTAATGTCAGCAAGCATGTTACCCTGGTGGGCGAACTCAGTCGGCGTGTCGGCGAGAATACCCTCCTCGATGTGAGCGAGTTGGAGCAGAGCCTGGCATGCAATGATAACCACTCCAATGATCTTAGGGTATGTTCAAATGTGAAGAAACTAAATTTGCTTTTCTCACGAACTCACTCTTCCCTAGTCACTACAACGAATCATCGCGCTGCCAAATGTGCCCTCAGATAATAAGCTGCGTCTGGTGGCTCTCTACGCCCTTCGCTATGAGAAGCAACCCAATAACGCGCTGCCAATTCTCCTTGATCTTCTTGTCACAGCAGGCGAAGTCTCCTCTAACCGCGTAAATATTATCCCCAAGCTCCTCGCCTATCACCACTCCCTCCAAGCCCCACCAGTCGCAGGTGGGTTCTCCGACCTCTTCGAATCAACCTCCTTCTTCTCTGGCGCAAGCAGCCGCTTCAAGGGCCTTAAAGGTGTTGAGAACGTCTACACACAACACTCTCCCCCGTCTGGAAGTTACTCTCCAGAATCTCATCAAAGGCCGCCTGAAGGAACTGCAATACCCCTTCCTCGAGGGCAGCGGACACACGCGGGACAAGCCGCAAGACATCATCATCTTTATGGTTGGCGGCACCACGTATGAGGAGGCCAAGATGGTAGCGCAGGTCAATGCCAGCTCCCCGGGAGTGCGAGTCGTTCTCGGCGGCACTTCAATTCACAATAGTGCCACCTTTTTGGAAGAGGTTGACGATGCAGTGGGTAGTTGGCCCGAACCAGGACCCTCGACGGCTGCGGGACGGCTGCGACGGGAGGTGGGACGATAATTGTGTGTAGCTTGTGTGTATATGGGTAATGGAATAGCATTGTATCAAGTAAATCCTGCAAATGAGAAGTCAATTCTATAAGAAAAAAAGAAAGAAAAAAGAAAATAGCTGACGGCAACTTATTTTCGCATTTGTCGCTGTTGCCTTCCGTAGAGAGTGAAGACCCCCATATCAAAATGCGGAGAGATTCATCTTTCCTCTTTTCTCCCCACATATCTGCCGGCCACACCTCAATGGAGCAAACATCCCCAAAAGGAGGACTTTCCTCACCATCACGCGAACCAAGACTCCATCTCCCTTCAACAGCCGATCCACCAGGTCCCCAAAATCCCGCCAAACCCCTCGTATGGCTGGTATACCTCCCCCAACCCCCACCAACATAAAAAAGCCCACCCAAACACAACCTAACACACACCCCTCCAGATCTTCGGTGCAACAGGGCACATGGGCCGTTCCCTAGTAAAAACCGCCCTTGGCAATAACGACCTCGTAGCAGCCGTCGGACGCACCTACGAGAATAGCCCAGCAGCAATGAAAGAGCTCGAATCCCCCAACTGCATCGGGCTACTATGCGACGTACGAGCACGCGAGACCGTAAAACGCGTAATCGACCAAACAATATCGCACTTCGGCCGAATCGACATAATCGCCAATTGCTCCGGCTACGGCGTCATCGGCGCCTGCGAAGACCAAGATGAATTCGACATCCGAAACCAATTCGAAACAAACTTCACAGGAACACTGAACATGATCCAGCTATCTTTACCGCATTTCCGTCACCGTCGCGCAGGCAGATATCTCATCTTCAGCTCGACCTCTGGTGCTCTCGGCGTGCCGGGGCTCGGCCCATACTGTGCTTCCAAATATGCCGTCGAGGGCTTGATGGAGAGTATGTTGTACGAAGTGGATAGCTTTAATATTAAGGGTACCCTTGTTGAACCGGGTCATATGCGTCGGGATGATATCGCGGATTTGGTTTCGCCGCAGGTGCCCAACCCTTCGGAACATCGGCTTTCTGCGCCTTTGCCGCTTTACGGTCATTTCTTGGTTAAGCCGCCCAGTGAGCCGTATAATACGACTACGTCGCCTGCGGCACATGCCCGCCGCATGCTTATGTGGCTTGGTGATAAGCAGCCGGCTAGTGCTGTTAAGGCGGCGCATTTGGTTTGGCAGCTTGGGCATTGCTCTTATCCGCCTCTGAGGTTGATTTTGGGTACATATGCGGTTGAGAGTGTGCGGGATCGGTTGAAGTGTATTATTGAGGAGATTGAGGATTGGAAATATCTTAGTTTCCCCGTGGGTGATGCACAGTTGCCGGTTAGAAGTGAGCGTGAAAGGTCTTCGTTTCAGGAGGGGACTGAAGGGGGAGTGAATTGGGTAATGGGTGATTCTGTTGGAATATTTTCAATGTCTTATATGTTATATGATACCCAATATGATACATGACCTGGGAAAAGGGGTGGAGGGTATTACTTTGAGCAAGCGAGAAGAGAAATCTCTATATAATATCACAAATAATATACAAATCTATCCAAGATGGTAATACAAATCCCACATCACCAACATTGAATGTATAGAAAGGGGGAAATCAGAAAACAACATTAACAAGTTTACCCCCCTTAACAACAATAACCCGCCGTCTCTTCTCCCAATCATTCTTCTCCTGAAGCCACGACTTCCCCTCAGCAGTCTCCAACACCCGACTAACAATCCAATCCTGTTCTTCCTGCGAAGGGGCATTCTTGCCCTGCGATGCTGTCGCTGACTCCATGCGCGGAATTGTTACCGCACAGCGGAGCTTTCCGTTGATCTGGACGGCGACCGTTTGACCGCCGCGAGAGGAGAGGGTTTCGGCTTGGTCTGGTGTGAGGAGGGTACTGGGCCAGGGTGATGAAAGGACCGATGGTACCGGTGTGGTAGAGCTATTTGTGGTTGCGTGTAGCACTTCCCATGATTCAGAGGCTAAGGCTGGGGCGATGGGGGCTAGTAGACGGAGGAGGGATGAGATGGATAGGTATAGAATGAGAGGGGAGGAGGCGGGGGTTGAGGCCAGGGTATTGGTCAGCTTGGTTAGGTCTGAGATAACTGTATTTAGACCGTAGGGGTTGCTTTCGATGCAGGTTGTGACGGATGCGATGGTGTTGTGGGTGGCTAGGACTGCGTCTGCGTCGGAGTCGCTTATATCCTGGAGTGATGATGGGAGGGGAGCGGCATGGGTAGTGAATGATTTCAGGTCTGCTTCCGAGACGGAGAATGATGCCTCCGTCAGGGTCTGCTGGGTGTCTTGGACAAGTTTCCAGAGTCGGTTGAACCAGCGCTCGACGCCGACGACCTTGGTTTCGTCCCATTCTAGAACCTCGCTGACTGGTGCGGAGAATAGGATGTGTGCGCGAGTAGCATCGGCGCCATACTTTGATGTGGTGGTTGTAGGGTCCACGCCGTTGTACTTGCTCTTGGACATCTTTTCGAAGGAGATACTAGGGGCGACTTGGGTTCCCTTTATCAAAGGCTTGTCTGGATTGGTCAGGTCAACTTCCGCCGGAAGAAGGAAGCGGCCGGTCGAGGGCTCAGTGAAGGTCTTTCCGTGGACCATACCCTGGCTGAGAAGCACTTTGAACGGCTCTGCGGGCGCAGTAGAGTTCTTATTTGGGCTCAGCTCAGACTGAGAGAGGAATTTGTAGATGAATCGAGCGTAGAGAAGATGCAGAATGGCATGCTCAACACCACCGATGTACACATCCACTGGTTGCATCACTGCAGGAGAGAATGGAGATTCCTTGTTAGCAGAGTCCAAGAACCGCAAGAAATACCAAGACGAGTCCACGAAGGTGTCCATGGTATCTGTGTCACGTCGAGCGGGACCATTGCAACTGGGGCATTTTGTGTGCAGCCATTCTTCTGAGGATTCCAGGGGGTTTCCCTTCTTTCCCTTAAGCCACTCTCCCTCGATCTTCGGCAGCTGCACTGGAAGATCCTTGTCGGGCACCGGCACAGGGCCACAGTCCCCGCAGTGGATAATGGGAATGGGTGCACCCCAATATCGCTGGCGACTGATCAACCAATCCCGTAGGCGCCAGCTCTCGACGAAAGCAGCCTGGCCGACCTGCTCCAGATCCTTGACAATCAGTTTTGATGCCTCCTTGGAGTGTAACCCTTGGTACTTTCCGCAGCGCGAGGTCAGGAATCCCTCTTGAGTGAAAGCCTTTGTTTCTGACGGAATAACACTGCTGTTTGTCTCATTGCCACTTGGCTCAGCCTCAATAACAATAGGGATCGAGTCGGTGTTGATATTTTCCTTAAAGAACATCATGTCCCTGGTATCATGGCCCGGAACACCCATGACTGCTCCCTCGCCATAGTCGCTAAGAACGTAAGGAGCCACAAAAACAGGAAGCTTCCTGAGCAAGTGGGGGGTTTCTGTATCGATACTGCATAATGGATGAGACACCTCAATGTCGGACAGCCGGTATCCTGCTTTGGAGTCTGGTGCAAGCGACGATGCATCACTCAGAAATGTGCGAAGCGCCCCGTCTTCCTCCGCGGCCTTCAACACAATAGGGTGATTCAACGAGAGTGCCAAATACTCCACACCATACAAAGTGTCCGGCCGGGTAGTGAATACATTCACATCCACTTGGGCATCCCGTCCGATGGTCACAGGGAATGTAACCTTGGCACCATAAGACTTCCCAAGCCAATTGCGTTGCATCGACAGGACACGCTCCGGCCATCCCCCGGCAAGAGAATCAAGGTCTTTCAGAAGTGCTTCCTTGAAATCAGTGATCTTAAAGAACCACTGCTTTAAGTTCAGCTTCTCAACCTTAGCCCCAGACCTCCAAGAGAATCCATTGGCATCGACCTGAACAAAAAATCAGATCAAATCAAAAGTTCACCCTCTGATCCCGACTCACCTGCTCATTTGCCAAAACAGTCTTATCAACAGGATCATAATTGACCAAGGCTTCCGCCTGATACGCCAAATTCTTTTGATATAACATCAAAAAGATGCGCTGAGTATGCTCATAGAAATCCGGGGAGCACGTAGCCAGTTCCTAGCAATAAGTATCAATTAGCCATCCATGCCGACCAAACCCGCTGGATCCAAGTAACCAACACCAACATACCCGATCCCAATCAAACTCCGCCGAAATACACCTCAACTGCTCCTTCATCTTCGAAATATTCGCCTGCGTCCACACCGCAGGATCAATTCCTCTCTCAATCGCCGCGTTCTCCGCCGGCAGTCCAAATGCATCCCACCCCATAGGATGGACCACATCATGCCCGCGCATTTTATAGAACCGCGAGATCACATCGGAGATCGTATATACGCGCAAATGGCCCATATGTAGCGTGCCGGACGGGTATGGGAACATGGATAGGATGTAGGATTTGGGTTTCTCTGTTGTGTTGGGTGTTAGGTGCGGCGCCCCACGGTCGCTTTCCCATTTTGCGTGCCATTTTTTGTCGAGTGCTGGCAGGTCCAGTCGGCGGGTCGAGGTGCTGGATAGTCGGGTTAGGGTGTAGACTGGTGAGAGGGCTCGGAGGGTTGGACGCGCGTGAATGCGGCCAGGCGCGATGGCGCTGGTTAATCGGAGTCGGGAGAGGGATTGCATAGCTAGCCGATCATTATGTGGCTGATATGTTTGGAAATTGGAGAGTATTAATTGGAGTAATTGGCCATGTCTGCGATTTGAAGGTGTGACTTGTCTCTCTCACTTGCGCATCTTCAAAACTTCCCCGGAGCCTAGGTAGCTTTAGTCCCGATTTGGACTAGCGCACCAGCACTTATATACTTCCAAGGTTTGGACATTGTAGAGATTGGAAGATGTCGAGGTCCTTTAGTATATCTGTAAGGCATTGATTTTTTTTTATGTTCAATGAATATGCAATCGCTATACACCATACACACTACTCTATTCTAAGTCTATATCCTCAAAATATCACCGCTCCTGTCAACGCCACCACGGAAATGATCCGTAACCACTTTCCCGCCGAGAATAGTCTCCTCGACAAGCCCCTCCACATGCTTGGGTTCAATGCGGCCGTACCAAATCCCCTTACCCGCCAGCGGGTGAGGCTCTGAGTAATTTCCCACAGTCATCTTCGGCGGGATATAAACAATCACATTGCCTGCGTATTTATGTCCTCCAACATGACTGATCAGACCAATATTAGCATGATTGGGGCCATCCACCGTGGTCCCATCACTGTCCGCGGAGGTGAATCCTCGCGCTTGCAACACCCGCTTGAACTCGCTTTCCAAGGCGGGGGGCCATGACACCACAGCGCATGTCGCGACCTCCATGTCCGCATATCAACACTGTCGGGGAGTGGTTGATGTCGATTACTCCCGGGAAGTTTGATGTTAGGTCCGGAGATCGCGTCATGTCTGCTTGTTTGGCTGCGGGGAGAGAGGAGTGCATGTCGTGGAGTCGTTCGGGGAGGAGATATGCGCGTACGAAGGTTGTTAGATCGGTTGTTTGGTCGGGCGATGAGGCTGAGTTCACGGGTATTGAGGGGATGTACTTGAAGCTGGGGAAGAGGAATGCTGAGGCGGAGGAGGGAGAGGAGCTTGCAGCTGGGGCAATAGATGAATTCGTAACCAAGACATTGTTGAAAGGCTAGAGTGAGGAGACCTCGTATTAGCAAGAGTTCGCGCATCCATCATCGGGCTATATGATCCACTCACATCAAGATATGGCCCGCCACGACCTAGCAGGGTCTTCAGCCCTCTCACGAGGTTGCCCCAGCCTTTATTTTCACCATCATCCTCAATGCGACTCGTCCAGTCTGGCTGTCCGGTGCAGATGAGAAGCTGCTGCGTGTAGGCAGCCATCGTTCCATTCAAGACTTGTTCATGATCGATCGGTAACCCCTCCGGCAGGGCGGGCGTGGGTGGACAATTGCAACTTGGTTCGGGGCATGTCTTGGTAACAGGGAAGGGAGGGGGGATTTCTAGGCGTGCGCGGAGTCTGCTGCTGCGCTGGGGGGTACTGGACAGTAGACGGATATTTTGGCAGTTGCGATAGGTTCGCCCGCTCCAGGCGCGCGTGAGCGATTGCGCGAGTATTGGTTGCATTAAATGTTATGGCCTTGTATGAGTTGGTAGAAGGGGGTTAAATTCAAAGGACAAAAAGACACAATGTCCAGAAATTGGGAGAGAGGTGAATCTTGAAATGTCCGAGTGCCGAGTCCGACTCGGAGATTATCACTCGCGTTTGATTCGTTGGATCTGCAGATCTAAACAATTCCCAGGTTATTCTACGATAACATCTACAACATAGCTATTTCTGTATAATGTTGGCATTTGAACTTGAATGTTTGGTGAATGGGCTTCCTGTGATTTTCCATGGTATCTAATAATTCTGGTAGGCTGGTGCGCGCAGTGCATATATCTACTCGCGCAAGCCGGTCAGCTTGGTTCCTTCGCCTGTAATGATCCCAATCGGGGGTTATCAAAATCGAATATTATTCGGTAGCAAGGCTTTGCAGGTCCCAATTCTTCATTATGGAGATTGTGTTTTGCAAGCTTGTGCCAGCTGGCGATAGCACACGGAAACAGAAGTTCGGAGTCCCCCGCACTGGTCATGCGACAGTACGATATATGAATCCATATACCATGTATGCAAACTCCCAGCCAAATTTCATATTGATTTGTTTTGATCGGTTTCATTGATCGAAAATTCGAGTAGGCAATTTTGGGATCGACAGTAGGTTGGAACGATAGCTGGTAGTTATATCGTTGGCATCCCGCGAAAGTATAATGATGTATAGTCTTGTCTTCCTGCGATCGAAGGGTGTAACTATAACATTAGTCGTATCGTATAAATGCAATTCACAGATCATCGATGTTAGTTTTCCGACACCCAACGTAGGACACTACGTCGCAGCAATTGTCTCGTGATCTGCAGTCTAGTACTAACTGCGAGCAAACGTGTAGCGAAAAGAGAAATGATCGGGTCTCCGATCCAGGAGACTGGTGAATTAAAAAAAAAATCCACTCGTCCAGTTTGATTCTGGATGCGGTCATGCCTTCCGTATATTGTATGTCTATGATCTGATCCGGAAGCTCAGTGGACCCAGCGATCTCCAAAACCTCCTCGCGAGGAGACGATGTACATTACACCAGGACTACATCATGAGTTGCTCTGGAAGTAGCGGGGCCCGGAGTTGGAGAAGGTGGCACAGAGGCCGAATTTCGGCAGAAGAACGGAAATTGTTCGGCATTGGCTTCCGTAGGAAGAATACGGGGTGCTGGGGGGGGGAATTGGGGTGTTTTAGTACCTTGTGAGAAAGGATGTCGATTAAGACTGTAGGTTGGAGATGCTTGATTATTGTAATAATTTGGGAGATCAATTGGGGATGGTTCTGTATGGGCTGTATACCTTCTTGGTAGTTGGTAGTTGACCTTGGATTTACCCCTCATTATGTCAGCTCATTATGTCAGTTACCCCGCTGCGGGGTAACACAACTTTTGGTGGGCTGACAGGTTGGGGATGAGATTAGGGGATGAGAATAGTAGTAGACTACCTAGGTATTATTATAGTAGAAAGAGATATACTATGCAGTCTATGTAGTGTATGTAGTGTATGTATAAATATAGGTAACTGTATACTACAATATTAAAAAAGTGTCCCCGCACGTTCATCCCTTAAGAGTAAAATGTATGCTTAGAATAGTACAAATGTAGCAATAGAACATAGTTAACTAGTAGCTCATACATTCTACTCAAATATACATGTGGATACATGGGATACATGGGATACATGACAAGCTATGTGAGTCTAGATATGATTGGTTATGAATTGTTGAAACACCCGTGGATGAGTACAATGTTGTATTTTCTGTCCCTCGTGCGGAGAGATCTCCAAGTGGATTCCCCAGTTCAGTCCCGGCTTTCACTTACTACGTCCCATGTTACCTTTTGAGGGGATGTACAAGAACTTTGTAGAGAGAGGGGGAATATATAACCAGCTCCATTTGCTGTTCGGTCTCTTCTCATTCTATCCAAACTATCATCCATTCAACTCTTCTCTTACCTTTTTCTATACTCTACTTGTAAGTATTAACTATTCTTTTACTCCTTTTTACTATTTCCCCTTCCCTTCTATAGCCAACATCTCTTGGCCTGCAAGCTTCCCCACTTCTCCTACCTTAAGAGCTTCCCTCTTCCCTCCTGGTTTTGTCCAACGCCACATTGACCTCATCAACTGTATATAATGCGTATAACAGCCCACTGACTATTTTCTTTTTTTTTAGCAACTTCTTGAAAACATTTCATAATCCTTCACAATGGTATTTATCCGCTCTCTTTCCCGTCAATTGCGACGACCCTTCTTGAGCTCTCTCAAACCATCGGCTGCCTCCAACCCATTCACTCGGGTTTCACCTTTGGTTGGCTCTATTTCCGGTGCACGTACACTAACCGCGACTTCGAATCTTCAGGGCAAAGTTCTTTTGGTTCTTTACGATGTAAGTCATTCTCAATTCAAACTATACATACTTCGATCGCTGACTCTTGTGATATAGGGTGGTGAGCACTCCCAGCAGCAGCCTAAGCTCCTCGGTACCACCGAAAACGAGCTCGGCATCCGCAAGTGGCTCGAGGAACAGGGTCACACCCTGGTGACCACCTCCGACAAGGAGGGCGAGAACTCCACCTTTGACAAGGAGCTCGTCGATGCTGAAGTCATCATTACCACTCCGTTCGTTTTCTATCCACGCACTTCCGAAAAACTCACCACTAATAATAAACCAGCTTCCACCCCGGTTACCTCACTGCTGAGCGTCTCGCCAAGGCCAAGAAGCTCAAGCTCGCCGTCACTGCCGGTATTGGTTCCGATCATGTTGACCTGAACGCCGCCAACACCACCAACGGCGGTATCACCGTTGCGGAGGTCACCGGCTCCAACGTCGTCTCCGTCGCTGAGCACGTCGTCATGACCATCCTCCTCCTCGTCCGGAACTTCGTCCCTGCCCACGAGCAGATCAAGAACGGCGACTGGAACGTCGCTGCCGTCGCCAAGAACGAGTTCGACCTCGAGGGTAAGGTCGTCGGTACCGTCGCTGTCGGGCGTATCGGTGAGCGTGTCCTCCGCCGTCTGAAGCCCTTCGACTGCAAGGAGCTCCTCTACTACGACTACCAGCCCCTCTCCGCCGAGACCGAGAAGGAGATCGGTTGCCGTCGCGTCGACGATCTCGAGGAGATGCTTGCCCAGTGTGACGTTGTCACCATTAACTGCCCCCTGCACGAGAAGACTCGCGGTCTCTTCAACAAGGACCTCATTTCTAAGATGAAGCCCGGTGCTTGGCTCGTCAACACCGCTCGCGGTGCCATCGTTGTCAAGGAGGATGTCGCTGACGCCCTCAAGTCTGGCCACCTCCGTGGATACGGTGGTGATGTCTGGTTCCCCCAGCCCGCCCCCAAGGATCACCCTCTCCGCTACGCCGAGCACCCCTGGGGTGGCGGTAACGCTATGGTTCCCCACATGTCCGGTACCTCCATCGATGCTCAGGTCCGCTACGCCAACGGTACCAAGGACATTCTCGACAGCTACTTCTCCGGCCGTGAGGACTACCGTCCTGAGGACTTGATCGTTCACAAGGGTGGCTATGCCACCAAGGCCTACGGTCAGCGCAAGTAAAGAAAGTCCTTGCATGACGCAGTGTGAGGTATTCTCTGGCTGAGTGGCTTCCTTTTATATTTCATGTTTATATATTCATAACAGTCCCATTTGCTCCGTAGCATGGGCGATGCTGAAAAAGGTAGCATCTTTTCACGATACCAATGAATAATATTTATAACCTTTTACTTCCTTTTTTCCACTTTTGACTTACATTGACTTACATTTGAGATTTCTGTACTTTCTGTACTTTCTGTACTTTCATATGGAGTACAACGCAGAGTTGTGATGATCGGTGGAGCCATGTCGATCTCACCAGATTAATTGAGTCCAGCCCTTTGGTGGAGTCTAGAACGTGTACTCCGTAGGACATTCTTCAGGGCTAAGTATGTAGTATACACAATCCATATCAACTTCTAAATAACCCAAGTCTATCTACATACAATTCCAAAAACAAAAGAAAGGCAAAACAACTCTATTCACAAAAGTAGCCATACTCGAAACCAAACACACAAACCCAGACCATGCAGGCTTTCCAAAACATCCCTAGACAAAAACCCCAACCCCCAAGAATGCAAATATATGTATATACAAACGTGATCTTCAACAAACTCAAAGTCTCCCTCCCCGTCCATGTCCCCTCCTCTCACTCCCCTCCGAATCACTATCATCCATAAACCCCTCTTCCAAATCCCGACTCAACCGACTCTGCGTATCAGCCCGATTATCACGTCTCTGTTGTTGCAGCATACCCCGCCTCACAGAATCCATATCCATCCCAACCAAGACCTCCCCTTCCTCGTCGCCAATACTCTCCGTGTCATGGTCAGCTACATGTGCTCCCCATCGCCATCGAGAGGGAAGGAAGAAGTGCATCACTTTATCGGCTATGCGATCGCGTAGGGATAGTGTGTGTGCGGATATACTGTGTAGCGGGAGGTATTGCGAGTAGCGCTGGTGGTAGCGGCGGAAGAAGGGGATTATCACGCAGGAGGCTAGGATGTATATTGATAGTGCGATTGCGGCTGGGATGAGGATCGTCTGTTTGGGTAGGTTGGTTGTTAGTTTGGATTTTCTTTTGGTCTTAGTCGTGGACACGGTGAGTGCCCTGGAGATGACGATGATGGTGTGTGTGTGTGGTATGCGCGTCGAGATAGGGGGTTTTATGAGCGCACCTTAGCAAAGACACTTGTTGATCCCATGCTGAATGCTGGGATATTAGGCTGCGCCGAAGAGAGGATGGTAAAGTGGTGAGGGTTGAGGGGTGAAGAATTGCGGAGTTGAGGTCCGGGGGGTCCCACGGTCCTGAAGACCAACGCGTGGCAGAGGATCGGCAGATCGACAAGCGGCTCGGGATATGAGCATCGTCAACTTTTGTCTTGAAATATGCTTTTTATATATCAAATCACTCTTGTTACTTAAAATAGTATAGTATAGATAAACTACCTAAGTAGACTAACTAGACTACACATACGTAATTAACCACCTTAACTGTTTTTTTTGACCTGATCCCAAGATATTGGAAGGTCTCTGCCGATGTTGGACAGGGTACCTCGAACGGTTGCTGATAAATTCGAGGGCTTCTTTTGTTTTTGCCTCTTTCCCATTCAGTCCCTCAGTTCATCACTTGCTATCACGAATAATCAACAGCAGGAAGAGCATCTGGGCAGCTGTGACCGTGTTTATGCGCAGCATAAGATCTTCTCGCTGGCAAATCCTTCATTTCTTTTGGTCTCTCCCTTTCCTCCTTCTATCGACTTCAGCTCAGTTGCTCGAGTTTCAACTTCTTGGTTGCACTTGCAATATATATCACACCTTCCTCATTGTGACTACAAGGTGATTATTCTTCAACTAACTCTTGATAAAATGGTTGACAGTATGAGTGAATCCTAAACTTCAATACATAGATGCTTCATTACACATTCACTTTGAAACTCCGTTCATTCCAAGTCCATGCTGCTTTGGTAGACACTTCTGGGCATATCCTCCCGAGGTCCAAGTATAAGCTTACGTGATCTCGACGATCACGTGCACGGTCGGGGAGTTTCTCCGGGGCCCCCTAATATCAATAGACTGATTAAGAAGAACGCTCGGGCTTTGATCCTGGCGTCAAACTGGACTTGACATTTGCAAAAAAAAAGCTTGCATGTTAATTTCCTTTTCTCCTATTTTGCTTTCCTTGTGGGGTGAGTGCCTTGAAGAAATCCCCTTACCCCTCAGTCTCACGCGACTCCGCTGTCGCAACGGGTATACTAACTAGCCAGGGAGGGACAAAACAGAGAGCCACTTTCGCCCAATTTGAATGTCATCGCCTTCTCCCATATCCCCTGCGATCGACAGCGACTTACCGCAAATCCGGACATCCTTATTTAATACCGTTTCTAAGAGTGTTGGAGGGGTCCTTATGCTGCGCCCTGCATCATCTTAATCTCGCCCGCCAAAATGCCAAGTTCACAAGCCGACAAATCTAGGCAAATATCGAGTGGAAAGTCATTCTTCGGCCGAAAATTGTACAAAGAGAAACCGACCGAGGATCGATACGATAATTATGCTGGTTCCTATGATAGCCTGGCACCTCCGCCAAGCGCCGCCGGTTCACGCTCGTCACGCCATTCAAAGCGGTCTTCAATTCAATCCGTTGACTTGACCCATGATTTGGACCCAGGCAGTATTGCACACACCTCAGGCGTCATCACCTCTATCCCTTTTGAAAGCCTCCCCACCGATACTAGGACCCCGATTCCAATCGACAACATGGCCCGTCCGGGCTCATCGCGCCATGAGCCTTCGCCCAACCATCTGGGTAAAGCTGGAGGTGATTTCCATCAATATCCCACTGTGACCTCGACGTCTGCGCCAAATGGGTACGCTCCACATCCTTCTGGCCCTCGTCCGCCCCCCGCACGGCTCAAACAATACCTTGACCAGCAGCAACTCCGGCGATCGAGGTACCAGACAGCAACAGCAACAATGGGGACGACCAGGTAGCTCCGCAGCGAATAGCGGGCCTAACCACAACTCCTCGTCTATTGATTCGTCCTCCAACTCCCGCACCTCCCTCGACCAAGCCAGCATCTACTCCTCCGTTTCTTCGAACACGCGCGGTTCGAGCTACTTCTCCTCGGACAATTCCTCTCGCACTCTCACAACCTCGCATTCTAGTGACCGTACTACTATGCTCCCCAGCTCCAGCTCGGGGCGCTTGTCAAATGCGGGATCCTCCCACCAGGTACCCGCCGCCGTCCCCCGGCCACAAGATAACTACCTTACTCGACCGAGAGATGACCGCATTGTGGACCAGCTGTTTCTAGAGCTGATGCAGAAGCGAGGATGGCAAAATCTTCCCGAACAGGCCAAACGGCAGATGTTGTCGTACCCCGCTTCAAAGAAATGGACATTGGTACATCAGGATCGATTGACAGAGTTGCAAGGAGAGCAAAAAAGACGACAAAATGCGCGACAAACTCATGGCCATGATGGCTTGTCTGGTTTGCTTGAACGCGCCGATGAAGAAGGTAGCCCGGAGTGGTATGTGAAGAAGGTGATGGATGACACCATTACGTCCAAGCAGCTTGCTAGTTTAAGTGTCAGCTTGCGGACACAGCCAATCAGGTATGTAATGCCTCTTTTCTCGATATCGTACATATCACTAATAACTACACAGTTGGGTGAAAGCCTTTGTTGAAGCCCAAGGTCAAATTGCTTTGACCAATGTCCTCTTGAAGATCAACAGAAGAAAAGCCTCTGGTCCTGTCCCGGCTCCCCCGACAGGCGATAAGGATCTAGACCGGGAATACGATATTGCCAAATGTTTGAAAGGTCTCATGAACAACAAGTATGGCGCAGACGACGCTCTCGAGCATCAAAATGTGCTAGTGGCACTCGTCAGCTCATTATCATCGCCACGCCTGAATACTCGGAAGCTTGTCAGCGAAGTCCTCACTTTCTTGTGCCACTGGGGTGATGGACAAGGCCACCAAAAAGTTCTGCAATCCATGGACAAGGTCAAACATGATCACAACGAAACTGGTCGCTTCGATGCTTGGATGCGTATTGTTGAGGTCACCATCGACGGCCGTGGAAAGATGGGAAGTCTGGTGGGTGCCAGCGAAGAGTACCGCAGCGGAGGCATTGGCATGGAGAACCTCCTTATGGAGTACGCGGTCTCAACCATGATTCTCATCAATATGCTGGTGGATGGAGCAGAAACGGACCTCCAGCTGCGTTGCCACATTCGCGCCCAATTCACATCATGTGGAATCAAGCGTCTGTTGACGAAGATGGAGGGGTTCCAGTATGAGGTTATCGACAAGCAAATCGAGCGTTTCCGCGAGAATGAGGCTATCGATTATGAGGATCTCCTCCAGCGGGAGGGCAGCAGCATGAAGGATAGCATCGAGGGCGAAGTCAAGGACATGAGCGATCCCATGCAAATTGTCGATGCAATCACATCCAAGATCAACGGCAGCCGGTCTCATGACTACTTCCTCTCGGCTATGCAGCATATGCTCCTCATTCGGGAGAACTCCGGCGAGGAAGGGTTGCGTATGTTCCAGCTGGTTGACGCCATGCTGAGCTACGTGGCCATGGACCGGAGGCTGCCCGACCTTGATCTCCGGCAGGGTCTAACCTTCACTGTGCAGAGTCTGCTAGACCGGCTGCATACCGATGCTGAGGCAAGACGGGTCTATGACGAGTCTCTCGAGGCCCGGCAGATTGCGGAGGCTGCCATTGCTGAGCGCGATGAGATGCGAGCGCAGGTCGAGCTCGGCGCAGAAGGCTTGGTTTTGAAATTGCAAAAGCAGATTGATGAACAGGCTGGTATTATCGAGCTGCAGCAAAGGCAAAATGAATCCTTTAAGGCCGAGGTTGCAGAAGTACAACGACTGCGTGCCCAGGAATTGCAGCGTAATGAGCTGGAAACCCGAGAACTATACCTCATGCTCCGAGATGCCCAGGATATCGCCGCTGCCAATGCCCGAAAGGCCAACAATCCTGAGACGGTGGAGGTAGCAGATCCATCCCAGATGCCCGGTATCATGGACCGTGAACGACTCATGGAACGTCTGGAACGCCAGCTCGAGCGGACTAAGACCCAGTTCAAGTTGGAGGGTAAGGTCTGGGGCGAGCATGGACCATCTGATCGACTCCGTGAGCTGCGCGAGAAGATGGAAGGCGAAGATGATGATAGTGATGACTTTGCTGAAACTACCCGCCGAAACCTCGACCCTGGTGCTTTGGGATCTGTTTACCGCAAGCGCAGTCATATCCCTACAATGGACTCGACTCTGGAAGACGAGGAGGACATCCCACTAGATAGCAATGGCGAGCCGATGTACGAGAGGCCTCGTCTGGTGGAAATGCATCGTCCGCGCTTAGACCCTGCCCAGGCTACCGGCTTCCTAGGCGAGCTTGCTTCCAAGATTCCCAAGTTTGACGCTGAAGATCCCAATGCCGTTGAAGGGGAACAGGTACCCAGGCTACAAGACAATGAAGCTTCTACAAAGCCTATGCCGCCGCCTCCCCCCTCCAGGGGGCAAGATTGTTCCTCCGCTCCCGCCGGGAGTTGTGGCTCTTCCCCCACCTCCGCCGCCAGGAGGCAAGATCCTTCCACCTCCACCTCCGCCAGGGGGCTTCTCTCTTCCACCTCCACCCCCACCAGGGGGCTTTGCTCTTCCACCGCCACCTCCTCCAGGTGGAAAAGTTGGTCTGCCTCCCCCTCCGCCGCCTGGTGGAATGGCTCTCCCACCGCCGCCTCCGCCAGGTGGTGCCAAGGGTATTCCTGGATTGCCGCCTCCACCTCCGCCCCCCGGTGGAAGAGTCGGATTGCCTCCGCCGCCGCCTCCAGGTGGCGGTGGAATGATTCCACCTCCTCCCCCTATTCCTGGAGCCAAGGGCCTGATGATCCCCCCCGCCCCCACCACCAAACGCTGCCTTAGGTTCAGGCTGGCGACCGGCATACATGGCTGGAGATGTTTCGCCGTCTACAATCCACATGCCGTCCATTCGACCTAAGAAAAAGCTCAAGGCGTTGCATTGGGACAAGGTCGACACTCCTCAGGTGACTGTTTGGGCTGGTCACGCACCGACTCCTGAACAGAAGGAAGAGAAATATACCGAGCTTGCCAAGAAGGGTGTCTTGGACGAGGTTGAGCGATTGTTCATGGCCAAAGAAACGAAGATCTTCGGAGCCAGCACTGGTGCGAAGCAGCGCACTGCCAAGAAACAGATTATCTCGAACGATCTATCCAAGAACTTCCAGATTGCTCTGTCCAAGTTCTCTCAATACCCGGCCGAGGAGGTGACTCGCATGATCATCCACTGTGACAAGGATATTCTGGATAACAATGTTGTTATGGATTTCTTACAAAGAGACGAAATGTGCAGTATACCAGAAAACGTCGCCAAGCTTATGGCGCCATATAGTAAGGATTGGACGGGTCCTGGCGCCGCTACTTCCGATCGTGAACAGGACCCCTCCGAGATCACTCGCGAGGATCAAATCTATCTCTACACTGCATTTGAGCTAAATCACTACTGGAAAGCAAGAAACAGAGCGCTTGCACTGACTCGCACCTACGAACCAGAGTACGAGCACATCTCCACAAGGCTACGGGAAGTCGCACGAGTCAGCGAGTCCTTGCGGGACTCTGTTTCGTTGATGAACGTGCTCGGTCTGATTCTCGACATTGGAAACTTCATGAACGACGCCAACAAACAGGCCCAGGGTTTCAAGCTGAGCTCCCTCGCCCGGCTGGGTATGGTGAAAGATGACAAGAATGAGACTACCTTCGCCGATCTGGTCGAGCGTATCGTGCGCAACCAATACCCAGAGTGGGAGGGCTTCCTCGACGATATCAGCGGTGTTATTGGCCTGCAAAAGATTAATGTCGATCAGCTCCGCACTGACGCCAACAAGTACATTGGCAACATTAAGAACGTACAGTCGAGTTTGGACGCTGGCAACCTGAGTGACCCCAAGAGGTTCCACCCCCAGGATCGTGTCAGCCAAGTCGTCCAGCGATCGATGAAGGATGCTAGACGGAAGGCCGAGCAGCTGCAGCTTTACTTGGAAGAGATGGTGAAGGCTTATGATGATATCATGGTCTTCTACGGTGAAGACAATGCAGACGAGAACGCTAGACGAGAGTTCTTTGCTAAGTTGAGCGCGTTCTTGATCGAGTGGAAGAAATCCAGAGAGAAGAACACATCTTTGGAGGAATCCAGAAGGCGCACAGAGGCATCTCTCGCCCGCAAGCGAATTAATGTCAACCTCGCCAACAACACTCCCACCGCGGAGGCCGCGCAGTCGCCTGCCTCAAGTGGTGCTATGGACTCATTACTTGAGAAATTGCGTGCTGCAGCACCTCAAGCCAAGGATCAACGAGATCGCCGTCGTCGTGCTCGTCTAAAGGAGCGGCATACCGTCCGCGTAACGTCGGGCTCCAAGCCACCACCTGATTCGGGTGAGGCGGAAGAAGGCGAAGAGGGAGCCGAAAGCACGGCTAATGGCGAAAACAATGACGAGAACGGTCTTCTCAGCCCTCCAGCCACCGCAGATGAAGATGGCAAGGAAGCTCAAGTGTCTGAAGGCGAAGACGTTGCCGACCGTGCCGCCAGCATGCTTCTCGGTCTGAGAAGTAATTCCGATGCAGGCGGTGGCGAGCGCCAGAGACGGAGAAGAGAGAGCGCAGATGAAGAGCGTCGTAATCGCCGCATGAGACGCCGCAATCCCGCCACAAGCGGGAGCAAAGATAGCGCGGATGGCTCTAGTGGCCTTGCTACAGTTCAAGAGCCTGCTTCCCCTGAGCAGACAGACTCGATAATCCCAGAGGACCAACCACTACCTAGCCCGCCCAACGAGTCTCAGCCTCCGCCCTCGATTGTCGTATCGGAGCAAGGCGAGTCATTATCACAGGATCCCTCGATTGACGGTTCTCCTCACAAACCAACTGATTTGTCGAATTGAATCAGTCACCTACAGCTGATTTAATTTAATGTTTTATCGATTCCCATTGATGATGCATGGAGCCAACCCCAAATGGTCTCCATCGCCATCAATATCACCACTACCACTACAACCGCCTTTGATTGTATAATACCCATTCTTTACCTACACTACTTTTTGAGCCGCCCTCCTTGATTTGACGAGTCGAGCATGGTGTGATGATACCTTTCCTTGTTTCTTCTTTTCCATTTCCTCCTAACACTATCTCTTCATGTGCAATCATTATCCGATTTCTTTTCGTTATCTACTTCCCGCATACTACCCTGACACCGACACCCCGTCTCTCTCCTTGTACATAACCTCTTTCCCCTGTCTTCATCAAACGCTATCTGCCATGGAAATGTCGCCATGATTGGAGGGCGTATCATTGAATTGCATATTGAGCTTGATGTTCAATGTTTCCTGCATTGTCACCTTGTTCTTTACTTTCCTACTTTCGGAGCGCAGGCGTGATCAAGTTTTATATCTGCTGTGTATCCTTGACTACAGGCGCATTAGATGGACTGCTATTGCTTGTGCCTTTTAGGATCATTTAAATACCCGCAGTTAGACACAATCTATGTTCTATCTCTTCAATATTCCAATGTTGTCACACTTGTAGTTCGTACTCGTATCTTGTATAGTTCTTATCGATCACGTGTATATCTATCTTATCGCCAGATAAACATTGGACCAACATTTTGGACATTTGAACATTTGAACTCTCTCTCGACATCTACCAATATTTCGTTGGTTCAATCTTGCGCATGCGAGCATATCGCCGAGTACTGCGTTGGGCTTCTCCCTTCAGCACATCAACGAGCCGATCATGGCAACCGATATCAAATAGATCTTATATCCGACGTCATGGCTTTTTCTCCGAATTGCCAGGTCCCCGGCGGACTCCCGGACAAGCTCGAGCATTCTCGTCGACCAGCCCTACTAGATTCATGCTAGACGGAGACTCTACAATATATGCGCTCTCCACTGCAACCGGACGAGCAGCCATTGCAGTCGTTCGCGTATCAGGTCCCGCCTGTACCTCGGTATGGTTCCGCAAGACAACCCCAAATCACCAAATCACCAGAACTAACAACCCCAATTAGATATACAAAAGTCTCTGCCCAAACCACCCCCTCCCAAAACCCCGCTATGCATCCTTGCGTACCCTCTACGACCCAACCCAACCCCCAACCACAAACACAATCCTCGACGCCGGCGCCTTAGTCCTCTACTTCCCCTCCCCGCGAACGGCAACAGGCGAAGAAATCCTCGAACTCCACATCCACGGCGGCCCAGCAATAACAAAAGCAGTCCTCTCAGCAATCGCCCAAACAAACACCCCAGAACAAACAGTCCGCTACGCCGAACCGGGCGAATTCACCCGTCGCGCCTTCATGAACGACCGTCTAAGTCTCCCTCAAATCGAAGCCCTCGGCGACACCCTCTCCGCAGATACAGAGCAACAGCGCAGACTGGCCGTGCGTGGATCCAGCGATGCATTGCTGAACCGGTACGAGCGGTGGAGACAGGGTTTGCTATATGCGCGCGGTGAACTGGAGGCGTTGATTGATTTCTCGGAGGATCAGCATTTCGATGAGTCGACCGAGGAACTTGTTTCGTCTGTTGCGCGTCAGGTGCGCGCGCTGACCGTGCAGATCGGTTTCCATATTGCTAATGCGTCGCGTGGGGAGTTGCTTAGGAATGGCATTCGGGTTGCGTTGTTAGGTGCGCCGAATGCCGGGAAGAGCTCCTTGCTTAATCGGGTTGTTGGGAAGGAGGCGGCTATTGTTAGTACGGAGCAGGGGACTACGAGGGATATTGTTGATGTTGGGGTTGATCTTGGGGGATGGTATTGTAAGCTTGGGGATATGGCGGGGATTCGGGCTGAGAGTGGTTCTGGAGATGGTGGGAGGATTGTGATTGGGGCGGTCGAGAAAGAGGGAATTCGGAGGGCTAGAGAGAGAGCTTTGGAGTCCGATGTTGTTATTGTGGTTGTTTCGCTGGAAGATACAGCCACTGGGGTTCGGTTATTCGTTGAGCCCGAAGTGCTTGATGCTGTTAATGACTGCGTGGAGGCGGGAAAATGTCTCCTTGTAGCCATCAACAAGTACGATAAGCTACACTCCGCGTTGGAAAGTGGTGTGCCGCAGTCATTGTCTGATACGATCCACGACATCTTCCCTTCGGTCCCGATAGACCGCGTGTTTGCCATTTCTTGCGAGGAAGCCAAGCGGGGAGCATCGTCTCTCCATACCACTACAGATCCCGGGAATCTACAGGTCTTTCTACGTGGACTAATTACGACCTTTGAGCAGATTGCCTCACCCCTTGGCGTGGATGGAGATCGGGAGTATGATATTTCATATTGGGAAGATTCTCTAGGTGTCACGCATCGCCAAAGCTCCAATCTTCAAAGATGCCTTGATCATCTGGATGACTTCCTATCTCAAGCTTCTTCTGCTGGATGTTCTGATTCCTCGCACGAGAAAGAACTGGGCTCCCTTGATTCCCATGCTGAATCTGAAGTCGATATCGTCACTGCTGCGGAACATCTGCGCTTTGCGGCCGATATGTTGGCCAAGATCACAGGAAAAGGCGAGAGTGGAGATGTCGAGGATGTGTTGGGAGTTGTCTTTGAGAAGTAAGTACTGGAGGATTTTGGTCTTGGTCTTCTGGTCTGGATGGTGAGCTGACTGTCGTAGATTCTGTGTCGGCAAGTGAAGAGTCCGATTCAAGTATGACTCCAACGACGAGTTTGACCTGCAACGCTGTCTCATGATAACCTCAAGTGTTTGGCAAGAGTCGTGATATCCATTGGTTGCTGATTGCAATTGAGGCGATTGAAATGATTGCCGAGGGTGTATTGTCCATGTACATTCTGGACAGCCTAATTCTGGCCAGACAGAAGCTTGGGACACGGACGGTTGGCTGGGAAATTGTACCCTCCTCGACCCATCACAGGAGGCAGCATGATGAATGATTTAGGCAGAGATAAATGCTGGAATAGCTTCAACGTGTAGATAGGAGATGTATCGAAGAAGGAACAAGCCGATGGAATGTATGAATAGCTCGATAGAATAATAATGTATACAATGATAGAACAAGAACCACTACCGTTCCAACAACTCGATACTTATAGGAAAGCCAAAAGGACATCCTAAAATTGTCTGCCTTGGTTGCCGGGGCCCCATTCAACATCCCAGGCATCCAACGAACCCCGGGGTCATTTCCGAAACACACTCCTATTGTCCTTGTCAAAGACGCAGAGAAAGTCTGTCTAACATGAAAGATCTATCTGAGTCAGGGATCCGGATAGGGACTCTCCGTAAGGTACCTAGGCTACTTGCCGTTGTGTCTCAGTTAGGGCTATGTATCCGAGGCCGAAATATAGTAACATAGCACGCCGTAGATTATTATTACATTGAGGCTTGGAATTTATTCTTGTCGTCATGGATGCTACGGTATCATGAAGGATTCTAATGCTGAGACGAGCTTCAGCTGTTAGTCCTATAGAAATGCCGAGTTTGAGGTTGAAACATGCTTCCTAGTGGTCGATGGTTTGGGATTACGCACATTTGGGATATTTTGATCTTTCTATACTTGTGTATTTTCTTTTTATTGTTTCTTTTTTATTTTCTTTTACTATTGGTTGTATTATCTCTTTATTTTCTACTGGACTAAGATATCGGGGGGTTCAAATGTTTCAATTGTAAAACTCATGTCAGATCTAAGAATAGCGGGATAGCTGCATGGAGAATTCCCTTCTAGAAGGATTGTATAAATCCAATCAAAAATAGAAACAGAAAGAAAAGAAAGAATATCAAAGACAAAAATGCCCCGGAGAATAAAATAAGAAACCCACGTTGTGTTCGTGCAGAACTTCGTCATCCCATTACCCTGTCGTTGGGGCTGACAAGTACCTTGCATCCTTGGACTAGAATGTAACTGGACTATCTAGTAGTCCTTATTTTGCTTATAAAAGAGAATAATAGGGTCTATAATAAGCTAATAGGCTGGTAGGGGGAGTGAAGGTGGAGAGTATAGGCTGGATAACTACCGATGTCTGGTTGTGCAGGATGTGCAGGACGTGCAGGATGTGCTATGAATAGCTTCATTATCCCTGTCGATCCATATGGTTTCTTGCTGTAAGGTCTGTTTAGCTTTATTTAGTGATACTTGTACCCTGTTAAGGGTTTTGTTTAACCATGCTTTTTTGTTTTGTGTTTCTTTCATCTTTCTTTGTGTTATTCCTTTAGTTTATCTATTGTCTAAGCCTTTCCATATATATATATATATATATATATATGTATATATTTGGAAAATCATCTAAACTTAATATACAGAGTCTCATCTGGCATAGTATTCTAAGTTCTATCAATAACATACGAACTGGAAGATAAAAAGATTGGAATGTTATTTGGAGATGGAAGCTATTCTACCCATATTGCAGTATTGCAATATTGCACATCACACTTCTTCCCTATAACAAATGAAAAAGAAACCATTGATATCTTCTTTCCCTCTCTGAAACCGAACTGACCCTCAAAGTCCTTCATACCATACTAAACAGCCCACCATAATTGCAATGGCAGGTTGACATTAGTATTCATGATGAGAGAAACCTAGTAACTGACATAGTCAGAACCAGGGCACTCGTAGTACTCAATGTAAAAGTCACGGAGAGCACCGAGACACTCAGAGGGGTTGAGCAAGTAAGAGCAGGAAGGATGTTGTTCGGCATGGTTGTAGAGGTGAGAGACCTCAGGAAACTGGGCCCGGCATTGGAAGCAGAAGAAGGGATTTCGATCGGTAAGCTTGTTGCCATAGAAGCCATATTCGGGAGTCTCAAAAGCGAGGGTACGAATTCGGTCTCGCTTAACACAACGACCTTCTTCAAGGTGGTAAAGGAGACCAGAGAATCCAATCCAGTTGGTTGGACAAAACCAGCATTCATAGATTGGGAGACCCAGAGGGTTTTCGTGGTCTTGACGTACTGCAGGGCGCAGATACATCGTGGTTGAGGGTGTGGATGTGAAGAGTGGTGGATTGGAAGTGAATCGATGGTCAATGATATGGTCGAATATCGACAGACGATCGATAATCGATGATGGATGATAGAGGACGGTGATGAAATGTGAAGGAGTGAAAGGGAAGAAGAAGAAGAAGAAGAAGGAGAGGTGGACTTGTGCCCGTTTTATAGTGAAGAGTGTACTTGCTGTTTTGGGACGCGTCTTGACTACGCTGTTTGCTATTTCAGCTATTCCAGCTATTCCAGCTTATTATATTATTATACTCCTAGTATATTGGATAATTCTTATACTCACATCAGCTCCTTTCAGCATTAGGAATTATAAAAGCCATGGCTTGAACGGTTGACACTGAAGAGTCCTACACATAGCTTTGCCTTGCCAGATTTACACCATAACCATAATCAATATGTGTATTTCTCAATAATTTACTACTGCCTCGATGTCTCTCAAACAAACCCTACTTGTTAAAAGTATTCTATCAAACTCTCCCAACCTGCAAACGCAATATATCGAACCTGTCCGATCACACAGTGACCCGCAATCCACGTTGATCCCACAACTGCAGCTAGAGCAAGCCCACCCACAGCGTAAAAATCCCAGTTATTGGCTTTAAAAGCAGACATTAGCATATCGGCGGTCTGTAAGTGCATAGGTCGCAGTTCCTTACCATCTTTGAACCGTAGCTCGTTGTCGTACATGACTTCCTCGATAAGATCGGCCGCATGGTACTTGCGACGACTAGCAACATGAGCAATGCGCTGTAAGCGCAGCACATTCTGGCTGTATATTTCGTTTTCGGATTTGAGAATCTTCTTGGCTTTGTCGTAGATCTTGTCAGATGTAAAGTCAAACTTATTTAATGACTCGACACCTCCTGCGACGAGCCGTGTGGAGTTGGCGATTTGGTCTGAGAGGATACCCATTGATAACATTGGCTTGTCTTGATAAAGACCCTCATTGGCACTAGATCCTCCACCGTGAGTGAAGTAGAGCTTGGTTGATTCGCTGGCCAGGATGGCACGGTGAGGTGCGAAGAATGAGAAAACCCAATCCGGATGTTTGTTGTCAAGTAGATCGCCCAGGATGGTTTTATTCGATTTGCCGGTTTTGAATGAGAAGCGGGCGCTAGAAAGTTTCCAGCTGTCAGTAGAAGGGGAGATTTGTTCTCATTAATGGTGTAAGTTCTTACCTGCGGTCAAGGTCTGCTCGACAGGTCTTGCCCATAGCCCAGACCACACCGTCGATCAACCCACCCTCTCTGAGACGATTTACACCCTCCAGTATCTTGGCAGCATCCTTATGGGGCAGGATGATATGAGTCCCAAGGGCGATATAGATCACTGATGTATGGCTGGCCAGAAATGCCCCACGCTCCTGGTCTAGTGGCAGGTAGGTTGGACTCAAGAGAGGACCTACAGGAGCAGCGGTTGGAGGTAGATCGCGCGGGATCTCCAGCCCAAAGAAAGAGTTGACAAAGAAGAGATAGTCTGGTTTGCTGGGCTTGTAAGGTGGATGAAAGACACCGTTGTCACTTCGCATCTTCTTGCTCCATTTCCCTGCACGTATGATAGTCGGAAGATCCGGGACGAGGAAGATCTCATTCATAATGCGTAGCCACATCGGAGCATTTTCAGAGGTCATGGTCCCTGGAAGCTGGAAGCCTGGTTGGCCGGGGATGTACGAACAAGGTAACTGGAAGAGAGGCATATTGGGAGCGACGATTGCAACCGGGAATTTGTACTCGAAGTGAATATCGTTGGCTGCTTCAACGAAGAAATCCGCAATTATCATGTCCGGTCGAGTGACGGGATCATCCATGATCGTTTTTGAGGCCATGGTAGGTTTGAGGCCAGAATGAGTCAAACAGGTATTTGGATCTCATGGCTTGTCCAATACCCTTGGTGATATCCCAAGCCTGCATACGTCGATAGTGACCATCGAGTTGCTCGGCGGTTGGCCCAGGACCTAATTGATGAAGCTTGTTGACAAAGTCATACTCGGGTTTCACCCAGAGTGTCGCAAATTCAATTTCGTGGCCACGGTCCGCCAGGACCCGGCCAATTTCTAGAATAGGAGCTATGTAGGTTCTTTTAGTATCTATATCTGTCACATTTCGTGTGAATTTTACCGGCATGCGTGAATCCCCCGGTAGTAACCACCGGCAAGATCTTTCGAGATGGATGTACTTGAGACTGACTCATTGTGAGAGAATGAGAGAGCAGAGAAATGAAGCTTGTTCCTTAAAATTCAGGATAGAAATGGCCCCCAAAATACGATGTCCTTTCCTCAGGCCACTACGGACTTGGGGATATCCAAACGAATCCCGCCGAGTTGATTGGACTATAGACGGTTATATACTTGGATTTTGTGTTCTCTACAATCTATCTACGTCTATGTAGCCTTTTTAATAGCCCCAGATTCTCCCGGGGCTCTTTTCCGTACTCTTCTCCGTAGATCAGTACGGGCACATTGTCGTTCATTCGCCTCTACTACTTAGGTATATACAACATACAACTCCGTATCCCAAGTTGGAAAGTGTGACTCTACCCCCTGAGTGAGTATAGATTAAAATAATTCATGTTCGTTGTATTAATATCGGTTGTCGATCGCAATTCCGGCTAGGATCTGCTTAAATCCAACGGGGGGAGCAGCCCTTTGGTCAAAATAGAATCCATAGTCACTTAGTTTATGTTTCAGCTCTTAGCTAACCTTTTCTATGGGTTTTTATTTAATGCATGAACACCTGGATATAGTATAGTATACGGAGTATACGGAGGACTGAAGATCAGATCGGTGGACGCGCGTTAAGCCGGACAGTCTCCGACCTTTCCCCGTCACCTCTGAGGGTTGAATGATTTTGGTGAATTTATAGAGCTCTCACTTGAAACAGGGGGCAAGGTTAAGGTTCGTATGTTGTATAGTCTTTTTTTTCTTTTGGCTTAATCTATCCTACACAGTGGGTTGTCTATCAGGAGGTTCGACTATTTATTCAAAAGACCAGCGCTATTTACTTTGAATCGGTACTCTCACTCTTTCACCTCCAAGATGCCCACTTTTCTCTCTTATCTGTCTCTACTCTCCTTCTCGCTGTCTACAGCAGCCTTTGTTCACCCTGGGGCGCTTCACACCGCGTCGGATTTCGAGCGCATCCAGAAACATGTCGTTAACAAGGATGAACCTTGGAACACCACATGGACTTTATTGACTACGAGCGGTTATGCTCAGTCAACTTACCAGCCTAACCCTAAAGAGACGGTGTATCGAGGTGACAACGGCGTCGATGGGCAAAACTATCCGTCCCTGTATAAAGACACTGCGGCCGCGTACCAACTTGCCGTACGCTGGAAAATCTCCGACGATACGAGCTATGCAGATGCCGCAGTCAACATTCTGAATTCATGGGCTGTCACGCTGACCGCCATCGATGGTACCAGCGACAAATTCCTGGCCTCCGGTATTTATGGGTACCAGATGGCCAATGCAGCAGAGCTGATGTCTGATTATTCTGGTTGGGACAGCAGTAATAAGACTGCTACTGCGACCATGTTGACGAATGTATTTGCCTCGATGAACACGCGGTTCATGGAAGAACATAACGGTCAGGACAATTATCACTACTACGCCAATTGGGATCAATGTAACCTCGCATCTCTTCTTGCTATCGGTATCTTCACCGATAATCAAACCATGTACGACTACGCGTTGAACTATGTCCGCACCGGCCCTTCCAACGGGGCTCTCCCTGTTTTTGCGGTTGCCAATTACACGGAATCTGGCTCGGGCAAGGTCCTGACACAAGGACAAGAAGCTGGCCGGGACCAGGGCCATTCCACACTGGACCTTGTGCTTCTTGGTATCATCGCCCAACAGGCGTTTAACCAGGGAGATGACCTTTTCGCCGAATACAGTAACGAAATTCTCAATGCGTCAGTATTCTATAGTAAAATACCATTGGCTTCAAACATAATTATTGACTGATTAATCTAGGGCTGAATATGTCGCGAAGTACAATGTTGGCGATGAGGTGCCTTACACCCTATACCAAAGCTTCGAGGGAAATCAGACTGTTATTTCAAACTATTCGCGGGGAACTGTTCGTCCCGGTTTCGAGCTGCTCTCCGCTCATTATGGCCAGACAAAGGGCCTCGACTCCTCTTGGACAGATGCCTACCGAGATTTGGTGAATGCGAATTCCACGGACGGGGTTGAGGGTGGTGGTGGAAATTACGGCTCGACGTCAGGTGGCTTTGATGTGCTTGGGTTTGGCTCGCTACTATATCGGATTTCATAGGGGAGAATCTATGGTATGTGGTCTTCCTTGGTTTCGTATTTAAAATAGTTCGACCAGTTCAGGTGGTGTTGACTTGTAATTTATATACTTCGGAGACAAACACTGCAAACCAGGTAGTATAGCACGTGACTCTTTTGCCGATATCGGTCTTGATCTTTTACATCTCAGTCTCACTCAGTAAAGAGTTAGAATAGTTAGCAATTGGATCTAGGAAGAGAATAGGATCTTTTACTTCATATCTTATATATATATATATATATACCTTTTACATATACCTGGAGAACAACCATTCCATACTATACAACCTTGTATGTGTCGATCAACCCCGCCATTCCCATGTTGATCTTGAACCCTCGAATAGATTGGAGCCTACTGTTGTAGACAATAGTGATATACCTAAGTCTGTGAGTACGTAGTATTTACTTAGAAATATCATTTTGGTTCTTCAACTTCCGAGATAGTGACTCAATGGCCCATACCAAATTGACTCATACCCCCGCCACAGTTAGGACCTATGTTGTATACAACATAAATCAGCCAATTCGGCTTATGAACGTAGATCCGGTGAATATATTCTGCTACACGTTCAAATTCTAATAAATCCCTGTCATTTGAACATATAAAAAGCCCATATCCCTTCTTACTTTTCCTCCAAGGTTGATCCACTGCGGTCCACACTTTTTGAGGTTTTTCCCTCCCGTTTCTCTCTTTCTCTTCTACCTCAGCCCACCTTAATTAATCACATCATGCCTTCCCGTCAAGAAGTCTCCTACTTTGGAGCTGGTCCAGCCCCTCTCCCGACTTCAGTCGTTGAAGCCGGCGCAAAGGCATTCGTCAACTTCAACGATACCGGTCTCGGTCTCGGCGAGATCTCCCACCGCTCCCCCGCCGCCAACAAGATCCTCAACGATGCCAAAGCAAACCTCTCCGCTCTCCTCGATATCCCTGATAACTATGAGGTCCTGTTCATGCAAGCCGGAGGCAGTGGCGGGTTCAGCGCTGTCGTGCAGAACCTGGTCCCCGTCTGGATTGAGCGCCGCCGTCGCAGGGCCGAGGCCGACGTGAAGAAGGCACAGCCCGATGCGGAACAGGCTCAGGTTGATGAATTGGTCTTCCAGAGACTTCAGAAGGAAATCGAGGAGGAGCTGAAGCTGGATTACCTCGTGACTGGATCTTGGTCACTCAAGGCTGCCCAGGAAGCGAGCAGAATGATCGGCTCGAAGTACGTCAATATTGCTCTTGATGCTCGCAAGGCCAACAATGGGAAATTCGGAAAAATCCCCGCGGAAGATTCCTGGTCCTTGACTCCTACCAAGAAGGAGGGCGGCAAGGGTTCGGCGTTTGTCTACTTCTGCGACAACGAGACCGTCGATGGTGTCGAATTCCAGCAGCTCCCCAAGTCATTGGAGGCTCAGGGTCAGGATGCCGAAGATGAGCGTCTCGTCGTCGCTGATTTGAGCTCCAACTTCATCAGCCGCAAGGTTGATGTCAGTAAATACGCTGTTATCTTCGTATGTTGGCTTCGATTTTTCCCTCGTTATGAGACTAGTACACTAACAATATATACAGGGTGGTGCACAGAAGAACATCGGTGTTGCCGGTATCGCCATTGCCATCGTTCGCAAGGATCTTCTTCCCCCCCAGACTGCGACTCCTCCCCCTGCTCTCCTCCAACGGTTGAACATTGGCGGTCTCCCCGGCTCAACCGTTCTCGACTACGCAACCCTCGCAAAGAACAACTCCCTCTACAACACCCTCCCCATCTTCAACCTTTGGATTGCCGGTCAGGTCATGGCCGACCTGGTGGCCCAGTTTGGCGTCCAAAAGGTCAGCGGGCAAGAGGAAATCGCCAACAAGAAGGCACAGCTTATCTACGGTGCTTTGGACAAGTTCCCGCAAGTATACCAGGTTGTCCCTGATGTTAGCGTCCGCAGCCGCATGAACATCTGCTTCCGTGTCAGCGGTGGCGACGATGCAAAGGAAAAGGAGTTCATCGCGGGCGCTGAGAAGCGTCTTCTCCAGGGCCTCAAGGGTCACCGCAGTGTAGGCGGCATGCGTGCCAGCAACTACAATGCGGTTCCATTAGAGAACGTGCAGAAGTTGGTGAAGTACCTCGAGGACTTTGCTGCAGAACAGTAGATCGTGTTTGGATATAACATCGGTGTTTGAGCGAATTCAACCTGGGGCTTTGGGCCAGGAATGTGTGATGGGTAACGAAATAGGACGCTAGAATGTGTCCAGGACAGTTGTGACTGTTTATTCAACATAACTCCCAGTGTATCCATGCTATATATATGCTTTAATGACAAAATGATTCCGGTATTGGTACAAAATGGTTCAAAAGCCCAAGAGAAAGTATTCAGAGCTTCCACACACACCAGTTTTTGAGATCAAGTTCCTTGATGACTCCTTTTAGGGGGCCCTGAAGCTCTTGGCCTTGTGCCCACAGCTTGGGCCCAGCCATGTAGCTGATGAATCCCTCAGGACCGGAAACCAAAATCAACTTGCTCTTGCTCTTGCTCTTGCTCTTGCGAGAATCGTTCGT